CTAATAATTATTGGAAGTCGTTGGAATTGCAGCAAGATGACGTCACATTCGCATTGTTAGCAGAACGCAAGTGTTTAATTAAACAATTAGAGAGCAGAGCCTTAACATTTATGCACTGTGTGTGTCTTCAATTTGATTTGTTAAGCACACTGGCAACTTGTAAGGCTTGTAAATAGAAAGCGACTTTGATTTATCAGCAATTTAGGAATTGTGTAAAGTAACAACAACAATTACCGCAGCGACACAACAGCAAGTGTTGTGGAGTGCGTTGTTTGTGTGTGTGTGTTGAAGAGTGTGCCAATTGCTAATGGAAAGCGTCACGTTCGCATCCACTCCTCACTTCCCATTGCAGATAAACACGTTTGCCTTCTGCTGCTAACACGCCCTCTCAATCGCATTTTTATTGCGTTGTCTAGCTTTTTGTCTTATGCTTTTTGTGCATTGCACTTCGTTTTTATTACGGTACGCCTTGTTTACATCATCGGCCACAAAACTAAGAAACAGCGCATGCGCGACACTTGACATCACTTTACAGAAGCAGCAGCTCGCGTCAGTTTTTATTTTTGTATTGTTCGCATACGTAAATACATGTAGATACATAAAAAGTTGTTTCATTAATTATTTGCCATTGTATTAGAATGCATTGCGTTTGGGTTTTGCCATTGAAAAGAGCTGAGAAAAATATATGCGACAACTGCCGGCGCTAGAGCTTTGTTGTTGCGTTGTTGAACACTCATGCACTCGCACACATACACACACAGCATCATTGTCTGGCATAACTGGAAACCGGTTTCCAGTACAGCTTTACCGTAGCCACAACAACAACAACAACAACAACCTGCGACATAGTAGTAGAAACATAAAAACAACAACAGCGTTGTTGTTGCCATCTCATATATATATATATAAATATATACATTCATTGTTGTTTGTATTTTTCGCGCAAGTCTCACACTCTACGCCAACTGCGACTTTGGAATTTTAGTTTTTTTTTAATGAACTGAATCGCAGGTTTGTCTTCTAAACTTGAAACAAGTTATCGGTTTATAGCACAAATACCACAATTATTGCTTTGCTTTGGGTGCGGCTTAAAGCTATTTTTTTTTCAAGTTTAATTTCACTTTCAAATGCATTGCAGCACACATATGTATTAGCATATTGCATGTATGCCCTGAAACCAAAACACAAACCTATTGGCCAGTAACCTTTTTACTTGACTTTTGTTGTGTGGAACACGCGGTAAGCATCAATTTTTGCAGCTATGTGCACAACTCAAAACTTGTTTTGCAAATAATGAACACTAACCTATGTATTGTTTCTGTTAAAACGTTTCAATTTAATAAAATCGACTGCTATTTATGGCTTTTGTGTTTGTTTCCGTATACTTCGCGCCCAAGACAGCGCGCGTCGAATTCAAATCAGCAACTGACACCTTAATGCTCCAATTGGGCAGGCGCATGCTGTGTGTGACAGTGGTGAAAAATGTTTGTGGTGAATTGCGACTACACCATTCCCGCCTGCCATCGATAAATGTGTGTCAGTGCTTATCGATAAGCGATGACGAGAAACATCTGATGTGTTTTTTTCTGCACCAATAAAATTTTCCAATTAATGCTGGCTCAAAATAGTAATAGGATAATGTGCTATAAGTTATTAATTATAGGAGCACTCGTCGCCCTGAGTAGTTGCGAAGTGGTCATCGGTCAAGAGGAGGTCGTGGACGAGGTTTCCGGCCACTACACCATCGAGGGCAAAGTGTATGCTCCCGAAGTAGGCCCCGGAGCGAGTCAGGGTCATGCGGTTACCCTGCCAAGCGGCAACAACAAATGGCAAGTAGATCTGGCCATAAGCATTAACAATGGCGAATACAAGGGATTTGTGCGCGAGGATGGACAATTTATAATCAGCGGAGTACCCTCCGGTAGCTATGTGCTAGATATCTATCATCCGGACATATTCTACGAGCCAGTGCGCGTTGAAATCAATCCCAAAGGTAAGTTCCGGGCACGCAAAGTAAACTACATGCAGCCGGCACAGGTGGTTCAAGTGCCGTACCCACTCAGGATGAAGCCGCTTATGCGATTCAAGTACTTCCAGACCCGCGAGCAATGGAAGGTTTGTGCACCCAAAAAGGTTACATGTATTTGCCAGTCTAACACCTTCATTTATCCTTATAGATAACTGACTTCCTGTTCAGCCCAATGGTGCTAATGATGGCCTTGCCTCTGCTGCTTATGCTGGTGCTACCTAAAATGATCAACGATCCGGAGACAAAGAAGGAAATTGAGAATATGCAATTTCCCAAGGTAACCGAATCTATTCTACTATATACAAGTGATACTTATGTATTAATATTGCTCCCCAGATGACAAACGATATGCCAGAGATCAGTGAAATGCTGACCTCATTCCTGTCAGGGAAGCAGCCCGAGCCGAAGGAGAAGAAACCAATTACCGCTAGCAAGCAAACAAAAAAACGCAATTAGTAATTGTGCCGTAAATTAATTTGATAAAGCCCTAAGCTAATAGAGAAAACATTCTCAATGTATAGTCAAATGTCAGTAAATTAAATAAACTTTCATAATAATTCACGTTTATTTAAGAAAGCCCACTGTCTTGGGCCGCTTAGGCCCCACTCGCCCCTCCTCGGACTTAAGCATCTTAACGAGCAAGCTGTTCAGTTGCTCGCCAATGGAGAGGCCAAGTTGTATGCTATTTAGCATAGTATCCCTGTGCATAGAGCCGCCGCCGGTCATGTGTGTGCCAGAAAGATAAGCTGGAAGTAATGCAATGTCAAGTAGGGACTTTCTCTTAGTTATAGCTTTCGAATGTACCTTCATTATCACGCATGGATACGGATACAACCATGCTGACTGTGCTGCAGACTTCCTCCTCTGCTGTGGGATCCACAAGGCAATAATCACCAATCTTGCATACGGTCACAAGCAGGGGCACTGCATCTATGCCTATACGCGTGCAGTCGTAGGGATTGTCGGATATAATTAAATCAGTGACACCTGCGTCTAGCAATGTTGCAGTTACACGTGGCAGCTTTGTGTTGTAGAGCGCTGCCTTGGCTGCCAGGGAAACAGCATCGTACAGATTGCCACCGCATTCCAGGATCTAAGGAGTAGATTAATTAAGTAAGGAATTACTATAAAAGTGAATGCTATTAACCAATATATCTATGTAAAGTTTCCAACATTGCTGTCCTGGTATGAGGCACAAGGTGCGATAGTCAAAGGCAAATGGGGATTCGTAGGCATTTTGCAGTGAAAGTATCAGTTCCTGTGCCAAATCTGAGCCGCCGCGACCCTCAAATTCTGGAGTGGCATTCGCAGAGCTGTAATAAAATGTTAAATAATCAATTGTAATAATTACTAACGCTCTATTTACCAATCGACAAAGAATTCCAATTTGCCAAATTCGGGCGTTAATGGATTGGGCACATCAATTTCAGTTTTGACGCCCACCAGAATATCCGTATTCGCTAAACGTAGCCGAGCCGACCCACTAGCATTGCTGACCAGGCCCGTTTCCAGTTCCATTGGCCGGTAATCGCGGCGCGAACGACCATCACAGCGGAAATCCTCCTAAAAGCGCACATTACAATAATTTCTGAAGCAAACATATTAAAACACACCTCAACGCCATGCAGAATAAAAGTTTTCTCTGCCTCACTAAGCGCAACGTATGCCATTTTCTTCTAATAAACAATCAACAATGTTTTAAAGCAGAATCAAAACAAATTTAACATGTGGATGGACGATAACGATAGCGATACATCGCATTTGAAATATATCGCATTTGCATGCCTGTAGTAATACTTTACAGCACTGTGCCGGTTAGCTGCTTCGCAACACTTGCCAAAAACAAGCCAGTCATTTTGCTTTGCATTTCACTGCACGAATTATAAATTTAAAAAGGAAAAATCACAAGCAGCATGGGTCCCGACTTTGACTTCACCGACACTCCCGTCAGCACTGGCGTAAGTCCTAATACCACAGCTCTATTTATGCAGCATGCTTAACAATTACTACTACACAGACAACTATTATGGCTGTGGAGTTCGATGGCGGCGTTGTGATCGGTGCAGACTCTCGCACCAGCTCGGGCGCATATGTTGCAAATCGTGTGACCGACAAACTGACTCAAATCTCGGAAAATATATACTGCTGCCGCAGCGGCTCTGCAGCTGATACCCAGGCCATAGCCGACATTGTGGCCTACTCACTGAACTACCACAGGAATCAAACTGGCAAGGAGCCGCTTGTATGTGAGGCGGCATCAGAGTTTCGCAACTATTGCTATAACTACCGCGATTCTCTGTTAGCTGGCATCATTGTTGCCGGCTGGGATGAGGAGCGTGGTGGACAAGTGTACAGTGTGCCACTAGGTGGTATGTTGACACGCGAGGGTTGCACCATAGGCGGCTCGGGCTCAAGTTACATATACGGTTTTGTCAAGGAGCATTATCGCCCTGGCATGCCAATGGATGAGTGTGTCGACTTTGTCAAGAAAGGTTTGTGCTTTATCTTCATGTTCATTTATTTTATTTTCTAATTGTTCCATCTGCATCTCAGCTGTGCAACATGCCATCTACCATGATGGCAGCTCCGGCGGCGTCGTGCGTATCGGCATTATCACCAAGAAGGGCATAGAGCGTCGTTTGTTCTACAACACAGCATCTGGGGAGTCTACGATTGAGGGCTCACAAAGCTTTACGAACTAAATGAAATGAATTCTAAATTCAGATTTGATTACTATTGTGGAGAATATAATAATTTGGTTTTTTAAAAGTACTATATTGGTATATCATTTCGCTTTTAGGGCAGTCCAAAAGTCAAGCTCTTATATGATAATAAATGGAATAAACTTAACTAACTAAAGTTTACAACATGTCATCTGATATGATGGCAGCTGGACTGTTTCGCAGTCTAGATTTCAGGGCTCACAAAGCTTTAGAAACTAAAGGCATTCGAAAATGAAATGGATTCTAAATTCATATTAAAAGTAGTTTTTTGTATATCATTTCGTTACGGCAGTACAAAAGTTATGTTCTTAAACACTGGATGATAATAAATAAGTTAAACTTAAATCTAGCGCATTTGGTCACAACGCATAATTATCACATTATTATAATTATGTCCACTAATACAAATTTTCGTGCTAATGAGCACAAATTCAATGGTTCCGCCAGTTTCGGTGACATGTGAGTAGTCTCCATAGACTTGGACAAGTCGCGTTTCTCCATTCTGTAGCGATAATATATCTCTGGCTTGCTTATGAGCGCAACGTCAACGGTTCCGCCTGTTCCGGTGACATATAAGTAGTCTCCATAGACTTGGTCAAGTTTCGTTTCTGCATTCTATAGCGATAATATATCTCTGGGGTCCACACTACCACGACCAGAAACAGCACCACACTCTGTGCATACAAGCAGACGACATACGAATTGGAATAATCGCGTACCCAGCCAAGTAGCTGACCAACTATTATTACAATTATACCCTTTGATATCATGCTAAGACCTAGACCACCGGCCAGCTTCTCGGAACGACAATACGCCGATATTGTTAGATTATTGTTAATCACGGTAGCCGATTTGGTCATGCCTATTTGCACGGACATGGCAATAATCGTGGGAAAACTGGTCGTTTCAGCCAGCAGAAGGCGAGCAATCAGCAAACCCGCTGTGCCCAGTAAGAACACTACACGATAGGGTATTCTCAGTCGATCAGTAATGCAGGGCAGCAGCAGGCGGAAGACAATGTCGGCACCAGCCACAACCGACATGCATGTGGCGACCACTTTGCTGTCGAAGCCAGCTGTGTGCTTTAGGAAGTTGGGGAAGACCATCGTGAAGTTAATTGTGGCCGTATAGACCAGTGCCATGCCCACAATAATGCTCCAGAATACGGCGTCCTTAAGTAGCTCCAAGTCCATGGCCTGCGCCAAGCGATGGCCCATTCTGCTGCACACCGACATGTCCTCTGGCAATTCCGTGGATTTTGCCGTGCCATTATTCTGGGCAGGCTGTACAACGATTGCCTGCAGGGCACAGGATTGATTCTTGTCCTCCTTATCCAACGTCAGCTTCAGATGCTTGCGATTGTTATGTTTGGCAGGTGGATTGAGCGGTCTGAGAAACATGGCACCGAACAGCTAAAAATGTATAATTTTGTTATTAGTTGAAGATAATAATAAGTAATATATATTTATACTAACCCCGGTCAACGATAGAGCGGCCATAGCGAGCACAGCACCACGAAAGCCATAGTTATCCAGGAAATAACGCACCATATGAGGAATAAAGACTTGACCCACGCCAGCGCCCGCCAAAGAGACACCAACGGCGCGTCCGCGTTTGCTACTGAAGTAGGAATTAATGGCCATAAAAGTGGATGGTGAAATCAAGCCCAATCCAAAGCCGACAAACAAGCTGTAGCCAACTATAAAGTGCCAGCTCTGCGTGGCAAACGAGCAAAGAGTCAAGCCCAGGGACACCAACAGGCAGCCAGTCGCAGCGACATTGCGTGGCTTAAAACTCTTGATGGCCGGTCCAATAAACAAGCCCGAGAAGTTCAAGGCCAAGCTATTCAAATTGGTTATAAGTGCGGCGGTGAATGTGTCCTCATGCATGCGCAGTTGGCTCTCAAAAAGCAGTCCAAACACCGACAATATGGACTGATTGGTCATCTGTAAGAGGCCAAGAGTAAGTGGACAAGCTCAACTACGCAGTTACAATAAACTTACATTAATAACAGCCACAGCGGCGACCACAACCCAGCCCCAGCCGCCGTCGGGCACAGTGCGTCCAGCTTGCATGTCCATTGCGTAAATTCTGTTAATGCAGAGCAATGTCGAGAAATCGAGCAAGAGCTGAAGCTGGAACGTAAATTAAGATAAGATGGTTAGTAACGCATAAAGACAATTGGCTTATTATATTTAATAAGCTTATCAGTCGTATACTTTGCTATCAAATCTCAAAATCATGCAGCAACAAATAAAACTCTTTAGCAACAATGTCTAGGCGAAGGGCTAATCAAAATAACTCAAAAAAAGAAAAAACGCTCAAAGAACGTCTGCGACAATAACTAAATCAAAGAGTATATAAACTTACGCCCAAGTATGTGCCTAATCAAATACAAAGAGCGTGTGCATGTTGTGCTCATTGCGCATTCTGTTTGCAGCACATTTAAAAACGTTTACACCATTAAGCGCCACAATCAGCCGAAAATAACTTAAATTGTTTAAATTAATACAGTCAAGTCGCGACGCCAAGGCGAAAGTGCTGCCAACCTGTTAAAAAATAGTGTGGCCGCATTTGCTGCAAGTTGGCAGCTCGCATTTGGCCATAGACAGCTGTTTGTCTGATGCCCGCTGTCGCATTTTAATCTTTTTTAATTATCAAAACGTAAACAGCATATTAATATGTGTTTTTTGTGCACACAGTGCACAGACAATGCTATTGGGAATATCCAGTTTGGCTCACGTGAAGCCGAGCTGCTTGATGTAAAAGAAATCATAGAAAAGTACTTCTGGCTGCGGGTAGGAATTGGTAAAAAATGGAATCTATACATTTTATATACTCAAATTTCATTTGCAGATTGAAGACGCCAATGGACACGTTTGCGGTGCTTGCTGGACACAACTATATGCATTCCATAGTTTCTATTCTGATGTAGAACAGGCGCACAAGGCCCTTCTAGAAATCACAAACGTAGAAGCAACAGCCAAACAAGCCGAAGCGAGCGTGCCCCAGGAAGGCGCTACGTTTGCCGTGGCTCTGGGCGTGCCCAAGGATTTGGTCAAGACGGAGAGTGGACTGGGCGACAGTGTCGCGGCGTCTGTAAAGCGTAGGCGTGGTCGTCCACGCAAGCAGTTTCCCGGCGACGTAGCAACAGGTATCGATAGCAGCGAGTTTAAGGCCGTATTGGAGCAGATCAATCTGAACGAGATTAAAATTGAGTTTCCTGAGGCCGACTTGAGCATAGCCGATGTTCTTGAGGATCAGGAGGACCAAAATATATCCGATTATCTGCAGCAAAGCGACGGCGAAAGCGAAGCGGCCGCAGCTACTCCCAAGCCGAAACAAAAAAGACCTCGCAATACTAAAAAGCGTCGCTGCGCAACCAAACTAAAAGTCGTCCGCAAGGTGAAAGGTGGCGGCGTTCATAATGTAAAGAAATCCCAAGAATTCAATGAATACATTAGGGAAAACTATAAGGTACAGTGTCCGATGTGCAATGTGCCGCTGGAGGACTTCTCCGAGATGCTATCCCATACGCGCAAGGAGCACAATCAGCGCGGCTATGCCATGTGCTGCAATCGGAAGTTCTGGAAGCGCGGCGTACTCGTTGATCATTTGCAACGCCATCAGAATCCGGATCTATTTAAATGCCAGATATGCCATCGCGTAATGGGCCAGCGTCGCAGCCTGGAGCTGCACATGCGCATGCACGAGATAAAGCAACGTGGCCGACTCTACCAGTGCGAGCATTGCTCGAAGAGCTTCTACAGCTCCATCGTCTGCGAGCGCCACAAACTGACCCACATTCCCAAGGAGCAGTGGCATGCGTCGTGCACCAACTGCAGCAAGACGTGAGCATAAATATCTGCTATATCCTATATAAATTAAATTTGAATGCTTGCAGTTTCCCCAACGAGTACCTTATGCAGCAGCACGTGAAACTGGTGCACTTAAGGAAATTCGACAAGATTTGCGACGTGTGCGGCAAGTCGATACGCGGCCGTGAGGCCCTGGCTCGTCACATGGAGGAACATGCGGGCGCGCCGCAAAAGATAATCAAGTGTCATCTATGCGAATCAACGCTGACAACCAAATACGGGCTGGCGCGTCACATTAAGATGATGCACACAGCCGAGAATTTACAGCCCATGCAGTGCGAGGTGTGCCTCAAAATCTCGCCCAGCCTACAAGCGCATCAGCACCACATCAAGTACACACACAACACGGCACGTACGCACGAGTGTCCAATGTGCGAGAAGGCGTTCAAACGTCCCAATGAATTGCGTGTAAGTTAAGCTGGTACGCTATGAATGGGTGGTCATTAAAAACTCTTTTATTGTTTTAAATGCAGGAACACATGACAACGCACACGGGCGAGGTGTTGTACACCTGTCCGCATTGCCCGAAAACATTCAATTCGAATGCCAACATGCATGCACACCGCAAGAAGATGCACTATAAGGAGTGGCAAGAGTACCATCATCAGCATCATGCGCGTTACCGCCGAACGGATACCATAATTGCAGTGAGCGTGCGCAAGACAACGGCAAATGCAGAAGCTGCAGCCTCAAGAGCTGTGGAGCAGACGGAGGAGGCGGAGATGGAGGTGGAGGAGGCGGTGTCTACCAGCCGTGGCTTGGAGTGTTGATCATGTGCCCTATGACATAATTATGAATTTAATAATTCGGCGCAATCAGTGTATAAATATTGGTAAACAATTTGTAGCTTGTTGTTTTTTAATTGAAAAGTGTTAAATGGAAAAGCGAAGACTTGCAAACTGGTTTCAGCCGGTTCCAAGGCAGGCATTCCAGCACATCCCGAACTGGTATAGCGCAACAGAGACGTCCGTTATCAGCGGCATTAAGGTCGAATCTGGTTACGTTGCGTACTTACATATAGATTAGAGTATGGTTCAGTGTGATGAGCGACAGAGTGGACTTATAATTCGAGACGATCGTGCCTGTGTGTGGCAAACCGGTTTAAGTCGGTTCTAAAGTGGATTTTAAGCCTTATCAGCGGATTCGCATTATCAGTTCAAAGGTATCAAACGCCGTGTGTTTGTTTTTTGTTCTAATTGCAGGCAGCTTCATTAATCTGTGCCAATGGTTCACAAAGCATGACAATCTATTTTTCTTATTTTTTAATTGATTTAAATTCTGGTAAGATCGTGTTTACCAATGGAATATTTTCTGGGGTTTTCATATGCTTAGGGTCAGACATGAGTGGATCCCATTTCTTGAACAAATGTGCTTTTTTTCTTCTCTTGTTGTTTTTGTTGTTGTTGTTGGTGGACTAAAGTCATGTATATTTACATTCCTAAATATTTATAATCACTAATGACAACCTAGCAGCTGTAGCAGAATATGCCTTTGCAGGTACAGATATGATTCATATATAAATCACATGCACATCCAGATCGACTTACCCAATTATTTTCAGTTGATATGCGTAAAATATATTACGAAGCACAAGTTTTGTTGTTTACTTTACAAAAGCACTAGCACAGACTAGCAGACTTTAATGTCTGCAAGTTCTTGATATTTATTTCTTCAGCTAAGTGAGCACGTTATCTGCCGACGGGCAAATATTGTTTGGGCTAACCGGCCGTTGCGCTGCGCTATTTATTCACGGCTTCGACTCGCCATGCTAGTTTACACAGCAATAACAGCTGTGGCGAAAGTCTTATTTATAAATATTTAAATATTTTTCTATGCAACGTATTGGCGCCAAAAAAACAAAATTATCGGTGACGAATTTTGTTTATCTATAGCAACGAGCTTTTGACACGGCTGAGCTATTCGATTTATCGATAGGCCGATAATTTCACTTCAGACGTGTCACACTTGTTGTTTTCATTTGTATTATTAAGTGTTTTATTTATTCCGTGCCAGATTGTGACTCCCAAGCAGCGCCATGGTCGACGATAGCACCAGAAAAACATTAAGTAATATTCCATTGTTGCAAATACGCGCCGGTCCGCGTGAGAAAGACATATGGGTGCAGAGACTCAAGGAGGAATATCAAGCATTAATAAAGGCATGCAATTAAATAAATAATTAAAAATTGTCTAACAAATTACTTACCTTTAGTATGTGGAGAACAACAAGCAATCTGGCAGCGATTGGTTCCGTCTTGAGTCCAACAAGGAAGGCACCAAATGGTTCGGCAAGTGCTGGTACATGCACAATCTGCTCAAATACGAATTCGATGTGGAGTTCGACATTCCTGTGACATATCCAACGACGGCACCGGAAATAGCGCTGCCGGAACTGGACGGCAAGACGGCCAAAATGTATCGGGGTGGCAAAATCTGTCTAACGGATCACTTCAAGCCACTGTGGGCACGCAATGTACCCAAGTTTGGCATAGCCCATGCCATGGCCCTCGGCCTGGCGCCCTGGCTGGCTGTAGAAATTCCGGACCTAATCGAGAAGGGCGTTATCTCATACAAGGACAACTGTTGAGACAACAACAGCAGCTTATTTAGCTAATTTATCTTTTGGTCTGACAATTATAATATGAACAAAATTTTGCATAGACAATTAGCTTCTATAGTTCTGTCATCCTGATTTTTTTACGTTTTGTAATGCTTACTGATTAGTTGTATACAAATTGTGTAGTACATTTTCAATACATAGAACGAATTGAATTAATGCTGTGCCTTTTTTTACACTCTCATGTCTACACTATATTTCTTTTAATATTTCTTATCTTGCATTAAACTTCATCCAAATAGGTAAGCGCTAGTTGAATTTATGAGAATCGCATAGAAGGGAGGTACACTAAGAAGAGTGTTAGTAAATACCTACAGCCAGGAAAAATGAGTCCGTGAGAAATGTACACATGTAGATTATAGATAATATTACTGGCTTATAAATGGATCTATAGAATATACATATAATGAAAAGTCATAAATCTTTGCGTTTATTTAGTCAAATGTCAAATTGGAAAAGATCATGTTTCATCAATCTTAGCGTAGCCTAAATGTCTATAGAATAAGAATTTCATTTGGTTGCTTAAATTTGATCAGTGAGCTTTTGATGCACCTTCAGTTCATATGATTGTTGCGCTGGCGCCAATTGTCCGACCAGATTGAGCTTGGCGAGGTAAATGGATCGTATTGTGTGGGCATATTGTGCTGTGCCCGATCTTGTGCGTTCTGCATTGCGGTCAAACCATCTATATGGTTATTGCTATGGTTGCTGCTATTTTTGATAACAGCTGCTGCTCCGGCTCCGGCTCCCGCTCCTGCTGCTGGTAAATGGCAATTGTTGTAATTCGGTTCAAGCCCCGGCGGTGGACGTATAACGCCCACGCCCGGCGTTAGGGTATGCGCTGGAGATGCACGTTGCGGCGCCGCTGCGGCTGACTGATTCGGCCATGCGGCATAGCCCAGCGGCGTCCAAGTAGTGCTCGCTGTGCCCTGATTCATGGCCCAATTGTTGCTCTCCATGTTGGACATAAGCATGAGCTTCTGCTGCTGCTGTTGTTGCTGCTCTTGCTTACGCTGCTGCTCCAGTTGCTCCAGCAGCAGCTGCTGCTTCAGTATCAATTCGCTGCGTTCCCACTGCGACTGCGGCTGCTCTCGTTCATACAAGCTCCCGCAAAGATCTCCTAAAGAAAATAAAAGCGGGATAAGCAATCTACAGTTAGTATAAGAACTCATCCATTTACCATTTAGGTCAGGCAGCTCCATATTCAAGTCCATGGCCGGCGCTTCGGAGTTGGCAAAAAGTGAACGAATCAGCGCATTGCTCGTTGCAGTCGCGTCCGGCGTCATCAGGGGCTGATAGAGGCTTGTCGCTTGCGCTGGCAGGCTCTTCCGGCTGCCAATTGGACCTAGTTGACTGCTGGCCAAATCACTTGCCGAAGGATCCCAGTTAAGGCCATTGTCGACTGCCGGCAGGGGTTTCGTTTGCAGCACATCGCGAAACGAGACCCGACTGCTGGTCTCCCACGGCGAGCTGATGGTCAGGGTGTCCGCTTCTGGTGTGGTCAGCGGTGAGGCGCCACCGGCTGCCATTGCATGACCATTAAAATTGAGCTGTTTGCTGCGCTGCTTGCGCTCCGCGGACGATTTCTTGCTGGAGGTGCCGCCATTAAGCGTGGCCAGTTTTTGCTCCTTGCGGCGCTCCCGACCGGGTGTCTTGCCTAGCTTCTTGGCGCTGCCGTTTTGCTCCTTGAGCACACGTTCTTTGGGCGTATCAGGACTCATTTTAATCGAGCGCGGCGAGACATTCTCCTGTTGCGGACTGCTGCCAATAACTTTGGTATTTGGGCTGGAGCGCTTCTCCTGCGTTTCGGCAGCAACTGGCTCCACTTTTGGCTTGGGCATGGCGATAACGGGCATCGTCTGTTTCGGTTTCTTTGGTGCGCGCACAGTTACGGGCGGCGTCTGCACTGGCGACGGCGTCGTCTTCTTGCTGGGCTTGGGCGAACTAGTGGGCTTTGGTTGTGTGGCGGCGGCGGCGGCGGCGCTGACGGCAGTTGAAACAGCTGTTGCTTTGGGCTCGCAGCTGGTCATGTCCATGCTCCATGCTGTCCATGACTTGGGCTTCCGTGTGGCCGTCACCTTATCCGCTGTAGAGCTGGCCGTGGTACGTTTGCGCAGCTCCTTGAGCTGACCATTTTTTAGCTTCTGTTGCTGCTCCGCTTTGAGGGCAGTTGCTGTTGCTGCCGCTGCAGCGGCTGCTGCTGCCTCCTCGGCCACCTGCATCTTGACAATGTTGCGCAAATTGAAGGTCGGCTGCACGGGACCCTTGTAGCGTGCCGCATCGTAGGCGCTCTGCTGGGCCATTATCGCACGAGCATCAAAGATGCCCGCGAGCAGCACCAGACAGAAACTGGCCAGTAGCAAAACGAGAGCCACATTGCGCAACGCCGGCTCCCAGCTGGGTCGCGGTAGGCTCGCCGCACAATGTTCCACACTCTCCGCCGGCAGCTGGGCGACCAGCTGATAGCTAATGTCATAGCTGAGATTCGTCAGCAGCGTCAGAGTGCGCTGGACGCGCGATGCGGTAAAGTCCGTGCTGAAGCTTATTTCGATTTTGCGCGTCTCGTTCTCGCCCAGCTCGAAGCTCTGGCAATCGAGCACCCTAAAGCCATAGCCCTCACACGGTCGCTTGCCAATGAGAAAGCCTCCAATCCTGATGGGCAGCACGCCGGCATTGCGAGCGGTAAAGCTGCGCGTAGCTGACACCGTGTGGCTGGCGACAGCATCCATATCGAGGTTATCGGTCGGCTTTAAGCTGCCATCGCAATGCTCGAACTGTTCCGTGCTGAACTCAAAGAGCAGCGGCGCACTGGAGCCGGGACGGCGATTGCCCAAGCGAAACTGGGATTGAACTGCGCGTGCGGTCAGCCAAACGGCCTCGTAGAGCGTCAGATTGCTGCGCACATGCAGCAGAGTGCAGTATTTGTCCGGCTGCTGGGCGCTGAACTGCACGGGTATAGTCAGTGTGGCGCCGCCGAGTAGCAGCACCCGAACGCCATACGGTATATCGGGCAGCGAGAAGACATCCTGGTCCGTCAGGTAGCAGCTGCTGCTGCTCACATCGATCACCTCGTGCGGCAGCGACAGTTGGGTGCGCCTGGCATAGGCCGGGTCCGATAGAAAATAGTCGAGCAGCAGCGGCTGCATTGTGGGATTGCTCATCGTAATCCATTGGCGCTGCACCTGACCCACCTCTATGGCCGGCGTGGGCGGCAGCGGCTGATACTGCACCAGCTTGGGCCACTCGATAGCAATGCTAAAGTCCAGCTCCAAGGGCGGCAGCTCCTCGCTGTGCAGCGTTAGCGACATGGCGTGCAGCTGCCTCTTGAACTGACGATACAATTCCGTGCGCTGACGCACCTCCACGCCATCGTACAGCAGATTATTGTTGGTGTGTCCAGCGGCTGCAGCTACTCCACTATTGCTGGGGAAGATCGAGTGCTGATCGGTGGTAGCGCGTATATAGCAGGCGCTGCCACAGAGCGCCGCTGGCTCAAAGTAGATGCGACCCACCTTGGTCAATGTTTGGGCACCAATCAGAGAGCCCTTCGCATTGAAGTCCTTAAAACGCAAACCGGCACGGGTAAACGATATAGATTTCATATGCACTGGATGTATAAAACTAGAGCGTATGCTCAGCACCGCGGAGCATATCTTGCCCGGAAAACATGACTTGAACTGCAGCTGATCCTGCTCAATGTCCAGCTGACCAACGGAGGCCTTAAAGCGCACTGTGCTGCGTATCAGCTCGTAAGGTGTCCACACTTTCAGCGTGCCGGTGCTCTCCTCGGCCACATACGTTTGTATGGACAGAATAAAGACAACGCTATCGCCGACGCCCAGCTGGTCACAGAAACGAAATCCTGTGACATTTTCCGGCTGTTCATGGTTGACTATTGTCGTTTTGTTGGCAACGATGGCGGCACCTGGTGACACACAGCCCATGAACGCGGCCTGAAAGTAGACATTCTTGGGCGGCTTAAAGTTCCAGTTGGTTATCTTGATCGGCATAGGATTGTCGTTGCGCAATATGATATAGCCATCGCGTGACTTCTCCGCAAATGGCACAGTGCCCAGATCCAGTTCCAGTCCATATTCGCTCTCCTTGGGCAGCTGCAATGTAAACTGTTGCGTGGACACATGCAAACGGCCGCTGCACGCGACCACGGGCAGCTCAAATATTGTCACATTGCTAGCGATGAGCAGCATGGACTTGAATGTTGCCTGTTCGTTGAGCAGTTTCAACTGCAGCAGCTCCACCGACTCGCCCGGCTGCAGCAGTAGCTCCTGTTCCAGCGACGACAACTGCAGCAGCGCCGGATCAATGGGCTCCGTCAGGCTGAGGTTGTACAGCATCAGCGGAAACGCAAAATTATTGCGCACCACCAGCGTACGTTCCTTTTCCAGCGATGGCTCATCGATGCTAGAGCTGCTTATGAAAAGCGTAACATTGCGATCGTAGTGGAGGCCGCCTTTAAAGATTTCAGCTTGCACTAACACTGTAAATTGCAGCTGCTGCTCTGCTTCCTCGCTGCTGCTGATGACCAATAAATCATAAATGCTGGCGCTCTCATCAAATAGCTTGGGATCCAGCACAATGCTCGCGTTGTGCGCATCATAGCTTAGCCCTGGTATGTCGCGCAGAAAATTTACAATTAGCTGTTGCTGCAACGCACCCACTGGCTGATTTTGCATGTCCAATTTGAAATGCAACGCATCCGCGTGCTCATCCGTCGTCAGACGGCCAAAATCGGCTAACGGATTGCGCGCATAGGCGCCGTGTCGTGGCAATATTTCGAATTCAACGGGTATGACTAGTACGTTCTCGTTTAGATGCTCCATCGGTGAGGCATCATCATCTGCTGGTTGCTCAGCTATTTTTATGCGTATATAGGCGCTGTGGTTGCCAGCGGTCCGCCCGTGGAACGAAATGCGTATGACTGGCTTTAGTGAATGCGGTGGTATTTCCCACAGATTTTGAGGTCCTTCTGAGCCGCCGCTGGGAAGCTCCAGCTGAAACTCGCCACCGCTGCTGTAGACCTACAATAAAAAATCAATGAGGCATATTTTAGAGAGACTTGTCTGGCATACTTACCTCGAGTATCTGGAGCGGCCGCTCGTGCGGATTGTACATGTGAATCTCTGGCGTGAGCGTTGCATTCATGGGCGCCTTAATGCCCACAAGTGGCTTTAGGCGGTACGGACACTCGCTGCCCTCGCCGCGCACCGCGAACTCGGCACGCCCGAAGGACGTTTGGATCAGCAGACCCGTTGATATGGCACCAAGTTGTCGTGGCAGAAAGACGACGCTGAATGTGGTATTGCCTTGCGGCGGCACCTCTCGCGTACCAAAGAAACTGCTGTAGAACACTGGGCTTGGCCCAGCGACAGAGTTTAGATGGACAGTGCGATTTGTGTGCTGATTAAACAGAGTCACAATCTGCGTTACCGTCTGCCCCACCGACCATCTGCCAAAGTCTATCGCCGGTGGCACAAAATTGAGGTGGCGCAGCAATTCAACTTGCTCGCGCGTGTGCGGTTCGGGCAGCGTCTGTGACTCCTCCAGACCGATGAAGCCCGCCTGTAGGCCAGACAGCACTTTTTCCCTGCTACCCCCCATTTGTTGGCTGCTCTTGGCTGGGACGACGACCAGCAGCAGCAGCAGCAGGAGTGAGGGCAGCGAATTTGTTGAGTACATCCTTTTCGTGTTTGTTGTGCTGCGCAATATATGAGCGAGTGGGTTGCTTTGTAATCACGGCACTCGAATCTCCTTAGCCGCAATCCGTGCTCACATTAAGTACTAGTTTAATTATATTACTCAATATCGCTTATGTTATCGCTGATTCGATTCTGAGAGCATTAACTTTAACAGCTGTGCAATTCGTAAACAGCTGACTCGTAATTTTTTTCGAGGGGATAAATTTCCATTAAATAGCAGGCGGGCACACTTTTCTCAATGCCAGCGTACGTTAACGCAAAAATGCGCAACGTTCGACGCATTGTGAGTAATGGCGTAACGTATTGTTAAGTGACGTTGCGTTTATCGATAACTCGCGATACAAATGCATATTAAGTGCTTCAGATCGAAAAGAAAGTTTGCGGTGTAAAATTATTAACAAAAAGTGAAGCTGCTGTAAATACATAAAGATATAGTGAGTTTATAAATGTGCCACTATAATGAGCACATGCATTTAAATAGCATATTTAATTAGTTGTGCATGTAGTTGCTAATAAACATGAAATGGATAAACACACACACATGCACATACACATACAGAAATCCATGCGAATTTGTGGCCAGATACCAAGCATTTCGTAAAAAAATAGGAATTGCATCACTATTGATTTTGCCCACTTTCACTGGCTCGTTGCCTAAATCTAAAACAGTTGCGCTTAGTAATACAGAAAATAAATAACCAATACACGTCAGATAATTCGCCATGAACTTCGACAATTGCGCGCTCTCATGTTAATTACGAACTTGGCAACAACAATTGTCCAAAGAGAGCTTTGAAATACAAGCTTTAAATTTGTGTCAAGTCATTCAACACATTCTCCAATACCAAGTGCCCAGCTAAAGCCTAAAATGTTTGCAAATTAGAATCAGAAATAGACACAGAAACAGAAACAACGCTTACAGCGTAGCAAAAACGATAAAATATTGTAAACAGGAAAAACCTTTTTGTCTGTGTGCACGTTTTCCAGTGCTCGGCAACGTTAAAATTGAACGTTGTCAAGTCGCTGTCGTAAATTTACCTGCATAATTCACAAAAGAGCCTCGATAACTGTGTTTTGGGTGAAAGCTATATTTACCTGCCCTTTTCCCTATACACAAATTTGATTTTGAGCCGCTGCTCAACGAGACAAAACCGGTTCATCTTCAGATTGCCGTAGATGTGCTGCGCTGTGTTTGTATTTACTTGATGGCATAACTGTTTTTCTTTTACCTATTTTTAGTACACACACCTAGTTCAGGCTTGAATTCATTTGGTGTTTATATTTAACTATATGTCCACAATCTGCATGCCAAACATCTGTTTAATAACTCGAATATTTCTCGAGTTATAAGCTAAAACTCAAGTCATATGCAGGAAAGGGTTCAGCATATGATATACATTTATCTTGACTATATACAAATAAACTGCGTTAACATTAACATAATAGATCTAGGGCATCCTGGGGATTCCTATAGTTACAGCCGTGCGGGACATCCACTTTCTATCCTAGCTAAATCCTACAGCTCTATTTTCCTCTAAAGTACTCGTCCATTGAAATAATCAAATATCAGGAGACAAACTGTTATCTGATTTTTCTCTTAATAATAATCACTTGGAAGTAAATCTAATCAACTTTATGCCCCGTAGCTAGCTGAGTTATAAGCAGCGATTCGCAAATACTCGATTGCAACTAGAGCAAACATTTTAATCTTCTATATATAGAAAAGCCTCTATTTATAAGTTACGCTCTACGTAAGAATTTGTTTAGATAAACTCTTAATGTAGCTTGTTGAATGATCAAGAGCAGCTGCTTCATTTATAGAACCTATTTAATTGGGGAATATGAATTGTTTACCCAGAAATTTACACTAAATCGTACAAATTGGTATACATATATATATATATATATATATATGCGTATATATGTTTGTATATGCCCACGATAACATGTGAGATCGTCAAATGTACGAAGCAGGCGAGGCAGCTTCGCTGATTGCCGGATTCCGGTTCGGTTCTACGGGTTCGGCGTGTCGGGTCTTCAACGCTGGTGCGCTTGCATATTAGATTTCAGTTCACTTGAGACTCGAGAGCGTACAGGTTGCCGTGTGCCGTCGTGAAAAATAGAATAATAGAAAAGTAAAAAGCACGAGAGCCGAGCAAACAAATAAATCTAACCCAGGCATTCGCAAGCAGACAACGACAGCAATAACATTTAAGGCAGGTGCTCAAAAGCTTGGCTGCACTCACGCGTCCCTAATCAATTCTAAGCAAATAGAATCAAAGTTTGAAAGTACAGACGAACCCAATGTCAAGCGAAACTTTGAATATACATATGTGTAATACAATATTTTGACTTGGCAATATGCAATTTGTTTACTATTTACAGCAGAACCCCCTCAAAATTACAGCATGTCTGCGAAAGCGATCACGGAAGCCACCGGCAAAGACATCCTCAATCGTCATCTGAATCAGCACGGCGCCGGCGCAGCCACCTGCCGCTTTGCCACAGTCAATGCGGACACGGATTGGTCCAAATTGAGCGTCGATCATCCCTGGTTGCTGACCACGGTAAGTGCCGGCCGGCCGCGTTAGCTATAAATACACACAATTATTAGATAAGCGTTCGCTACAACAACAACATAAAACTAGGCCACCCCAGCAAACATCCGAATTTCGAGTCGCTCTCTGCCATTGAACTTGACCCAGCCGACGACGAGAAGCCGGCTAAGGCCACTTCGATTAGCCCACCACGTAGCGAGCTGCTGTGCACATGACTCAGCGTCGTACAGACCGGCATCTGGGCCATGCATGATTCCCAAAATTATTGATAAGCATGGCGCGATTATGTAGCTCTATGTATGTGTATATGCATTATGTGTGTGCGTGGATTGATTGGAGCGTATGTCAAGGTGATTTGAGCGTCCATTATATATACATATACATTATGTATATGTTGTTGTGTGCCATGCAGGAATAGCACCTAAACCATGTAGTAATAGGTATATGACTGATTCATAATGCTAGGAAAATTAAAGTAAATAAACCCCGTGAAACCGGTTAATGGCCCGACGTTTATACAACTGACTGAAGAGATTTTATTAATTCATAAATCTATCTAATCAATGCAGTCAATTATTGAGACAGTTTTCTTTGAATTCCTAGCATTTCTCACCCTTTCACCCATTTTCCACCCGCAGGCGCCGAATTGAAGTCACGAAAATTGTAGCGCATTTTTCTAAACACGTTTACAGATTATTTTCTGTTGCCCTTGCAAAGGGTAGACTTGTGTCACAAAATGTGTAACGATTGCGACCCCATTAAGTATATATTTATATATATATTCCTGATCAGTATCTATTGATAACACGCTGTTGCCTAGCCGATATTCCCTTGCCCGACTGTCTGTTTCTATGCATACTGTCTCTCGTAGGTCAAAAATGAACTGAACTTAAAAAAACTTCAAAAAAATAAATGTAGAGAAGCCGCAATATGGGAATACAATATCATATAGCTGGCATAGGATCAATCGGTCGAATATTGTGTATTTCTCAAAGATGACACTTTCTCTTTGCAATTTAAGCTGGGGATTAGAATAATTGCTCTATAGTACGATTGACATATCATTTGTGTACGCGCACACACACACCAAAGGTGTTCATGTGTTTCCAGGCCGGAAAGCTGCCGCGCAGCAATCAACTGATTGGCGCCAACAAATTATTTGTGATAGTGCAATCTTTTATCTACCAAACAGAACGATGTGCGTGTGTTTGTTTAGGTGTCGATAGACAGGCAGTGGGTGGCGTGATTATCCACAAAATTTGACTGTGGCCTATCAGCAGAGCAAGCAGCAGCAGCAGCAGAAGATTAGGGGTATCTATAAGATCTGCCAGGCGGGAATTTGACTTTGGGAGATGTTTGTTGAGATGCACAATTCCAAGTTCAACTTGAAAGCAGCCGCGCAATCGCCTGAGGCGTTGCCCTCTGATGATGATTGTTCAATTTACACTCGTACGATCTTCTAATAAGCAAGTGTGTGTATCTTTGTGTATCCGTATGTGTGTGTGTGTGTGTGTAGTCGTGCGCGCATTGTCATTGACAATGACGCAGCCTCTCGGCTGACCCCTAGTTGCGATTGTCACTCGCTCCGGCTGATCCCATTGCGTAGTTTGTTAGCGACTGATCTTGCTGACAATGGCTGGACTCTGGTTTGGCTGACGTAGCCAGCACCTAAGGGGTTCATTGAATGACTTACAGTCAATAATTAGCATCTTTCCCGCCTGATAATTTATGGTTTTTTTCTCGTTTGCAGCCCCTTGTGGTGAAGCCCGATCAACTGATTAAGCGACGTGGTAAACTGGGCCTAATTGGTGTTAAGAAGAGCTTTGAGCAGGTGAAACAATGGATTGGCGAACGTCTCAACAAGGATCAGAAGATTGGCAATGCGGTCGGCAAGCTGCGCAACTTTATAATCGAGCCCTTTGTGCCGCACACAGAGGTAAGCTTTGTCAGTGGCATCTTTCCAGATTAAGTTAATTGAATTGTGTTTCTTTCAACACAGGCCGAGGAAATGTACGTGTGCATCTATTCGCATCGCTCGGCGGACACGATTCTGTTCTATCATCTGGGCGGCGTGGATATTGGCGATGTGGACGCCAAGGCTGTCAAGTTGGAGGTGCCGGTGGACAGCACCTTGTCGCTGGCCGATGTGAAGACCACGCTGCTAAAGGCCATTACAGATGCGTCCAAGAAGGAGCGCATTGCCAAGTTTATATACGCATTATACGCAACATTTGCTGATCTGTACTTCACGTATCTGGAGATCAATCCGCTCGTGGTGACAGCCGATCATTTGTACATATTGGATCTGGCAGCCAAGCTGGACTCGACTGCTGATTTTATATGCCGTCCGAAATGGGGCGAAATTGATTATCCGCCGCCCTTCGGTCGCGATGCCTATCCCGAGGAGGCGTACATTGCAGATCTGGATGCAAAGAGTGGTGCCTCGCTCAAGCTGACGATCCTTAACAGAAATGGACGCATTTGGACCATGGTCGCTGGCGGTGGTGCCAGTGTCATTTACTCCGATACCATTTGTGATTTGGGCGGCGCCACAGAGCTGGCCAATTATGGCGAATATAGCGGTGCGCCATCCGAACAGCAGACATACGAGTATGCCAAGACGATACTCAACCTGATGACCTCGTCCCCGAAACATCCCGATGGCAAGGTGCTGATTACAGGCGGCGGCATTGCTAACTTTACGAATGTTGCAGCGACCTTCCAAGGTGAGTCCGAGCCTGAACCTTATCTTATCAGACAACTAATTAAATTACCTTACTTTGTTGCAGGCATCATCACGGCCCTGCGCGAGTTCCAGCCCAAGCTGGTCGAGCACAATGTCTCGATCTTTGTGCGCCGTGCGGGACCCAACTATCAGGAGGGCTTGCGTCGCATGCGTGACTTTGGCGGCACCTTGGGCATACCGCTGCATGTGTTTGGCCCCGAGACGCACATGACCGCCATTTGTGGCATGGCGCTGGGCAAGCGACCCATACCACAGGTGGCCAGCGTTGAGTTCTCCACGGCAAATTTTCTGCTGCCCGGCGGCCAGCAGGCGCAGGCCGATCTGAAGGCAGCCAGTGAGGCGGAAGGCCTCGGCTCTGGTAGGTGGAAACCCGCAATCACGGAATGTGCTAACATCCTGACCCTCCCGAAACCACCATCCAATAATCCCAACTACCCAATAATTTGTTATAGCTATTCTTATAATGTGTCTCTTTATGTATTTATTCTTGCTATGGACTTGCATTTATTATTCTGTTTTCTCTGTATTTCTTTTGTATGTATTTGCATTGATCGCCCTCCGCTCCAACCAACAACAAATCAACAACCACACCCACAAAAAACCATAAAAAAAACAAACAATTTTATGAAACGTTCGTTTGGCCAAAATCGCACCTCGTCCTCGATATGTGAACCGAAAATTTAATCCTAAACCAAACCAAACCAAACCAAACTTCACATCGTATTTGCATTTCCTCGCACCACCTCGTCGTCCTCGTAACTTAATCTTGTATTGAATGTTGTCTATATGTATATATGTATGTCAAATTCTATACTCTTTCGACTATATTTGCTCGCTCTCGCTCATCATCATAATAATATCAATATCGATATCGGTAACGATCGACTTGCCACTCATTTGGGGATTGCAATTTGAAACTAAACCACAAAAGCCTTGCGCTCGACAACAGCACAATCGATTAAACTACCACCTATCTCGGCAGATGAGAGCGATGGCCTCGCCACCAATAATCATCAGCAGCAGCAGCAGAGCAAGAGCAACGGTTCGAATTTGAATTTCAATCGCAAGTTCTTCTCCAACACAACCAAAGCGATTGTCTGGGGCATGCAGCAGCGTGCGGTGCAATCGATGCTCGATTTCGATTTCATATGCAGGCAAGTTCCATATCCAAACCAATTGTCTATTTATCTAATTCTCTTTTCGCTGCAGGCGCGATGAGCCATCGGTTGTGGCCATGGTCTATCCCTTTACGGGCGATCACAAGCAGAAGTACTATTGGGGCCACAAGGAGATACTGATACCCGTTTACAAGAAGATGTCCGATGCCATACACAAGCACAAGGAGGTCGATGTTATGGTCAACTTTGCCTCGCTTCGTTCGGCTTATGATTCGACGCTGGAGGTGCTTGAATTTCCACAGATACGCACAGTGGCCATCATTGCCGAGGGCATACCAGAGAATATGACACGGAAACTGATCATTGAGGCCAACAAGAAAGGTGTGGCCATCATTGGACCCGCCACAGTGGGCGGCGTGAAGCCAGGCTGCTTCAAGATTGGCAATACGGGCGGCATGCTCGATAATATATTGCACTCAAAGCTCTATCGTCCCGGCAGTGTGGCGTATGTCTCTCGCTCGGGTGGCATGTCCAACGAGCTCAATAATATCATATCAAAGGCAACGGATGGCGTCGTTGAAGGCATTGCCATTGGTGGGGACAGATATCCCGGCTCCACGTTCATGGATCACATTCTGCGCTATCAGTCAGATCCGGAAACGAAACTCATTGTGTTGCTGGGCGAGGTGGGCGGCACCGAGGAGTATGATGTGTGCGCCGCAGTCAAGGATGGACGCATCACAAAGCCTCTGGTAGCCTGGTGCATTGGCACCTGCGCTAGTATGTTTACCTCGGAGGTACAGTTCGGCCATGCCGGCTCCTGTGCGAATTCGGATCGCGAAACGGCTACGGCAAAGAACAAGGCGCTGCGGGACGCTGGCGCATACGTTCCGGACTCGTTTGATACGCTGGGCGAGCTCATTCATCATGTGTACGGCGAGCTGGTCAAGACCGGACGCATTGTGCCACGCGAAGAGGTGCCGCCACCGACGGTGCCCATGGACTACTCATGGGCCCGCGAGTTGGGTCTGATCCGCAAGCCGGCATCGTTTATGACCTCAATTTGTGATGAGCGCGGCCAGGAGCTGATCTATGCGGGCATGCCCATCAGTGAAGTGCTCAACAAGGACGTTGGCATTGGTGGCGTCATTTCGCTGCTGTGGTTCCAGCGCTGTCTACCTCCCTATGTGTGCAAGTTCTTCGAGATGTGCCTCATGGTCACGGCTGATCATGGACCCGCTGTCTCCGGCGCCCACAATACCATTGTATGTGCACGCGCTGGCAAGGATCTGGTCTCCTCCGTCGTCAGTGGTTTGCTGACAATTGTAAGTGTTCATGATCACGATATTTCCAAGAGTTATTTAATGTAATCTGATCTATTGATAGGGCGATCGCTTTGGCGGAGCGCTCGATGGCTCGGCCAGGCAATTCTCAGAGGCATACGACACCAACTTGCATCCCATGGAGTTTGTGAACAAAATGCGCAAGGAGGGTAAACTTATTTTGGGCATTGGACATCGCGTTAAGTCCATTAACAATCCCGATGTGCGTGTCAAAATTATCAAGGAGTTTGTCATGGAAAACTTCCCGCAGTGTCCGCTGCTCAAGTATGCGCTGGAAGTGGAGAAAATCACAACCACCAAGAAACCAAATCTAATTCTGAATGTGGATGGTGTGATTGCCACCGCCTTTGTGGATATGCTGCGCAACAGTGGTTCCTTCACCAGGTGAGTGCTCCCTTGTAACAGTCGGCGGGTACTTTGATTTTCCTAATTGTTTGTGGCATTTGCAGCGAGGAGGCACAGGAGTATATCAATGTGGGTGCCATCAATTCGCTGTTTGTGCTGGGCCGCAGCATAGGCTTCATTGGACACTATATGGATCAGAAGCGACTCAAGCAGGGACTCTACCGTCATCCATGGGACGACATCTCCTATGTCATACCCGAACAATACAACTAAGAGCTTGTCCATTGATATTACAAATTGTTGGATGTTGTTGTAGCTAAGCACAGATGTTAACCAACTGCTAGTGGCGAGCATGGATGGCCGCATGGTTCACAATCACAGAACACTCCATTAGCTGTGTAGTTGAGTTTCAATTCTACTATATATACAAATATGGCTCAGCTTACCCCAGTTTGTCTCCCCCCTCTCTCTCTCTCTCCCTATCTATCTCTTAGTTAAATACATTACATATGTTTACAGTGTTATAACTAAGCCGCATTTACATTCATACTATTTACCAGCATAAAGTTATTAAGTTACGATCGTATATTGTTGACGCTCCTCTAGGCTATAGCCGGGTTTTTGGAAACTGAAAAAAAAAAATAACAAAGAATTAGTGAAATCTTGAGCTCCAAACGACATTTGTCATTATAATTTGATATGTTTTTATAATTATTTTAGTTTGGATGCAAATTGTTTAGTCAACAACGAATAAACTGTTGCAAAATGCTTAATTTGATGATTTTATTTATTTCTCACCATTTTTATTGGTTTAATTTTGTTTTAGTACCATGCTCGCTATTACCAAGAATTGGCAACTGCACTAATTAGAACTGCACCGTGTTCCTGCACTCAAATGCACATTTATTTATAACTAACGAATATACACATATATAAATATTTATTTACAAAGCACAGGGTCTGGTGAACATTTAAAAATGTTTCGGTTAAATGGAAACTGTGATTTCCTTCACAAGGGCTTAAACACTAGCGCAGCTTTCGCTTTCCAGTTATCCAAAGTATGATCGGATTGTGAGGAGTTTATAGAGTATATATCCATTATTGGACGTCTTGTGAAGCGTTTTTGCTATATGACATAAATTGTTCACTCGGGCACATTAATTAAAAGCGCACAAAATTTCACAAAACTAAAAACGATTGCATTTTCTTTTGGCTTGAGACATTTGTCTCTCCTTTTAATCTGGAAAACAACAAATTTGGAAAACCCGCACACATTTTTTATGCCTTGGTCTCTACTAACGACCAAGTTTTCTAAGCGTAAAATCTCATTTTAAACATAAATGTAACTTATCAAGCAGCCTCGCGAGTATAAATTGTATTTTAACTTAAGACCAGAGAAATCTGACTGCAACCTAAACCATCGAACGCAAAGGAATCGCTTGCTTTCATCTCATGCGACGCATTTTGCGATCCAATTTACGCTGCTTCTTTTCGTCCACTTCGGGCTCCTCTGCGGCGTTGCGCTGCGAGAGCCAAGGCTGTATAACTGTGCCCCAAAGCATCCAGGCAGCACGAACGGGGGCCAGTAGCAGCAGCAGCCAGAAGTAGTTGGAAATTAGGGCCAATAATAACGTGCCAGACGTAAGTATTATCAGATCCTTGACATTTCTGAAATGTACCACAACAAATTGTTAACTAGTGAAAGGAACAGCTTACAGGGTGTACCTACTCCGCAATACCGCCCTCCATATTTAAGTCATTTCCAGAGTCCAATAGTGCGCCGCTGTCGGAGTACTTTGCCCGGGACATGAATACCATAAATTGGTAAGCGGCACCTAAGATAAGTAGCGATACGGCCAGCATGAACTAAAATAATTTGGACTGATCAGCCATCGTTGCTCAAGATATACAATTTGTGTTTGACCTACCACAGTTAGCTTTGTGATCTCAAAGACCAGAAAACTAAGCAATACGGCGAGTGCACCGCATCCAATTGCCATGTTTCTATAAAACGCCAATGTTGTCTTGTTCTCCTCGACAATTTGTTTTGCGCCCTTTGTGCCCTGCTTGCCCTTCTGTTGTGGCTGCAATTTGAACAGAATTTAATTTATAATATAAAGACAATCTTATTTGTTTACTTACAGCCATTTTTAATTTAACTATTATACTATTTATTGTTAAAAATTACGTCCAGGTAAAAGACGTGGCATGTACTTATCTTACGGTAATCGATATCAATAATCAAAAATCGATAGTCTTGTGTAAATGTAAACAAGAGAGTGACCAGTTATGCCGCTGTTAATTTTACGTGTGTGGCAACGCCAAAGCAAATTCCTTCTCTGATTGCACATTGGACTTTATTTTACTTGGAACTTCTTTTGATTAAAGAACAGAAACATGGAAAAGTGGGTGCAGTTAAATAATCAAGCAGCCGGAAGAGACAAAATTGCACGACTCATTCAATATGCGTCGCGTGCTATGTGGGATTCGCTGGAGACCTCCAATGGCCATCCGGCATTGGTGGACAATTTTAAGACCATCGAGTATATCTTAAGCACATTCCGGAAATGTAAGTTATGCTATTTATTCGTTAATAAAAACTTCTCAAAGGATTATTAATATAGTGCTGCGCTTCGGCAAGGGCCTGGATGTATTCTATGCGAGCCTACGAGCCATACACTATCCAGATTTCACGATTCGTGTTACGCTGACAATGAGCAAGCTTTCCCAGGCCTTGTTTTTGCTTGCTGATCATTTATTGTGGCTCGCACGCACTGGGCTAACAGCGGTGGATCCTAAGAAATGGTCAAGGATAGCCAACAAGTATTGGCTGTTTTCAATCATTATGAATTTGTGTCGCGACTTGTATGAAATAATGCGCGTCTTGGATCTGCACAAAGCCAGCTGCAGTAGTGGCATAACACGTTGCAAGATCCCGGCTCGCATTAATTCTCCGGCCGACTTTAAGAAATTGGCTCTGCACTCCTACGGCCTTGTGTTGGGTCACAAGGACATCGTTGTGGACACAGTGAAAAATGTATGCGATTTCTTTATACCTCTGACGGCTTTGGGTTACACAAGTCTGACACCGAGGACCATAGGTAAGCTGGGTGCGATTTCATCAGCGGCTGGCTTATGGGCTTTGCTGGAGCCAACAGCGAAGCTGACGCCCGCATAAAATTGATGACCTAATTATGTATTTAAATATGAATTTGTGAACGTACTTGTTGCACTATTTATCTGATATTTTGTATATATGTAATTTGTTAAGTTGAAAATGGACGATTTTATAAAGTAATTGATGTTATAAGAGTACCTAAATCATTAGCTGCAAAAAGCTATTAAATAAATTATTTTGTAATACCCCTACTAAGGGTATTTCATTGTCTGGCATCCTCTGTGTTTTGTATTCTATTCAGACGTTACCCAGCACTTGAAAATTATCGACTGTTTGGGATGCAACAGCTGTTTCGGCTGATTTTTTTTTACCGAGTTTGTTAACAAACTTTCTGTGCCACAGTCTTTGGAGCGTTATCTAGAAATTAGATTTCGATGCGTCATCACTGAACATTTGTGCGTGTGGGCTGGCAACGCGTAGAACAGTGTGTATCCCAAGAGCCGCCGGAATGCACTATTCATATTCCTCACTGTCCACCGGCGGCGTCGACCAGCACAATCGCTGTCTCGGCAACAGGGCCTGGTGTGTTAAGGTAAGTGCTTGGACTTTGCATTTAAATTATCAAATTACCTTATGTGTACATTTTTTACAGGATATTTGCGGTATTGTTTGCGTTATAATGACCTGGCTGCTTATACTGTTTGCGGAGTTTGTGGTGTGCGGCCTGATACTGTTGCCAAGCTATAGAAATTACAGCCTGTTCAGTAGCATCAATATGTTTATATTCCAAGCACTTGCATTCCTGGCATTCGTCTCACACTTGCGCACCATGCTCTCGGATCCGGTAGGTCATGATGAAGTACCCTATCAATGCATATAAGTAATTGCCTTTATTAACTACACGGTAGGGTGCTGTGCCTCGTGGGAATGCCACCAAAGAGATGATCGAGCAAATGGGCTATCGTGAGGGTCAAATGTTTTACAAGTGCCCCAAATGCTGTAGTATTAAACCAGATCGTGCTCACCATTGCTCCGTCTGCCAGCGCTGCATACGAAAAATGGATCATCACTGTCCCTGGGTTAACAATTGCGTTGGCGAGAACAATCAAAAATATTTTGTACTGTTTACGGTGCGTACACAACCTGAAGGGAGCCGGGCCACATGATTGTAATTAACCAGTGTATGTCATTTGCTCTTTGCAGTTCTACATAGCATCGATTTCGGTGCACACGCTCTTTTTGGTAATGACGCAGTTTGCCGAGTGCGTGAGAAGTGATTGGCGCACCTGCTCAACGTACTCACCGCCGACGACCATATTTCTGTTGCTCTTTCTCACGTTCGAAGGTCTAATGTTCGGCATATTCACGATTATAATGCTGCTATCCCAGCTAAACGCCATATTGAACGATCAAACGGTGCGTTTGGTGAAAATTTAAGCAATTATTCTGAATATTTGTTAATTATTTGTCTGCCTACGTACATTACAGGGCATTGAGCAACTGAAGAAGGAAGAGGCGCGTTGGGCCAAAAAATCGCGGCTTAAGAGCATACAATCTGTATTCGGGCGCTTTTCGCTGGCCTGGTTCTCGCCTTTTACGGAGCCGTCCTGTCGCCACAAGTTCAGCACGCATTTCTATTCGGTCTGAGGTGGATCCTTCCAAAACGATGTTACTTACTGTAGCTTAAACGAACAATATGAATGTTTAAGTCCCGCTGCCACTTGTTGACTATTGCAGTGCAATTTACAAATTCAATAAGCTCGATATGCATGTGCTGTGTGTTTTGTGTGTGTCTGCGTGAATTTACTTAAGCCTAACATAACTGGACATATGTATGTTGCCTTTACCCTGTTCGGGTGCAACATGTAATATACTTAATAATAGTAAATTATTTAACTGAGCGAGAGATTTTTACTTTGTAAACCTGATGAGAGCATTCTATTTATTTTATATAGAGAAAAATAAACGTTCAATGAGAAAACCGAAAACATGCGCAAACTTTTTACTTTTCAGGTGGGAAACATCTTTCGCTCATCTCCAAGGGTCGTGCTCTTACGGAAATCTATAAAAAAAATGTGAGAAATAGAGATCGGAGAAAACGCTTGCTCTCAAGAGAAAGGCGCCCGAAATTCTCCCGACAGCCACAAAGTCGGCATGGACTTTTGCAGATGCTGTGCCATTCGTTTAGTCTGAGAAAAACGATCGGAGATCCAGGAGGTGTCTGCTGGACGTGGTGTGCGCGCCCTCAACGTCGTCTTGTATATATTATTTATATATAGAAACAATTTTTGTTCACCAAATGTGTCAATTGTGTGAGTGTGTGTGTGTTTGTGTGTTTGATTCTGTATGTGCCCATTGAAAGTAGCATATTTCGGCTGCAGTTGAAATTCAATTTCGAAAGTGCAAAAAGCTAAATTTTATACATGTACAAAATAATAATTTGTGTTCAAAATAATTACGATAAATTTCATATTTTTCAGCCAAGAGAAAAGCTTAAATATCTTTGACAACATCGCTGCCTTCTTCATGTTCATGTGCACGTCGTTCTAAATATATGTGTATATATATAAGAAAAAAAAAGAAGAAGAAAAATTTAAAAGCGGTTTTTCAGTATACGCCGCAATTAAACAACCATCAAATAAATTTCCAATCCTAAGTAAAAAGATTTCGTTGAGCGTGTGGAAAAGTCCTGTTACGCAGACTACGCGAACGCGTCTGTGTGCGTGCGTGCGTGCGTTCGTGTGTGCAAGTGTGTGTGTGCTACCCATGTTAAAGTGGCCCTGTTTTTGGCTAATTATATAGCTAGTCTGTCTAGCTAGAGCTAAAACATGGAAGGAACACCGGGAACAGCAGCCGACGCAGCCGCCGTCGTAGTAGGTAAGCAGCTACAGACTGTTGATAGGTCGATGCTGGGTGCGGGGTGCGGGGAACGGGTTATGGGAGAAGGGAAAGCAGACGGGTTTTAATCTTCTCTGCACAGACAATGGATTCCAAGTGTGTATATTTTTATAAACGCACGGGCTTCGTCTCCGTCAAGCATTGGCCTCTGTGCGGTTACGTAATGTGGAACTTAACGGAACGAAACTGAACTAAAGTGAACTGAACTAAAAACGGACTATGCAAAACTTTTCATAATTGTGCGCTAAATAAACCGTTGCCAGCATTGGGATTTTGAATTTTATTAGTGAATTCATAATTATTAGTAAATTAGTTGCGGTAGTTTGTTTGAAAAGTTTCTTTTTCAAAAGACATTTGCACACACACATATATACGTACATTAATATTTGTACATGCGAATATTTTAGTATAGTTTTTGTATGAATAATATTCAAACTATTTTTAGTGCACATCTTTTGTAGACAGGCGGCAAATGGCTGCTCGTTGCCGGCAAAGATCTGCGCATTGAGATTTGCAAAAAACAAATATGTACATTTGCGTACTTAGTTGTGGAGTCGTTCAGTATGAAAAGAGAACTCAGTGTTGGAAAGCTTACAAGACATTACGAGATTACACGGGATTATGTAAAGTACATACTTAAGAACTGATCAAGGCTGTCCTCTTCAAATTGAAGAATCAATATATAATCGATATAAGAAACTAAGAGAGAGAAAGAGTTAGGTGTATATATACGCCGATATTAAAGGACTACAAGGGGTTACATAAAGTACATACTCTCAAAATGATTAAGAGTTTCCTCTGCGAATTGCAGAACCAATATACAATTAACATCATAAACTAAGAGAGACAAAGAATAAGGGAGTATATAAGCCGTAAGTCAGTTTTGCTTAAAACACACATTTTCTCAATATTTTATCCCAAATAAAATAGTTACGTCGATGAGACAATATAGTTTTTTCGTTTATCCGTAAATAAGAAAGCAAGAGAGCAGAATATCTAACTGAAATCAAATATGGGTCTTGTGATATCAAAATTACTGAGTTTTTTTTGCAAGGAACACATTATAAATCCTGAAATTTCTAAATACAGTACCCAAGCCGAGAAATAATGTTCTTACATTACGAACATTTAACGCTCTCTTAGCTATATACATACTTCTAATCATTATTTTGTACATAAACCAAAACTTTTTCCTGTTTTCCGGCGCAGACAGTTCATTCTAAAATCTCTAACGGACACATTTTATTTTAAGAATATTTTAGAACGAAATTGTGCCTAAAATTTGGAGAACCAACTGATTAGAGTTCTATGCAAGTCGTTACGTAATATGGAACGACGCCTTTTTCAAAGTATAGAAAGTATTGGAACTAGAAGCCTATTTGCCTTTAGGAAGAATGTTTATGAAATATAGCGCCTATTGTTCAAACATCTGATCTTTCGCTTGTATTATTTTAGAACCTCCTGGCCAGGCCACAATGCCAGATCGGTCACCACGTATTACGTTTAGTGATAACTCCAGCTCCCTGATACGCTGCATACCCAATGAACGTGCGACGTTTTTTGTGAAAATCGATTGCGATGAGGAGGATGAAACGGAATTGCTGCCCTTCAAATTTGAGTGGTAAGTCATAGCCAATAAATTAATACAAATGTGTGCGTGCGTGCGTGTGTGTGCGTGTATGTGTGTGCAGTGTGTGTGATTCACCGGTTGTGTGCATAATGCCAAAATGTTGCGCATTTACATTCAATTTCTCCTTCACGCTTGCTCAACAAGAACTGAGATACTAGATGCCCGGGTTAACGGCGACTGCGCCCAGAGCCGAAAACCGAACGCTGCGGGCGGGCTGTGCTCTCTCTTCTTCTTCGTCGTCTTCGCCTTCTCCTTCTTCGTCTTCTTCTTCTTCTTTGTTGTCGCAGCGTTCTCTGACCATTTTGGCTCTTGGGCAATGGCAATGGCAAAGGCAGAGCAGCCGTTGCGGCAGTTCCACTTTGACGATCGGCGCATTAACATATCCGTTGCCCAGCAGCATTTTCTATAAGACGCAAACGATCCACGTATATGTGTATATAAGTATGTGTGTGTGCGTGCTTTAAATCATATGGAATCATACGCTGCGTATACTTGATAAATTCGAATTGTGGCAAGATAATCAATCAAATTCATGAGCTTTCCCAGAAGACAGTGTATTTCTGTTGTGCGTAAAAACTGTTGCATGCACAACAAAAGGCTCCACCAAATGTGATGTGCGTGCGTGTGTGTGTGTGTGTGTGTGTGTGTGTGTGTGCGTTGCGTGTGTGGGCCCCTCGAAATGGTGGCGATCGTCTAAATTTAGATGCATTAACAAATCGACTTGCACGGTCCGGCACGGGAAAATATTTAGAAAATGTTGTAAAGCTCTGTGGCGTCATGATGTTTCAATTTTTATGCCCAAAATGTGTTGAAAATCGCTTTTCAACTTAAATGGAAAATGAGAAAAATTACATAATCAGTTCGGTGTATTGAAAGAAACTTTTGCAATATCCGCGCCAAAGCAACAAAATCAACAACGAAACAAACAAATTTGCGAAAAGGCACAAGAAACAAGCGAAACATTTAAGATTTCGTATTTGTTTTAACTAAATTAAAGAATTCTCTGGTACACAGAGAACAACGAATTATTAGCAATTCGAAAATGAAATGCGTGGCATCCGTGAGATACGCGTCCCAAAATAAATTGCCAAAATACAAAATACAAGAAGAAACAAATTTTTCCTTTCTTTTTTGTTTTTTTTTTTTGTTTTTGTCGTTTTGTCTAGTGTTCACAATTTTCTTTGGCTTTTGTGTGTGTAAATACAAAATACAATTAATATAGTCGTGTCGGTTCGTACAAAGCCAAAATGTGCATTTATTTATAAACATTCTTGTTTTCGATTGAAATATTTTCGTCATTTTTCTTTTTAGATTGGTTTAGTTTTTGTTTTTTTGTTTCTTCTCCTACTTGTGGTTGTTTTGTTTATTTGTTAATAGTCATAATAATGCCAACATAAATTAATGACTTTTGTGCTAGGTAAATTAAAGCACGTGCCTATAATAATAAATTTATACCCATATATCCATATCCATAATTTGGATAACATTGATAGACCGAACGTTAATATAAACAAAACGGAAGGAGACTTGAAATACTATTATACAGACAAATAGGCGTTTGTCCGTGACCAGATCTGAATTGCCTTAACATATATTCTAAATGGTTGAGACGACCTCTCTATTGTAAAGCTAACTATACCTATTTACAAATAAATACATATGTAGTAGAAGGAAGATACGCTTTATAAAAAGAACAAAAGAAGTAGAACAGATTAGAGTATCAAATATAAAACCGGTAATCAGAAGCCTATGGAAACGTATGAAGCGTCATTTGAATTCGTGAGAATCGCGTAGTAGGGCAATATTTAAAAATTTTAAAATTTATGAAGTGAGGTAAAATTGGTCTACGTTGAATATAAGAGACCTTGCCAGGTCTAAACTTTCAAATCTCAATTTAATGCATCCCTTTTTACCTGCTCGTTGAAAAATATAAGTCTTTCCATTTTATTGTCCTATTTCCACCCATAGCAGTGGATTTCCGCAATCGGCGAATCACTTTAAATACATTTTTACAATATGGGTTGAAAGTCGATCGGGCGAAAAACAAAAATTAGCCTTTGCTCAATTTTCCACACATGGGGCTTACATTTTCCGAAAAGTCATTTGTATCTTAATTTCTATACCTTTTATTTAATTGCACAGCGTCGGTGTGTTTGCGTATGTGTGTGTATATGTGTAAATAGAATATAAATATTTAGAGTAAACATTAGAATTTATCGAACACCATGGGCAACGGATGCTCAAAATGCTGTCGTTGCTGCTGCAACGAGCACAAACAAATTCACGGCACGCTCTCCACAGCCTCTGCCTCGTCCGTCTATAGGAAAAGGTAAACCCGGCGATCAATAAGACTATTATTTAGTGGTCCAACGAGTCAGCAAACCTCCTCATATATAACATAACCCATCAACGTTTCACAGGACCCGTGGCGATATACCCATCGAGAACTCCGATCGCTTTCGCATCACACAGACCAGCAATGCCGTCCAGCTGGCCGTGGAGCATGTGCAGCGCGAGGATGCTGGACACTATACCCTCTTTGCCCGTACGAAAAGCAACGAAGTCGTGCGCAAGCACGTCGAGCTCATTGTCGAGGACAGATCGACGGGCGAGGATCCACCCGTATTTCTGCGTCGCCTCGTCGATCTGTCTGTCAAAGTGGGAACACGAACACGCCTCCTAACAGAAATACGCAGCTCAACAGACCTTAAGGTATAGTTAATTGAAAATAATTAACCCTTAGATTAATAATGACCCGGAGATATTCGTTTGGATAGATCTGTTTGGGATATAGATTCTCAATTTGCATGAAAAGGTGTCGGCCATTAATCGTTGCGTTTGCCTTGGGTATATTCCCTGATCGTGCATTAATTTAATATATAATAGACAGATATTAAGGCAATTTTGTTTTAAAATCGCATAGGTTTGAATTCGAATTATTCGATTCTTAAGCCAAATCATTTGTCCAAAATTCAGTTAAAAATGGATTGAGTAAAGCTCATTACAAAAACCCTTTGCATAAATCTAACCATATTTGTTAGATGTCAATTTTGGGTAGATATAAAATTTAGCCCGCATCTTGTGTATGCAAATATTTACGGCTTACAATATTTTCAGTACAACGGGCAATGGTAATTTAAAAATTGAATTGTTATATTAGATTTTCGAAAACCAGCTTGACGAACTGAATTTATAAGCAACGAAATCAGAAGTCCATATATCTCATTTTTACGTCATTTTATCTAGAATCTAATCTCTCAGTTTTTAGAGTAAAGTTAGGGAAGCTTAATAAATATATTTTTTTGATTAGTTGTGGCTTTTCGAAAACCAGTATATGTTAGAATAATTCGTAAAACTCTCTAGAAAATTATGAAATAATATAATATATATCCCAAAGTTATATAATATATATCAAAACTTCTTCTTCTACTTAAATTAAGCCCCAATCGTTTGTATATATTAATATATCAGAGAACTAGCAATAAATTCTTAATTATATCTTAAACCAAATTAATTGCATACTCACGTTTTTTTTCGCCATTGCAACATCAGCTAACCTGGTATCGAAACGACCGCAGAATTTGCGAGAATGATCGCATCAAGGAGACCAACGAGGGCACATTTCACTATTTGGAAGTGAGTCCAGTAATACTCGAGGATGGCGGCCAATGGATGCTGATGGCTGAGAATATGGGCGGACGCAATTCCTGTTTGGCCACACTGAATGTCCTGGTGCCCAAGGCGTACAAGACACCCGAGTTTGTGGAGGAGCTGCGAGCTGTGCTCACCGAACAGGGCACCGTCTCGCTGGAGTGCAAGGTGGTGGGTGTGCCCACGCCGCATTTGCGCTGGTTCAAGGACTCAAAGGAGATCAAGGCTGGCGATATGTTTGCACTGACCGCCAATGCCGATGATCCAACATCGCTGGGCACGTACACATGCGAGGCAAAGAACTGCATGGGCGTCACCTACTCCAGCTCCAAGGTGCATGTGGTGGGACGCGGCAGTCGCGAGGGTTCCCTGAAGCCAGCCGACAAGTGAGTACCGGAATCTAGCTCGTCGCCTTTCGCTTCGTTTTTGCTCAATTGAATTCCTTGTTTTTGTTGCTCGTTCTCAGCGTTAGCAGCAATGCGCCGCCGCCGATCTTTACGAACGAGCTGCGGAACCAGAGTGTCCACATCGGGGATACCATCATACTCGGCTGTCAAGGTGAGTGGCTCTCAGCGCTGCGTTGGCGTTGGCAATCTGCCCGACAAAATAAAGCAAAAACATTTTTGTTTATTTTTCTCACGCACACACACACACACAAGCTAGTTCTCGTTAGATATATCATCATATACTTGTCTATATATTTATAGATATATGTAGATATATGTAGGTAGTTTCTGGCGGCGTCTGTTTTGTTTTTAGACATTGTGCGCTCGTGCTCTAGAAACTTGAACTCAATGAATGTGCTGGGAATGCTTGGACTGTTGTTGAGGTGGGTCAACAACATGCGCCAAATGAGTCGAGCAAAACAAAACCAATAATTGCCAAACGAGAGAAATGCCAGCCACAGTCTCCCTCTCGCTTGCTCTCCCTCTCTCTCTCTCTCTCTCTGAGAGCAACATGACGTATACGTGATATTTGATTAGTTTATTTAACTTTGTATTGCAGTTGTGGTGCCGCCTTGGCCCAAGAGCGTCACCTGGTACAATAAGGATGGGCGCGTGGATACCGACGAGCGCTATAAACTAATTGAGGATGGCCTGGGCGTCTATATGATCGAGATCAAGCCCTCCGAATCCTGTGACGCGGGCGATTGGAAGTGCGTCGTCACCAGCTTTGAGGGCTGCGTGGGCATCTCAGCTTGTGTGGTCAACATGGACAGTGCGTCGAGTATTCCAAAAAAAGTAGAAACGAACGAAACTAACAATATTTATTTGCAGTTCCCCGAAATTATCGCAAGCCCAGATTCATGGAGAGCCTGCGTGCTGTGCTGACCGAGGAGGGACTCGTTTCGTTCGAGTGCAAGGTCGTTGGCTTTCCAACGCCAGTGCTCAAGTGGTTCAAGGATGGCCACGAACTCAAGCCCGGCGATGTTTATCAGCTGACGGGCACCAATTCCCTGGGCACCTACTGTTGCATTGCGCGCAACTGCATGGGCGAGACGAGCAGCACGGCTGTGCTCACCGTGGAGGACATACAGAACCAGCTGACGGATGAGGAACGTTTGGTTTTCACGCATCAGAATCAGGCGCCCAAATTTCTAACCGGTCTGAAGAGCACAGATGCCAAAATCAACGAACCGTTTCAATTCAAGGTCGTGGTCAAGGCCACACCCGATCCCATCCTGAGCTGGTTCCGGGATGAGCTGCCCATCGATCCGAACGAGCGATATAATCACTATCGGGGCGAGAACGAGGACTGGCTGCTGGACATCAAGTCGGCGGAGTTTATCGATCAGGCCGAGTGGAAGTGTGTGGCCGTCAATGATTTTGGCACCAGCATTACCTCGTGCTTCTTGAAACTGCAAATCCCCAGGCATTACAAGAAGCCCCGGTTTCTGGAGTGCCTGCGCGCAGTGCTTACCGAGGAGGGCGCCGTCAATCTGGAGTGCAAGGTCATTGGCGTGCCGCAACCGGTGCTCAAGTGGTATAAGGATGGCGTTGAACTGAAGCCGGGCGACATACATCGCATCATTTCTGGCCAGGATGGCACCTGCTGTCTGGGCACCTATACATGCGAGGCCAGAAACTGCATGGGCGTGGTCGCCAGCTCGGCTTCGCTGCTGGGCTTCGAGGATGCACAGCGGACACAGAAGCCAGAACAGCCGCAGGCGAATGAGCTGCAAAGGAACTATTCGCTGTCCACCATACAGGAGGAGCGCACCTCACAGCTATACGAGACGCCCGTGGGCGACATAACCATAGATGATAAGGGCGATGTCTCCTTCTCGTTCGATGGCAAAGAAGTCTCCGTTTCGCTATACGAGACGCCCGATCTGACGGAGGAAGAAGCCCTGAAAATTGTTGAGATGTATGCGGATCAGATTTCGGAGCATGTAACAGAGCATAATATTGTTGAGTTGCCGCCGTTGCGTTTCGTCAAGGAGACTTCACAGTCGGGCAAGCTGCTAATGGAGGCGGTTGTTATAGATATATCACCCGAATACTTTACACACGATGAGGATATGCGCACCGAGGCGGATATGGATGATATATCTATAACTGAGATCACAGTGCACGGTTCCTCCGGCAGGGAGGGAGTCTTTGACAAAGAAACGGAGAAATATGCACAACAATCCTTTGAAAAAATGGAAGAGGAACTCTCCCTGACGGCGCCTATACGTAAGCGTAAGAAATCGCGACCCACAGAGACTGATGAGTTCTTTAGTTTGTCCAAGGCTTCCGGCTCGGGCAGTCAGGGCGAAGAGGAGACATCTGATCAGCAAACTTTTGCCAGTGCACAAATGTCCACATCGCAGAAGGTGGCCGCATCTTCTGAGGGCGAAGCCGCAGCACCCCCGAAGCGTAAAAAATCTAAAAAACCCACGGATAGCGATTCGTCAAAGACCACCGAGGACGATGCCAGGCTCCAGGACATTTCGGGCGCGGTGGGTGACGGATTATTGATGACGCCAGCGTCGCACATGAAGGCTGTGACCGATGAGGCGGAGATCAATAAGAATCTTATTGCATTGGTGCCTCTGGCCAAATTGCTGAGGGTCATTGAAAACCATTTGACAGTCGTCGAGACGGAGGTATTGGATCAGTCCACCATGATGATGACACCAGCTGCGGCAGACCAAAGCATTGCCATCATAAGAAATATTCTAGAGCCCATCAAGCAGATCGAATCAAAGCTGCGCGTCTACTCGGGCGAAACCCAAATCGATGCACTAATCCAAACCATGGATGATGATATACGACGACTGCATATGGGTCTGCAGGTAATCGAGAAGTGCGTCGAGATAGATGAAACGGGCGCCACGCTAATCCAAAGGACCAGTGTGTGCATTATTGACAGTGTGGCGGAGCATATGAAGCGGGCGCTGGAGGAGCTGAAGATCGTTAGCGAGAGATTCGAATCGGAGAGTCTGCGTAACCAAATCAATTTGACTGCCGATGATATACACCAGGGCCTGGAGATAACCCAAGGCACCATACGATCACAGGCACTGCTGCAGGAAGCCCAGGAACTGGAGGCAGCCAAGCATTTTACGGAGGCCGTGGAGAAGATGCAGGACGTGCCCGAAAGCGTATCCTTTGCATCCATAACGGAAGCCAACTTACCCAGCGAAGCGAGTGCCTTAAAGCAGATCTGTCAGCCCGTTGCAAAAATACAAGAAGCTCTGGAACGCGTCGAAATGGAGCTTTCCATGGAGGAGAATGAAGAGCAAATCTACAAGAAGGTGCACAAGAAGGTGCTGGATAGCATAGTGCAGCCAATTAGGGAACTGCAGAGTACACTTCAATCAATTGAAGATAAGACAGAGTCCCTGGCCGGATCCGAATCGATCGAACAAAAGATTAACATGGCCATCCTGGATATTGTGACCCCGCCGCTCTTCGAACTCAACAAGGGCTTGGAGCTGATTCTAAATGAGAAGTCGGACAGCGTTGAGGGTGGCATGTTTACAGTTAGCACCGTGGAGTCGATGGTGCCGCCGCTGCAAGAGATTCAGAATGGCCTGGCGCAGTTGGGTCAGGATCTGGAGAGTGGCCAGGCGGCCAGCGAGGAGGCCACATTGGATTTGGCAGACACCCAGAAGCTTTTGCAGTCCATTGCCCAGGCTGTTTTGCATTTCGAAACGAATATTGAAAGAATTTCGGAACGCCTTAGCGAGAATGTCAAATTTCGTCTACAAAATCTAAAGGACGAGCTGTCGGCTCTGATTGGCACCATTTTGGACAAGGATATAGCCCGGCATCATGTGGAGCTGCTTGACAAGCTGAAGCGTCCGATCGATGAGTTGAACTATTGCCTACGCCAGACCGAGGTGAAGTCCACCTCTGGTTCTTTAGCGGATCTGATCGAGCCACTTAGCCTCTTGCAGGAGAATACCCAGAAGGGACAAGGACTCCTGTTGGCGACGCGGGAACGCGAACCGGATAAGGAGGCACTGCAGTCCCTTGAAAATATACGAAATATAATACGCAATGCTATTATCGATATTGAGGAACACGAATTTAAGATTCTGCAACAGGAGATCCAACAGGATGAACAGCAGGCTGCTCAGCAGGACAAATCCTTCAGCGCATTGCGCAAAGTCTTGGAGACCAAGGTCTCGCTCGAGGAGTCCATTGGCAACATTGAAACACTTCAGCTGGCTCTAAACCGAATCAGTGAGAGTTCCAAGACAGCGCCCAAGATCAAATTGTCAGCGAATGAAGCTCAAGTTTCGCTCTTGCGAATCTTACAAATAGCCAAAGGATTAGCCGCATTTAGCGAGACGGAGACCACGCTCAATTCCAATGAAGCGCATACAACTCGCATTCTCTTTGAGATGGGCAAAAGCTTTGCTGATCTGGCCAAGACCCTTAATAATCCAGATGCAGACGAAAGTAATTTCAACGATGTTCTGAATAGTTTTAATGACATTGTAGCTCAGCAGAGGGAAGCTTTGGACGAGAAACTTACTTGGAATGCACTTGCCATTTCGAGTCCACTTTCGAGTTTCTTGCATGCACTCGAAAATCTACAACCGCTTAGGTTATCTGTTGAAAATTTATCCACATTGGATGATATTTCGGTGCTCAAGTCCTCAGCTGAATCGTTGTCCGCAGAGCCTGAGGCTTATGTTAAAGAGGAGGAGGGGCAGAAAGTAGCTGTCGAGCAAGAAACCCCCACGAAACCAGCTGAGGTCCTGCTCTCAGACCTGAACCATGGCATCGCTACAGTACTTTCGCATTGTGAAGACCTGGACGTGGCCTCCTTGCGTGGCGAGGCAGGTGAACAGCTACAAGCGGCAATCATCAAAATGCAAGAGCTACGCAGCAGCATTGCTCTGGTGCAGGAAACAAACCTTGTCGAGGCTGCCCAATCCTTCTCCGAAGGGACGGATCCCGGCACTTTTGCCGCTGCCATGTGCAGCTTGGAGCGCTGTGTGCTTGAGGTGGAGGAGTGCATTGCCCATAGTGGCGCCGAAAGTCTAAATGAATTGGAATTGTCCCAGCTCAAGACATTGGCAACACCTCTGCGTGATCTGAGGCAATACTGTGAGCAGATCGATACCCAAGCGCTGGAACAGGCCTTGGATATGTCTACACAGGATATATCAGACCTGAAGACCAGCGGACATCAGCAGACTGTCGAGGATGCCGTCAAGGAGGCGGCTATCATCCTGGCAGAACCCAAAGTGGAGATCTTCAATGTGCAACAAGGCGTAGTAAGTGGCATAAAGCAGCTGGAGGCTGCTTTGGAAGTCACCAAGAGGGATAGCCACGAGGAGCTGCGCCAGGTGGGCGTTATAATCCAGCAGCTGAATTCGGATTTGAAGAACATACAAGAGGCCCTCGCCTCGGACACTGATCAACAGGAAACGGTTTTGGCTCAGGCGAAAATTGCACGCACCATGTTCAAGTTGAAGGAGTGCTTGGTGCACACCTACGAATCGGGTCTGGTTGACTCCTTGGACAATGTGGAAAGCGCTTTCGAAGATATTTTACTATCTCTGCCCGTGCTGGAGTCGCAGCTCGCTCAGGAGATGTATGCCAAAATCGAGAATACCTTTAAGAACTTCATGGCCAGCTGCCAACAGCCTGAAGCTCAGCAGCAACAGTCGATGAAAAGTCTACAAGCCAACTTTGAAAAGCTGCTGAAATCGATTAAAGCTGTGGCCGATTCACCCAATGTTGATATCGATAAGTCATCGACTTTAATGGTCCATCTTCAAACCAATCTTATGGCAACATTCAGAGCTCTCAACGAGGTCAGCGAAAGGGTGGACAACGATCTGCTGGGTGGACTTCTCAGAGCCCAAAGCAGTCTAGTTGCAGTCTTTGATTTTATTGAGAATAACGAAAATACAATACGCATCATTGAATTGCTACAAGAAATCGATGTCATATCCGCGGAACTAAAGAGTTTGTCTCTAGTTTCTACCTCGCCCACAGTTCCTGTCGATATCAGTGCCATAATTGAGAACGTGACATCGGGTAAGGCGTTCCTTACTGAAATCGAACAAGGCTTGCAAAACGACAATCCGCTGAGCGTCAAGCTGCTCGATGAGAACACGGATGAAATCGGCCAATTGGAAGCCACACTTATCCAAATCGAGAATGAAATACTATCGCAGACGCAGCTTACTCAGATTACAACTGAGCAGCTGGCGCTCATTGCGACAGTTCAGCTGCAAATAAACAATCTTCAGGAGAAGCTCATTCGCCTAAGTGCATCACTTACAGCACAACAGGCGGTGGAGAAGCTAGCAGAGCCGCAGGACACATTAGATCAAATGGTCATTGCTAAGGAAAAAACAGAAACGAAGGTTAAAAGAAAACTGGAAGATTCAAAACAAACTCTAACTAAGAAACCCAAAGACGAGATCGACGCAAAAGACATTGAGTCGTTAGAGAAAGCTCTCACTGACAAACCCGAAAACTTGCAACAAACTTTGAATGTTAAATTCCTAGATTTGTGTAGTCTCTTAGAAACTAAACCAGAAAACCCTGAAATAGAGGCAATCATAAACAATAGCAAAGATATTATGGATAACTTAACGGACTCTGAGAAAACTGTTAAGGGCATATTTAAACTTCGAGAACACATTGTTCATACCTACGATGATAAATCACCTGAAAAACAAAATGAAAAAGAAATGGTGGAAGCATTTATCGAATCACTTCTAAACGCTTCTCCACCTGCTTCGGAGGATATAATAAATAGTTGTTTAAAAGAAATTAAGACTAATATTATTTTAACAAAAGCTGCTGTCCGACTTATTGGCGATACGGAAGTGGGTAAAAAATCATCGTTGATAGTGCCGAAGCTTGGAAACATCGAAAATATTTCGGAGAACATCAGGTCTAAGCTGCAAATTGAAAAGTCTTCTGAAAAGATGGTTCATCTGCAACAAAACCTAATGGATATATTTGTAATACTTGATGACCTTTTGGATGACAAAACTGTTCTATTAAAGCCCCTAATTGAGGATACGAAAACGGTTCTTCTATCAGAATATGACTATATTGAGCAAAAACAAGGACAGCTGCAAACAGCAACAGTTGAAGGAAAAATTCAAACCATAACAAAACACATACTGAATGTTTGCGAAAAGCTACAACAGCTCAACAAAGACCAGATTAAAGAAAAGCGCATTGAAGAGTACCAATTAACTGAAAATAATAAACTGGACGCAGAAAATGCTGAAAAAGAAGCTAAAGAGAAAGCTCAGAAGGGAGAAGTACCTGAAGTTGTTGCTGAGAAGGTTTCTGAGGAAAAGGTTCCTGAGAGTAAGAAGCTTGAAGTAAAGGAATCTGAAAGTGAAGCCCAAAAGGCAAAGGTACTGGAACAACAATTAATTGAAGAGCAGAAACTGGATACCAAACAGAAGAAACAGTCTGAGAAGGATGCTGAGAAGAAAGCCCAGAAGGGAGAAGCATCTGAAATCGTTGCAGAGAAGGTTTCCGAAGAAAAGGTTCCTGAGAGTAAGAAGCTTGAAGTAGGGGAATCTGAAAATGAAGCCCAAAAGGCAAAGATACTAGAACAACAATTAATTGAAGAGCAGAAACTCGATACAAAACAGAAGAAACAGTCTGAGAAGGATGCTGAAAAGAAAGCCCAGAAGGGAGAAGTATCTGAAGTCGGTGCTGAGAAAGTTTCTGAGGATGAAAAGAAAGTGATTAAACAGAATTTGCAAATTAAACTCTTAGATATTGTTAAAGCTTCTGAATCGCAAATTTCCAACGAAGGCTTGCAGTTGATTGTTACGGAAAGTAACAATATAATCGAAGATCTAGAAGACTGTGAAAAGGTTTCTAAATGCATATTTAAACTTCGAGAACATATCGTTCATACATACGATGGAAAATCAACTGAAGAACAAAATGAAAAAGAAATGGTGGAAGCATTTATCGAATCAGTTTTAGAGTCCTCTCCGCCTACATCGGAGAGTATAATAAAACGTTACATTAAGGAAATTGAAGCAAATGTCATTTTAACAAAAGCAGCTGTTCGACTTATTGACGAGTCTGATATGTTTGCTAAGCCTTCACTGCTAATACCAAAACTTGTTAATCTGCAAAATATTTCCAAAAATATTGAATCTCAGGTGCATATTGAAAAGGCTTCTGAAATGATGATATTTTTGCAACAAAATCTAATGGATATATTTGTAATACTTGATGATCTTTTAGAAGATAATACAGCTATGTTAAAGCCTGTCATTGAAGAAATTAAAACTGTCGTTCTAGCAGAATATGATTATATTGAGAAAGCACAGGCAGATCTCAAAACTGCAACAATTGAAGGAAAAATTCATAACATAACCAAAGAAATATTAAATGTTTGCGAACAATTACAACATCGCAAAAAAGAATTGATTGAAGAAAAGCGCATTGAAGAGCAGCAATTAAATGAAAAGAATAAACTGGACGCAGAAAAGGCTGAAAAAGAAGCTGAAGAGAAAGCCCAGAAGGGAAAAGTATCTGAAGTTGTTGCAGAGAAAGTTTCTGAGGAAAAGGTTCCTGAAAGTCAAAAGCCTGAAATAGTGGAATCTGAAAGTGATGCCCAAAAGGCGAAGGTACTAGAACAACAATTAATTGAAGAGCAAAAACTAGATACCAAACAGAAGAAACAAGCCGAGAAGGATTCTGAAAAGAAACCCCAGAAGGGAGAAGCATCTGAAGTCGTTGCAGAGAAGGATTCCGAAGAAAAGGTTCCTGAGAGTAAGAAGCTTGAAGTAGAGGAATCTGAAAGTGAAGCCCAACAGGCAAAGATGCTAGAACAACAATTAATTGAGGAGCAGAACCTGTATACCGAACAGAAGAAACAATCCGAGAAGGATGCTGAAGCGAAAGCCCAGAAGGGAGAAGCATCTGAAGTCGTTGCAGAGAAGGATTCCGAAGAAAAGGTTCCTGAGAGTAAGAAGCTTGAAGTAGAGGAATCTGAAAGTGAAGCCCAACAGGCAAAGATGCTAGAACAACAATTAATTGAAAAGCAGAAACTGGATACCAAACAGAAGGAACAAGTCGAGAAGGATGCTGAGAAGAAAGCCCAGAAGGGAGAAGCATCTGAAGTCGTTGCAGAGAAGGTTTCCGAAGAAAAGGTTCCTGAGAGTAAGAAGCTTGAAGTAGGGGAATCTGAAAGTGCGGCCCAAAAGGCAAAGATACTAGAACAACAATTAATTGAAGAGCAGAAACTGGATACCAAACAGAAGGAACAACTCGAGAAGGATGCTGAGAAGAAAGCCCAGAAGGGAGAAGCATCTGAAGTCGTTGCAGAGAAGGTTTCCGAAGAAAAGGTTCCTGAGAGTAAGAAGCTTGAAGTAGAGGAATCTGAAAGTGAAGCCCAACAGGCAAAGATGCTAGAACAACAATTAATTGAAGAGCAGAACCTGTATACCGAACAGAAGAAACAATCCGAGAAGGATGCTGAAGCGAAAGCCCAGAAGGGAGAAGTATCTGAAGTCGTTGCAGAGAAGGTTTCCCAAGAAAAGGTTCCTGAGAGTAAGAAGCTTGAAGTAGGGGAATCTGAAAGTGAAGCCCAAAAGGCAAAGGTTCTTGAACAACAATTAATTGAAGAGCAGAAACTGGATACCAAACATAAGAAACAAACCAAAAAGGATGCTGAAAAGAAAGCCCAGAAGGGAGAAGCATCTGAAGTCGTTGCTGAGAAGGTTTCCCAAGAAAAGGTTCCTGAGAGTAAGAAGCTTGAAGTAGGGGAATCTGAAAGTGAAGCCCAAAAGGCAAAGATACTAGAACAACATTTAATTGATGAGCAGAAACTGGATACCAAACAGAAGAAACAATCTGAGAAGGATGCTGAAAAGAAAGCCCAGAAGGGAGAAGTATCTGAAGTCGTTGGTGAGAAAGTTTCTGAGGATGAACAGGAAGTGATTAAACAGAATTTGCAAATCAAACTCTTAGATATTGTTAAAGCTTCTGAATCTCAAATTTCCAATGAAGGCTTGCAATTGATTGTTACGGATAGTAACGATATAATCGAAAATTTAGAAGACTATGAAAAGGTTTCTAAATGTATATTTAAACTTCGAGAACACATTGTTCATACCTACGATGGAAAATCACCTGAAAAACAAAGTGAAAAAGAAATGGTTGAAGCATTCATCGAATCACTTCTAAACGCTTCTCCAGCTGTCGCAGAGGATATAATAAATAGTTGCTTAAAAGAAATAAAGACGAATATTATTTTAACCAAAGCAGCTATACAACTTATTGGCGATACGGAAGTGGGTAAAAAATCATCGTTGATAGTGCCGAAGCTTGGAAACATCGAAAATATTTCGGAGAACATCAGGTCTAAGCTGCAAATTGAAAAGTCTTCTGAAAAGATGGTTCATCTGCAACAAAACCTAATGGATATATTTGTAATACTTGATGACCTTTTGGATGACAAAACTGTTCTATTAAAGCCCCTAATTGAGGATACGAAAACGGTTCTTCTATCAGAATATGACTATATTGAGCAAAAACAAGGACAGCTGCAAACAGCAACAGTTGAAGGAAAAATTCAAACCATTACAAAGCACATACTGAATGTTTGCGAAAAGCTAAAACATCTCAACAAAGACCAGATTAAAGAAAAGCGCATTGAAGAGTACCAATTAACTGAAAATAATAAACTGGACGCAGAAAATGCTGAAAAAGAAGCTAAAGAGAAAGCTCAGAAGGGAGAAGTACCTGAAGTTGTTGCTGAGAAGGTTTCTGAGGAAAAGGTTCCTGAGAGTAAGAAGCTTGAAGTAAAGGAATCTGAAAGTGAAGCCCAAAAAGCGAAGGTACTAGAACAACAATTAATTGAAGAGCAGAAACTGGATACCAAACAGAAGAAACAAGCCGAGAAGGATGCTAAAGAGAAAGCCCAGAAGGGAGAAGTATCTGAAGTCGTTGCAGAGAAGGTTTCCGAAGAAAAGGTTTCTGAGAGTAAGAAGCTTGAAGTAAAGGAATCTGAAAGTGAAGCCCAAAAGGCAAAGGTACTAGAACAACAATTAATTGAAGATCAGAAACTGGATACCAAACAGAAGAAACAAGCCGAGAAGGATGCTGAAAAGAAAGCCCAGAAGGCGAAAGCATCTGAAGTTGTTGCAGAGAAGGTTTCCGAAGAACAGGTTCCTGAGAGTAAGATGCTTGAAGTAGGGGAATATGAAAGTGAAGACCAAAAGGCGAAGATACTGGAACAACAATTAATTGAAGAGCAGAAACTGGATACCAAACAGAAGAAGCAGGCTGAGAAGGATGCTGAAGCGAAAGCCCAGAAGGGAGAAGTATCTGAAGTTGCTGCTGAGAAAGTTTCTGAGGAAAAGGTTCCTGAGAGTAAAAAGCTTGAAGTAAAGGAATCTGAAAGTGGAAGCCAAAAGGCGAACGTACTTGAACAACAATTAATTGAAGAGCAGAAACTGGATACCAAACAGAAGAAGCAGGCTGAGAAGGATGCTGAAGCGAAATCCCAGAAGGGAGAAGTATATGAAGTCCTTGCAGACAAGGTTTCCGAAGAACAGGTTCCTGAGAGTAAAAAGCTTGAGGTATGTGAATCTGAAAGGGACGCCCAAAAGGCGAAGGTACTAGAACAACAAGTAATTGAAGAGCAAAAACTGGATACCAATCAGAAGAAACAAGCCGAGAAGGATGCTGAGAAGAAAGCCCAGAAGGGAGAAGCATCTGAAGTCGTTGCAGAGAAGGTTTCCCAAGAAAAGGTTCCTGAGAGCAAGAAGCTTGAAGTAAGGGAATCTGAAAGTGAAGCCCAAAAGGCAAAGGTACTAGAACAACAATTAATTGAAGAGCAGACGCTTGACATCAAACGGAAGAAACAAGCCGAGAAGGATGCTGAAAAGGTAGCCCAGAAGGGAGAAATATCTGAAGTCCTTGCAGAGAAGGTTTCCGAAGAAAAGGTTCTTGAGAGTAAGAAGCTTGAAGTAAGGGAATCTGAAAGTGAAGCCCAAAAGGCGAAGGTACTAGAACAACAAGTAATTGAAGAGCAAAAACTGGATACCAATCAGAAGAAACAAGCCGAGAAGGATGCTGAGAAGAAAGCCCAGAAGGGAGAAGCATCTGAAGTCGTTGCAGAGAAGTTTTCCCAAGAAAAGGTTCCTGAGAGCAAGAAGCTTGAAGTAAGGGAATCTGAAAGTGAAGCCCAAAAGGCAAAGGTACTAGAACAACAATTAATTGAAGAGCAGAAACTGGATACAAAACAGAAGAAACAATCTGAGAAGGATGCTGAAAAGAAAGCCCAGAAGGGAGAAGTATCTGAAGTCGTTGGTGAGAAAGTTTCTGAGGATGAACAGGAAGTGATTAAACAGAATTTGCAAATCAAACTCTTAGATATTGTTAAAGCTTCTGAATCTCAAATTTCCAACGAAGGCTTGCAATTGATTGTTACGGAAAGTAACGATATAATCGAAAATCTAGAAGACTATGAAAAGGTTTCTAAATGTATATTTAAGCTTCGAGAACACATTGTTCATACCTACGATGGTAAATCACCTGAAAAACAAAATGAAAAAGAAATGGTGGAAGCATTTATCGAATTACTTCTTGAGGCCTCTCCAGCTGCTTCGGAGGATATAATAAATTGTTGTTTAAAGGAAATTAAGACTAATATCATTTTAACCAAAGCTGCTGTCCGACTTATTGGCGATACGGAAGTGGGTACAAAATCATCGTTGATAGTGCCGAAGCTTGGAAACATCGAAAATATTTCGGAGAACATCAGGTCTAAGCTGCAAATTGAAAAGTCTTCTGAAAAGATGGTTCATCTGCAACAAAACCTAATGGATATATTTGTAATACTTGATGACCTTTTGGATGACAAAACTGTTCTATTAAAGCCCCTAATTGAGGATACGAAAACGGTTCTTCTATCAGAATATGACTATATTGAGCAAAAACAGGGACAGCTGCAAACAGCAACAATTGAAGGAAAAATTCAAACCATTACAAAAAACATACTGAATGTTTGCGAAAAGCTACAACAGCTCAACAAAGACCAGATTGAAGAAAAGCGCATTGAAGAGCACCAATTAACTGAAAAGAATAAACTGGACGCAGAAAAGGTTGAAAAAGAAGCTGAAGAGAAAACTCAGAAGGGAGAAGAATCTGAAGTTGTTGCTGAAAAGGTTTCCGAAGAAAAGGTTCCTGAGAGTAAGAAGCCGGAAATAGGGGAATCTAAGGGTGAAGCCCAAAAGGCGAAGTTACTAGAACAACAATTAATTGAAGAGCAGAAACTGGATACCAAACAGAAGAAACAAACCAAAAAGGATGCCGAGAAGAGCGCCCAGAAGGGAGAAGCATCTGAAGTCGTTGCAGAGAAGGTTTCCGAAGGAAAGGCTCCTGAGAGTAAGAAGCTTGAAGTAAGGGAATCCGAAAGTGAAGCACAAAAGGCAAAGGTACTAGAACAACAATTAATTGAAGAGCAGAAACTGGAAACCAAAAAGAAGAAACAATCCGAGAAGGAAGCTGAAGCGAAAGCCCAAAAGGGAGAAGCATCTGAAGTCGTTGCAGAGAAGGTTTCCGAAGAAGAGGTTCCTGAGAGTCAGAAGCCTGAAATAGGGGAATCTGAAAGTGAAGCCCAACAGGCAAAGTTACTAGAACAACAATTAATTGAAGAGCAAAAACTAGATACCAAACAGAAGAAACAAACCAAAAAGGATGCTGAGAAGAAAGCCCAGAAGGGAGAAGCATCTGAAGTTGTTGTTGAGATGGTTTCCGAAGAAAAGGTTCCTGAGAGTCAGAAGCCTGAAATAGGGGAATCTGAAGTTGAAGCCCAAAAGGCAAAGGTACTAGAACAACAATTAATTGAAGAGCAGAAACTGGAAACCGAACAGAAGAAACAATCTGAGAAGGATGCTGAAAAGAAAGCCCAAAAGGGAGAAGAATCTAAAGTTGTTGCTGAAAAGGTTTCCGAAGAAAAAGTTCCTGAGAGTAAGAAGCCGGAAATAGGGGAATCTAAGGGTGAAGCCCAAAAGGCGAAGTTACTAGAACAACAATTAATTGAAGAGCAGAAACTGGATACCAAACAGAAAAAACAAACTAAAAAGGATGCTGAGAAGAGCGCCCAGAAGGGAGAAGCATCTGAAGTCGTTGCTGAGAAAGTTTATGAGGAAAAGGCTCCTGAGAGTAAGAAGCTTGAAGTAAGGGCATCCGAAAGTGAAGCACCAAAGGCAAAGGTACTAGAACAACAATTAACTGAAGAGCAGAAACTGGAAACCAAAAAGAAGAAACAATCCGAGAAGGATGCTGAAGCGAAAGCCCAAAAGGGAGAAGCATCTGAAGTCGTTGCAGAGAAGGTTTCCGAAGAAGAGGTTCCTGAGAGTCAGAAGCCTGAAATAGGGGAATCTGAAAGTGAAGCCCAACAGGCAAAGTTACTAGAACAACAATTAATTGAAGAGCAAAAACTAGATACCAAACAGAAGAAACAAACCAAAAAGGATGCTGAGAAGAAAGCCCAGAAGGGAGAAGCATCTGAAGTTGTTGTTGAGATGGTTTCCGAAGAAAAGGTTCCTGAGAGTCAGAAGCCTGAAATAGGGGAATCTGAAGTTGAAGCCCAAAAGGCAAAGGTACTAGAACAACAATTAATTGAAGAGCAGAAACTGGAAACCAAACAGGAGAAACAATCTGAGAAGGATGCTGAAAAGAAAGCCCAAAAGGGAGAAGTATCTGAACTTGTTGCTGAGAAGGTTTCCGAAGAAAAGGTTCCTGAGAGTCAAAAGCCTGAAATAGGGGAATCTGAAGTTGAAGCCCAAAAGGCAAAGGTACTAGAACAACAATTAATTGAAGAGCAGAAACTGGAAACCACACAGAAGAAACCATCCGAGAAGGATGCTGAGAAGAAAGCCAAGAAGGGAGAAGCATCTGAAGTCGTTGCAGAGAAGGTTTCCAAAGAAGAGGTTCCTGAGAGTAAGAAGCTTGAAGTAGGGGAATCTGAAAGTGAAGCCCAAAAAACAAAGGTACTAGAACAACAATTGATTGAAGAGCACAAACTGGTTACCAAACAGAAGAAACAAGCCGAGAAGGATGCTGAGCAGAAAGCTCAAAAGGGAGAAGCATCTGAAGTTGTTGCAGAGAAGGTTTCCGAAGAAAAAGTTCCAGAGAGTCAGAAGCCTGAAATAGGGGAATCTGAAGTTGAAGCCCAAAAGGCGAAGGTACTAGAACAACAATTAATTGAAGAGCAGAAACTGGGAACCAAACAGAAGAAACAATCCGAGAAGGATGCTGAAAAGAAAGCCCAGAAGGGAGAAGCATCTGAAGTCGTTGCAGAGAAGGTTTCCGAAGAAAAGGTTCCTGCGAGTAAGAAACTTGAAGTGGGGGAATCTGAAACTGAAGCACAAAAGGCAAAGGTAATAGAACAACAATTAATTGAAGAGGATAAACTAGATACCAAACAGAAGAAACAAGCCGAGAAGGATGCTGAGCAGAAAGCTCAAAAGGGAGAAGCATCTGAAGTCGTTGCAGAGAAGGTTTGCGAAGAAAAGGTTCCTGAGAGTAAGAAACTTGAAGTAGGGGAATCTGAAAGTGAAGCCCAAAAGGCAAAGGTACTAGAACAACAATTAATTGAAGATCAGAAACTGAATACCAAACAGGAGAAACAAACCAAAAGGGATGCTGAAAAGAGAGCCCAAAAGGGAGAAGCATCTGAAGTCGTTGCAGAGAAGGTTTCCGAAGAAAAGGTTCCTGAGAGTCAGAAGCCTGAAATAGGGGAATCTGAAGTTGAAGCCCAAAAGGCGAAGGTACTAGAACAAAAATTAATTGAAGAGCAGAAACTGGAAACCAAACAGAAGAAACAATCCGAGAAGGATGCTGAGAAGAAAGCCCAGAAGGGAGAAGCATCTGAAGTCGTTGCAGAGAAGGTTTCCAAAGAAAAGGTTCCTGAGAGTCAAAAGCCTGAAACAGGGGAATCTGAAGTTGAAGCCCAAAAGGCGAAGGTACTAGAACAACAATTAATTGAAGAGCAGAAACTGGAAACCAAACAGAAGAAACAATCCGAGAAGGATGCTGAGAAGAAAGCCCAGAAGGGAGAAGCATCTGAAGTCGTTGCAGAGAATGTTTCCGAAGAAAAGGTTCCTGAGATCAAGAAGCTTGAAGTAGGGGAATCTGAAAGTGAAGCCCAAAAGGCAAAGGTAGTAGAACAGCAATTAACTGAAGAGCAGAAACTGGAAACAAAACAGAAGAAACAATCCAAAAGGGATGCTGAAAAGAAAGCCCAAAAGGGAGAAGTATCTGAAGTTGTTGCAGAGAAGGTTTCCGAAGAAAAGGTTCCTGAGAGTCAGAAGCCTGAAATAGGGGAATCTGAAAGTGAAGCCCAAAAGGCAAAGGTACTAGAACAACAATTAATTGAAGAGCAAAAACTGGATACCAAACAGAAGAAACAAACCAAAAAGGATGCTGAAAAGAAAGCCCAAAAGGGAGAAGCATCTGAAGTCGTTGCAGAGAAGGTTTCCGAAGAAAAAGTTCCTGAGATTAAGAAGCCTAAAATAGGGGAATCTGAAGTTGAAGCCCAAAAGGCAAAGGTACTAGAACAACAATTAATTGAAGAGCAGAAACTGGAAAGCAAACAGAAGAAACAATCCGAGAAGGATGCTGAAAAGGAAGCCCAAAAGGGAGAAGTATCTGAAGTTGTTGCTGAGAAGGTTTCCGAAGAAAAGGTTCCTGAAAGTCAAAAGCCTGAAATAGTGGAATCTGAAAGTGATGCCCAAAAGGCGAAGGTACTAGAACAACAATTAATTGAAGATCAGAAACTGAATACCAAACAGGAGAAACAAACCAAAAAGGATGCTGAGAAGAAAGCCCAGAAGGGAGAAGCATCTGAAGTCGTTGCAGAGAAGGTTTGCGAAGAAAAGGTTCCTGAGAGTAAGAAACTTGAAGTAGGAGAACCTGAAACTGAAGCACAAAAGGCAAAGGTACTAGAACAACAATTAATTGAAGAGGATAAACTAGATACCAAACAGAAGAAACAAACCAAAAAGGATGCTGAGAAGAAAGCCCAGAAGGGAGAAGCATCTGAAGTCGTTGCAGAGAAGGTTTGCGAAGAAAAGGTTCCTGAGAGTAAGAAACTTGAAGTAGGGGAATCTGAAAGTGAAGCCCAAAAGGCAAAGGTACTAGAACAACAATTAATGGAAGATCAGAAACTGAATACCAAACAGGAGAAACAAACCAAAAGGGATGCTGAAAAGAAAGCCCAAAAGGGAGAAGCATCTGAAGTCGCAGCGGAGAAGGTTTCCGAAGAAAAGGTTCCTGAGAGTAAGAAGCTTAAAGTAAAGGAATCTGTAGCCAACTCTCAAAAAGAAGAGCAGCAACTGAATACAAAACAGCAGCAGCTGGATAAATTATCACAGAGCTTAGATGAGATGGTTGATGTAGTAGATAAAAGCGAGAGCAAACGACATGAATCTGAAACGGATACTGTTAAGGCGGAAGACTCCACTAGTTTGGAAGCGAAAACGTACAAGTCCTTGGAGTCTGAGTATAGGGAAAGAAAGGAAACCCGCAGCGCTAAGCGTAAGCCGACAGTCGATCTAATGCTGACAAATCGTAATTCGGCAACGGGAAGTGATCTCAAGTTGACATGCGGCTTATCTGGTCACGAGATGAGAGTGATGTGGTTCAAGCAAAATAGTCCCATTGCGAACGATGCCAAGCACAAAATAACCCTGAACGATGGTCTGTCCTGCCTTGAAATCAAATCGACAGAAATGAATGATTCTGGCATATATCGATGCATAGCGTCCAATCGAAATGGAGAGGTGGAAACGAGCTGTCTTGTGACAATATACGAAGCACCTTCAACCAAATTTGGCACACCGCCAATATTTACACGCAACATACGAGGTAAGTGCCTGTTTTACCTATGCAGCCCACTGAATTAGTGCCCCAAATGTAAATTCAATTAACGTCAAATTCGCAAATGAATCAGTACAATTGGACATTAGGCACCAATAGTAAATAGGAAATAAATACATAAGCTACATATACTATATCATTTAATGCCTAAGTATGTAAGTTTTCCTTGGCTAAGTATCTGCATTTTAGACTTGTGCTAATCGCTTCACACTTTCGACTTATGATAAGCTAAAGATCATTTATAGTTGCATTTTTTTTTTCATATTATTTTTAAGTTTAGTAGACGCCGCTAAAAATAGTTCAATCGAATTTCGAATGACTTTTATATAATTGAATTTGCTGCCTGCATTAATTAAAAGTCTATAGCATTTAAATAGATTTATTTCGAATGATTTATTTTTTTGGCAACAATTGTGTTGCAACTATATAAATAAGTCTACACATATATATATGTGTATATATGTATATGTATATAAAAAACGGCGGGCAATACCGAAATTCGTGAAATTGTTTTTTTAGCATAACAATCGATTGGCAATTAGGATACATTCGAGAAGTTATGCATTTTCGAATATTTTCACCACATTGCGGACAGTCGTGAATCTTCTTTTGCCTCGAACGGACGTCTGACGTCCCAAAATTAAAAAAACTCTTTCGATCGAACCGTTGCGGGTTACATATATCGTATATATATAAATATCCATTTATACATATACGACTCGTACGGATATAATTCTTATCGGTTTTTTTCCCCAAACGAATTTTCATTTCCCTTCCGATTATCCTGTGAAAAGATAATAAACCGAAATTAAACAAAATGGGCGAGACGGACGGCGATATCGAGCCACGGGCATCCGCGGAACCGGAGGCGCCAGCAGCGCAGGAAACGCTGCAGGTGCCAACGCAAAAGAAACGCAAGCTTAAGTCGCCCACTCCGGGCAGCTTACGCGGACGCAGTGCCACGCCCATACACGGCCGTAGCCAGACTCCGTTCACCTTGTATATGACACGTCGCAGTGCCACGCCCTCAACATGGCGCAGCATAACGCCATTCCTAAAACGCGAGGAGAAAGAGAAAACTCCATTCGAACTGGGTCGGGACATCAAGAGCCAAACCACGTGCAACATCGCCGTCTTCGATCGTGCCCTGATCATGGATATTTCCGAGCCCGTGGATGTGCAGAAACCCGTGCGTTACATAACGTCCGATTTATCGGTTATCGATCGGGCTGCCGTAATGGACGTGTCCAACGTTGAGGTTATCTATGTGGTTGAGGAATATGAAGAGGTTGAAGAGGAGGAGGAAATCATCGAAGAGGTTAAGCCGAAGAAAAAGGAAAAGAAGGCCAGAAAGCCGCGCACAGCTCGTAAGTCCATCGACAAGGAGGCGAGTCCCTTGGGCGAAGACGGTGCCGAAGATCTTGGAGACTTTGGTGGCGACGATAGGGAGGATAGTGTAGACTTTGATGACGATGAGCCAGTTAAAAAGGGCAAGAAGAAGGCTCCGCCCAAGAAGAAGGACAAAAAGGAAAAATCTCCGAGTCCAAAATTGACCTTGAAACTGGAGATGGGCGGTGGTCAAAAGGCTACGAAGAAGATGTTTGACCAGCCACCCCAAGCGGCTGGACCCAAGCCGCCTCCAAAGAAGAGCAAGATGGTACTGCAAATGGAGGAACAGGCCAAAGCAGCAGCCAAGGCAGCCGAGGAGGCCGCCAATCGTGCCAAGCCCAAGGGCGAGACATTCGAGGAGCGTCAGAAGCGTCTGAAGGAGGAAAAAGAGGAACAGGACCGGCTGGAAGCCGAGCAGCGTGCTCTAGAGGAGGCCGAAGCTGAAGCAGAAGCCGAGGAAGATGAAGACGAAATCCCTGAGGAAGGCGACGAGAGCACCATGGCTGCCGACGGTGAATACAATGAAGACGAGGACCTTGACCGATTGGATGAGGATCAGGACGAGGAGAACGAAGAAGACGCAGTCCCTGATCTGAAAGCCGCCAAACGCCGCGGCAGCGATTCGTCCGATGAATATACACGGCCCGATCCGCACGAGGAGGAGCGCTGGCAGCGCATCGCCGCCACCGAGGGCGAGGAATTCATGCAGCAGATGCGCAAATACAGCATTGCCAAGCGGACCAGCGAAAAGGAACGCGACGCCGATTGGCAACGCCGACGCGAACAGGCTCGGCTGCCCAAGTTTATTAACTTCCTGTCGGATCGCACCGTCGAGGCGGGCCAGAGCGTGCGTCTGGCCTGCGCCGTCGATGGACCCGAGCTCTCTGTCAAATGGTTCAAGGACGGCAGGCAGTTGGAGCGCGATGGCAATCATCGCATCATAAACAACAACAACATTTTGGTGCTGGAGGTAGTGAGCACTACGATTCTGGACTCTGGCGAGTATTCGTGCCAGATACTGAATCAGAATGACGAGGTCACATCATCGTGTATTGTAACTATTTACGAAGTTTTTAAGGATGAACCCCAACCTCCCTCTATACAGTATATCAAAGGTACTTGTCCCGGCCGCATTCCCCCTTTCAAATGCATAACTCACTCAGGATCTCTCAATATCTTCTTTAGAATACTATCACATGCGCGACGATGAGCTGACCATTGAGTGTCACGTGCACGGTGTACCGCGTCCGGTTGTTACCTGGTGGCGCGGCGCCTTCCAGGTGAAGCCCAGCTACAAGTTCACCATGCTCGAGGAGGCCCACGGCGTCTGCAAGCTGCTCATCTACAAGCCCGGCAACAAGGATAGCGGCACCTACACCTTAAAGGCCTTCAATTCAATCGGCGAGGCACATATCAACCAAACCGTCGAGGTGGCCAAGAATCTGCACTATCATGTGCCCGGCATATTCCATGCGCGCGACAGGATCCAACTGGACAGCTTGAAGCAGGCCAAAGGGCAAATGGATGCCGCGCTCAAGTCCATGGCCGAATCGGATCAGAAACGTGCCGAAGTCGAGGCCGAGCAGCAGCGTGTCCAGGCGGCGCGTGCACCACCCGAGCCACTTGTGCCGGCCAAGCAAAAGCTGCAGTTTGCCACCCAGCTGCGCGACCGTATGGCCCTGGAGGGCACAACCGTGAAGTTTGCTGCCACGGTCATTGGACCAGAGCCAAATACGCGCTGGATGAAGGATGACACATGGCTTGTGATGAGCGAAAACATCAAGAATCTGTCCGAAGAGGGCAAGGCCATTATTCAGATCAACAAAGTCACATCGGCCGATACGGGCGTCTACAAGTGTGTGGCCAAGAACGATCTCAGCGAAATCGAGACCTCATGCTACTTTAAGGTGTATGCGGCACAAGCTGATGGCGACGAGTCCGAGCCCATTTTTGCCCTGCCTATGCGAGGTATTTTTATTGTATCTGTATCTGTAAATGTATCTGTCTCTCATCTGCATCGGTTGCGTTGGTTTTGTCTTCTTCATTTTTTTGTTGCAACGCCAACACGATCATCAGCCAAAATTCGAAACTGATTGTTGTCCAACGATCACAGATCTCGATTGAGGTCGATCATGTACAAAAATAGTTGTGGTGCTCAGACAATTGATTGAAGTGTTTGTGCTTCTTCATAGATGTGTATCACTCCTCCCAAAATGATTTGATTATCGATACGAAGGTGCGCGGCAATCCCCGTCCCGTCATCTCTTGGACGAAAGATCAGATACCCGTTGTGCTCGACGATCGTGTCGTGCAAATCGAGCACTTGGATGGCGTCTGCGAGCTAATCGTTAATAAGCCAACTGTGAATGACAACGGCGTCTACGTTTGCACCGCCCAGAACAAATTGGGCAGTCAGTCGACCACCCACACGGTTGTTGTCGACACCACGCACACGTCGCGCCGCTCTAGTGTATTATCGGCGGCCATGCAGGAGGATTCAGCCGCCGAAGGTGGTGGCAAGTCCAAGCCGAAGAAACTGCCCAAGAAAGATGACGAAGCCGAGGCCGGCGGCGAAGGCGGCTACGAACGACGCAGCCGCTTGCCCGATCCGTCACCCAAACAAATGCTCTATTTCACGGTCAACCTATCCAATCGCTACGTAGCCGAAGGCTCCAAGGTCAAGCTGCAAGCTGTTGTTGGCGGACCCGAGCCGACCATCAAATGGCAAAAGGATGACCAAAATGTCCAGTACGGACCTCGTATACGCAACATGAACCGCGAAGGCTTAGCTGTGCTGGAATTCGTAAGCGCCCAGCCCGAAGACTCCGGCACCTATACAATAGTAGCCCAGAATGAGTTTTGCAAGATCACCACGTCGGCGATGTTGCACGTCTATCAGCCGAAGGTCAACACCGATGTGCAGCCCGTTTTTATACGCTCTCTGAAAGGTAAGAGCGAAACGCAACTTGTTTTGTCTATTTCGTCTATACGCCGATGGCAGATGTCTGATCAGATCTATGAATAGATCAAAGCTATAGACGATTGTGCAATGCAATTGTTTGTCGGGATTATGCAATGCCTTTGGCGGTGTTTGTGTTGTTCTTGGGTTTCTGTGTGTGTTGCATGTTTATGTAACAACCGACTATTAAAAATCGTTTACCTACATCCAACTCCTCCAGAGACCTATCATCTGACCTCGAATGAACTTATACTGGAGACAGCTGTGCGCGGTCAGCCCACACCTCAGGTGCAGTGGTTCAAGGACAGCATTGAGGTTCAAAGCGGCGGCCGCTATCAGATAATTGAACATCAGGATGGCACTTGTGAGCTCATCATTGATCGGCCGGATAGCAAGGATTCGGGCAAATATGTGATCAAGGCGGAGAGTCGTGCTGGCAAAATGGAAAGTTCGCATTATGTGCTCTTCGAGGGCAAGGCCTCGCACATTGCGGACAACATTCACGGTGTGTTCCATGCAGACAAGAGCCTGCTGCGGCCCAAAGAGGTAGAGAAGCCAGCTGTAAAGCCGGCTCCATCGGCCGCCGACGCAGGAGCTGAAGGAGCTGAGGGAGAGGAGGGCAAAGGCAAGCGTCGTGGCCGCAAGAAGGATGACGCCGAAGAGGAAGGTGTATCTTCGGCTACGGACTATGCCTCCGATACGGCTAGTATGTCCAGCAAGCGGCGCGAGAAGAACATTGGCATACACTTTACCACCACGATGAGGGATCGTGTTGTGGCTGAGGGTTCCAAGGTGAAAATCTCTTGCTTCCTGGAGGCCAAAGAGCCGCAGGTTAAATGGTTCAAGAACGAAGAGCCACTGCAAAATGGACCCAAGATTCGAGGACGCTACAGCGAAGGCCTCTGCCTTTTGGAGATCACTAGCGCCACCGAGGAGGACAACGGCGAGTACAAGTGCTGGGGACGCGATGAAACCGGTGAGGCGTCGACCTCCTGCAGGCTAGAGGTCTTCGCAGATCCGGGCACGGGAGATGTGCCACCAACGTTCACGCGCAACATAAGGGAAACGCTGCACGGCAAGATCAACGAACTCCAGCTGGACGTACATGTGCGCGGTCTGCCGACGCCCTCAGTGTCATGGTACAAGGATAGTGTGAAGATCGAGAACAACGAAAAATACCATCAGGTGGATCACGATGACGGCACCTGTGAACTGTTCATTAGTCATCCAAAGGTCGCCGACAGCGGCAAATACGTTTGCCAGGCCGAGAATCGCGAAGGTCAAACGGAGATCGTGCATATGGTTACCGTAGAGCCACGCGTTCGGGTGCGTCCCATGTCGCCACCTAGAGAGGGACGACCACCACCCATACCGGCTGGTGAGGAGGAAGAACCAGCTGCTGAGGGTGAAGCAGTTGAAGGGGAAGGCACGGAGAAGAGAGTACGCAAGCCCAAGAAAGATGATGAGGAGCAGACAAGCTCCAGACGCGAGGTTCCACCGCCACCAGATCTTAAGAAGCGTCTCTATTTCCGCAACTACCTGTCCAATCGCACGGTCAAGTCGGGCGCCAATGTCAAATGGATGGTCAATATCGATGGACCGGAGCCAACGGCCAAGTGGTTCCATGGCGATCAGCCAATTACCTTCGGGGCCAAGAGCAAAATGTCCATGCAGGATGGCATCGCCTGGCTCAATCTGGTCGGCGTTACGGAAGAGGATGCCGGCGAATATACGTTGAGAGTAAGAGGATCCGAAAATGAAATTGTTAGCACTTGCAACCTGTTCGTTTACAGCACGGGTCAAGTTGAGATAGTCCCACCCACCTTCACGGTGGGCATCAAAGGTAGGCATCCGCGATCTAGCTAACTAGTTGTACTTAAATATGGCACCCAGTGTCCAGTGCGTCCAAGTGAATGTTAAGGTATGCTGTTAGTTTCCATGTGTTAAGTAGTTATGTAGTTATAAGCACTAATCTCGATCCCATGTTTAGGTCGTGCTTGTCTTATTATGTTTGTGCTCTGTCTTTTCGTGTCAACACCTTCCAGATGCATATCATTCCCAAGACAATCGACTTGTACTCGAGTGCAAGGTCTCGGGCAGCCCCAAGCCGCACATCTACTGGCAGCGGGACAATACCCTGCTGCCCCTCGAGACAGCCAAGTACGAGTACGCGGAGCAGAGCGATGGCATCAAGCAGCTGATTATCACATCCTTTGGCAGCGCGGATACCGGGCTGTACACCTGCTACGCAGAGAGCGAGAATGGTCAGATGAAGATCAGCAAGTTTGTCCAAGCCTCAGATTATGTGAGGGAGCGTGCAGTCGACAAGAAAGCCACAGATCAGAGCTCACAAGATCTGAAGAGACCAGAGTCCAGTCAGATCGCATTGGGTGAGAATACAGCAGCGGCAGCCAAAGCCAAGGCGCGCGAGGCCAAGCTGCGCCTCAATCTGGAAACGAGCCTCAAGACCATGACGATCAGCAGCGGCAACAAGGCCCAGCTGATTTGTTATGTTACTGGCTTCATCGAGGATGTGCACTGGCTAAGGAACGACGAGCGCATCACAAAGGACGCGCGCCACAAAATCTACAATATCAACGGTGCCATCAGCCTGGAAATCTACGATGCCCGTGCCGAGGACAGCGGAAACTACAGATGCTTGGTCAAGAACAGCAGGCAGACCGTGGAGAGCGCTGGCCAGCTGACGGTGCTGGACGAGACGAGCGGCCAGCTGCCGCAAAGCTTTTTGGAGGGCATTAAAAGTAAGTTGAATAGGAATTTATTTAACTTTGTTAACTAATTAACTCGCTTGCAGAGTCCTTTGATGCACAGCGCAACGAGATTGTGCTCAGCTGTCAGGTGCACGGCCGTCCCAATGTCAGCTGGATGCGCGACGATCACACGATCTGCAACAATCGCTATAAGATTGTCGATGAGCCGGGCGGCGAGCGTAAGCTGATCATACGTAATCCCATATCCTCGGACTGCGGCATCTTTGCCTGCTATGCCGAGCACGAGGATTACATTGACTCGATCAGCACCAGCATACGGGCAGCCGACCTGAAACGTCTCATTGCCTGCGATCACGAAAATGTTTCGCTCTCCCAGTCAAAGTCGCAGTCGCTGTCGCAGTCGGTGTCACAGCCGAGGGAGCTGACGGATGAGTCCTATGTGAACGGCAATGCTGGCCTGCAACGGACTGGGAATCGCATCCTGCGCAGCGTTGCGCAGACTAAGCCCATGTTCCACAGCTATCTGCACGATCGCACCATATCGGAGGGCGGCAATGTGCGACTGCTCTGCACAGTTTCGGGCGATGAGAACACGCACATTGAATGGTTAAAGAACCACAAGCCATTGCCAAGGGATACGCGCTATCAGACGCTCTATCACAATGGCGAGGCATCGCTGGAGATCTACGCCGCGGTTTCAGATGACAGCGGCAATTATACATGCTCGGCCATCAATGACTTTGGCGAGAGTCTAACCCATGCGCAGTTGCGCGTCTACAAGCATTTCCGGGAAGCGTCCATGCCAAGTACTTTTGCGCAGCCAATTCGAGGTATTCCACAGAGCTATGGATGAACGCCACGTGGAGCTGTCCCGCAAAAAAAACATACGCCTGCATACAGTCTCTTTTACTGTTCTAACCGCTTTTGTTTGTCAAGTTCAACTTGGGTCTTGTTTTTGATTAACCTCTCTTTGATCTATATATTTTTAACAGACACGTATTCTCTCAATGAGAATGAGTTGGTTCTGGATTGTCGCGTGCGTGGCCAGCCCCGGCCAGAGATCGAATGGATGAAGGGCAACGAAGCCATCAGGAATGATGAGAAATATCAACTGATCGATCAGGCCGATGGCTACTGCAAGCTGACCATACGCAATCCCACCGAAAAGGACTCTGGCATATACTCCTGCATAGCGACCAACGAGGGCGCCCAACATAAGATGACCCATCAGGTGGACTTTGCGGGCCGTGAGCGTTTCACACAGCAGAAAACGCACGGCTTCTTCCATCGCGATCCCAACAAGCCGCACTTCCTGACCCCTCTGGGCAATCAGACCGTCTGCAATGGCGGCACCGTTGCCATCTCCGCTGAGTTTATGCAGTCGAACACGCCCATTGAGGTTAAATGGCTCCGCGATCGCCGGAATGTTGATGGTCCCAATGTGAAGACCATGAACGAGCGTGGCGTCTACACGTTGACCATCATGAATGCCGGGGCTGAGCATGAGGGTACCTACACTTGTCTCGCCTCGAATGCCTATGGACGCATTGAGTCGCACGTCAACATTGATGTCGCCGTGGGCGCCGAAAAGGACGAACGTCCGCCTCTCTTCCTGTCCAGGCCCGAAACCGAAATGAAGATCGCCGTGGGTGATCCCTTCTCGTTGTCCTTCCGCATTGCGGGTGATCCGAAACCGAAGCGTAAGATTTCCCAAACGTTCTCTGTTTCTGTGCAATTTAATAATGTTGCATATCCTTGCAGTTGTGTTCATGAAGGGCACCAAGGATATAACCCAATCGGATCGCGTTAGCAAAGAGGTATCCGATGACTATACCAGATTCACAGTGCAAAAGTCGCAGATCTCCGACTCCGGCACCTATTTCGTTGTTGCCCGCAACGACTTTGGAACGGACAGAATATTCGTCACCATTACAGTACGTACTGCCTACGACTACCTATTGTGCTATGTGTTATCCGTCGCTTTACCTGAATGTCTGGCTATTTATCTAATGCTTTTGCTAACTAACCTTTGCTATTCTTTCTCTCTCTCTCTTTTTACGCTTTTCTTTTTCTAGATTAAAACGCCCAAAAAGAAAGAATAAAGCCTATTTCAATTCTATTTATTTATTGTTTGCGCAAATTCAAACGCCTCCCTAAACGCACCAAAATATTTATGCTCTAAGTCAACTTTCCCGACTCTATGTGTTCATTCAAATAAACAATAATATCGTTCTGAATACAAAAACTTATATAGGTTAACCCGCGCGCTCGCTCTGAAACCCCAACGCAACCACGATGGGGCCAACCCCTCGACAGTTACAGTGAAACTTCGTATTTCAGAGGTGAGTTCATTAAATCTATGTCTACTCCTGTGTGTCCTGTCTACAGCAATCCATTTGTGTTCCATTCAAAATATAATTTGAGTATAGAAATGTTTCCTATATTTCTTAATTTTGTATTTCCAATTTCTGTCCGTATTCCATGTTTCCATTCCATTGTTGTGTACAGCATTCCGGTTGTGTTTCATTCGCTCGTTTCCATGTCGCATGGACATCCTTTCGACTTCCTTCCTGTTGTGTGTCCTTGTTCCATTCCGCTGTTTTGTCGCTGTGTTCAGCATTCCGTTTGTGTTCCATTCGCTCGTTTCCATGTCTCATATTTGATTCTCTCTCCCGTCTGTTTGATGTTTCATTCCGTTTGTCTGTGTGTTAAGTCAATCAAGTTTCAGTGTTTCAGTTTCAGCTTTATCTCAAGTATTATATAGCGCATGGACTTGCATATTTTGCAGATCGCTTCAGCTCCAACTTGTTTGCCTCCTGTGCCGTTAATCAAGAAACTTCTCAAAAGCAATTTCCTGTGAGATTCAATGAATGCCCAAAAAACACAAACAAATTATCCGTGTATTTAACTTATCTTTTGTTAGTATTTCTGAACGATTGACTTATTTACTTATTTTATTATCGTATACAAATAGCGTATTATATAAAGCACAACAATCCAGCTTATACATTTACGTAGTCGAAAAAAAAAACAAGAAAATAAAATATATATATTTCTCCGGGGCGTATTGCGTTTGATTTCCCATGCCCCCTCGAACCAAAAATCATTATTTATGCAAACTCTATGCCACCTCACACTCTACCTAGATCCACCCGGGTGCATATCAACCGAACCGCTGGTCGTTGACTCCGGACCCAGCCACATATCGTTGTCGTGGGGCAAGCCCGTCAGCGCCAACTCTGCACCTGTCATTGCCTACAAAGTGGAGGCATGGATTCTTGGCCATGAGGGTGGCGCCTATTGGCGCGAGTTAGGTCTGACGCCCATTAATTCCTTCGATGCCTTCAATCTGAAGCCCAATTTGGAATACCATTTCCGGGTGACGCCCAAGAATCGCTATGGCTGGGGGCCAGCGGTTCAGACCAGCTCCGCCCTGCAGGTGGGCGGCGTCGAGTGTCTGCCGGAATTTGTCAAGATTCTGCCGGGACAGGTGAAGGCGTTGCTTGGCTCCTCGTTTACGCTGCAGTGCAACATGCGCGGTGCGCCGCGTCCAAAAGTCACCTGGTACAAGGATGGCATTCAGCTGAGCAACAGCTCGGAATGGGTCAAGATACGCCAAATCGGTTCCACCTGTGCGCTCACCATAGCGACAGTTTGTGAGCTCGATTCTGGACGTTACACCTGCGAGGCAACCAATTCCAAGGGACGCGTCTCCACCTTTGCACGCCTGCAAGTCGTATCTGATCCCAGGGTCTATGAGGCGGATTCGAGGCTGAAGGAAATCGCACACGGTCGCCATCCGGCTGAGCTTGGCGAATCGCTGCCCATTTTCACGATGCGTCTGCGAGACCGTCGCGTACAGGTCACCTACCCGGTGCGTCTCACCTGCCAAATTGTGGGCTATCCCGCGCCGGAAATACTCTGGTATAAGGATGGACAGCTAATCAGCTGTGATAGGCGGCATCTCATCACGGCCGAGGGTCAATTCTTTACGCTGGAAATCGCAGCCACAACGCTCGACGATAGCGGCAACTACACCTGCACGGCCAAGAACGAGCTGGGCTCCGTGTCCTGCCACAGCTGCCTGGTGGTGGACAAAGGCATACGCGCTTACATCTCACCCGACTTTTACGTACCCCTCGACCCATTCTATGTGTTCCGCGAGGGCGCCGAAATACGTCTGTCCACCAAGGTGGAAGCCTATCCCGCTGTGGGCGTCAGCTGGCATCGCAATGGCATGCGCCTGCGCCCTAGTCGACGCATATCCGCCACTCTAGACTCCACGGGCTATGTGGAACTAATCATTGCCGAGGCAACACCACGCGATGCGGGCATTTACGTGTGCGTGGCCTCCAATGTGGTCGGCAAGGTGGAGACAATTTGCCGTGTGGCCATCGAGGAGATCGAATCAGCTGCAACTCCACAACGCGCACTGGAAATACCCAGCATCAAGACGAGCGATATGCCGTGAGTAGCACACACACACTAAACCTGGCCACAAATCATGATTATCTTATTAATCTTAAAAACCCTGCCGCAGTTACTCAAAGGAGCCGCTGTTTGTGGTGAAGCCGCGCTCCAGCGAAGCCTACGAGGGCGACAACGTCATCATATTCTGCGAAGTGGTCGGCGATCCCAAGCCCGACGTTGTCTGGCTGCGCGATTTTCTAAATGTGAGTATTTTTTTTATTTTTTTCTCGATCATTTAGCCAAGTGACGTCAGCAACGACAGCGGCAGGTTCCAAGCGCTTGCGCAGCGCCACGCTTCGGAGTCAGTTGCATTCATGGCGCCAACAAATGTGGGTCGCACTCGTCGTCGTCGTTGTTGTTGTTGCCAAGAACGAGCTTATATCTCGTTGCGATATCAAAAAATATAAAATTCAAGTGCAAGTGCGCCAACGCCAAAAAGAAAACTACCGAACAGTCAGTTTAATGAGTTCTGTGGGCCCAGGAAATGGCAAAAATAAATAATTCCGCACTATTTGCATAAATAGTATATAAAAAAGTGTAAAACTATTCAAACAGTTGTCACAGTGCAATCGACATTCCAATTTACAACAGTTGCTCGTGCGGATAAATTTCAAAAATATATATCAACAAAACACCAATTGATCCGCCTGAACGAGCAAAGTGTTAACCAACAGAGACCCAAGAAAGTGTGGCAAAGGTAAACTAGATAATGCAAGAAGTGTCCAATATATTAATTCATAATTAATATATTTTAACAAAAATATATTTGGCAAAGCGGAGTTAGAGACTCATCTTTAAAAATGCTTTTAAAGTTTTGTGAACAGCATTTTAAAGTATTGATGAAGTCCGAATGATTTCGATTTATTCCCAGTCTACAACGAGTTTCATCAGCCACATTAATTTAAATTAAATATATTGTGCCTGTCGTTGGATAAGTTGTCTAAGCGACCATTAAGGCATTTAATCAAAAGTTATTCCCAGTTCTTTGATTAAGCGAAAGGAATATTTTTAATTAAAATTCTTGTACATATAACTAACTAATATGCTGTTAATGTAATTGAAAGGAACAGTAGCCAGATCCATGCTACTTATTGCATATAATAAAAGCTTTTATATTATTAAAAGAAATTTGAACTAGGTTCTAGATTTGATGTGCTTTAATTAAATCCCAATCAAACCTTTTTCTCTCCAATATTTTTCGATTTCGACTTTTAAACTCACAAAAAACCAAACATTTCCAATGCATTTGATACCAAATAACAACAAAAAAAAGACCTGCACACATCCAGCTTATCATATATATTATGCATTGCCCACTTTTTAATGCGTGACCAAAATTGTAATACCTTTGCCAAAGGGGATAACAATGCAGTTTTTTTTTTTATTAGCTGCAGCTGCTTCTTACTCGAATTACCAGACAACTGCGTCACACGTCGCGCAGTCAATCGCAGTTGTTATACAATTTACACACACATACACACAGATACACTCTCAAACACACACACACATAGCATGGGCAGTTTAGTTCTTATAAAGCTGATCTGCTGTCAAACGCTAATTCAAGTTCAACCCATATCAAATAACATGCTTGTTTTTCTCTACAAACAATTACTGGCCAGAGCCAAAAAGGCAACAACAGCAATAAAAACGACAACAGCAACAACAACAATAAAAAAAAATCAAAACGAGCGAAAAATTATTAGCCACAGTCGTGCCGCTGCTCGTACCAAGGAAGCAGGAGGTCAGGGTGGGCAACCCAACACACATGCGAGTTCCAGTTACCAGTTTTCCTATTGACAGTCGCGAAATTAAATTTTGTGCTTATATGGCCATACGCTGTGCACAACAACAACAACAACTATATAACATGAATAAAGAACATACATATATGAGACTTACATGATTCATTCATTCAGCGATCTGTGACGATCCTTATGGCCGCTGCACTGGCAGCTGCAGCATTCCAAGTGTCAATTATTAAGAATATTTTTTTTTGATTTGGTTTTTGTTTTTTCTGTTTTATTGCAGCCGGAGTACTACAAGGACGCACCACACTTTAGACGCATCGGCGAGGGGCCGGAGTATCGCTTGGAGATACCCAGCGCCAAATTGGACTTTACCGGCACTTACTCAGTTATAGCCAGCAATTGCCATGGCGAGACCAAGGCTGTAATATCCCTGCAAATTTACGCCAAAGGTGAGTCGTATTATTCCTTAAATCTATTGACTAGTTGTAGCTGTATGTTTATTGTCCGGTTGAATTTCATAATGCTTGTGGATAAATGCTGATGAGACGCGGATAGACTACATCTTTCCAAAATTCATCGGCCATGCCAAGCAGGCTGGCCACAAATTCGGGATCGGCTTGCACCCAAACGTAGTGCAGAGCGCCGTTCGTTTCGAATGTGGGACTGAGCACACAGTAGAGCGCCTTCTTCACGTTGGCCAGAAACATTTGTGTCTGTATCTGGGCCATGTATTTGGGCGCAATGGATTCGCGTGCCTCGAGATATTTCTCAAAGTCTTCCTCAGTCTTTGGTGATTTAATTTCGACAATGTGATCATCCGTAATGCCATCTGGGGCACCACACAAATAGGGATAGTTTTCGTGGAGCAACAGACCACATTCCAGATACTCCTTGTTTTCCAGTTTTTCGGTCTGTTTCAATATGAAACGCTTGTGCTGTTTTTGCTGCACACGATCCTCAATGTCTTCGTCGCGTCCCTTGCAGAAGAGCATATTGAAAATCTGTTCGTCCTCCTCCTGGGTTTTGCGTGTGGCAATCATGTGCATCATGGAGCAGCGTATGCGCATATACTGCGCCTCTATCCACAGCTTTGACTTGTACTGTCTTTTGGTCACCTCGCTGAGACCTTCGAAGAGACCACTCTGCGCCTGCAGTTCCAAGTGCTGCATAAAACTATGCACATCGTATATGTTATATTCCGCTGCTTTCAACAGCATATGGTGTATCAGTATGGACTCGAATTCATCTGTGGTTTCCACGCATTGACGGTACAGCGCTGAATCACGCCCGCAAATGGCAAGCTCCTCGAGCACAGACGTCAGAAATGCACGTTCCTCGCCCTCGCTAGGACTTGACACCTCATCATCCGCTTCGGTGGGTAACTCTCGCATGGGCACCATGTCCTTTATGCGCACTGCCCTTGTGGGCTCCGGTTGAACAAGCGCCTCCAGCTCATTGCCCCAGAATTCCAACAGAGCTGTGGGCTTTTTATCTGTGCTCTTGTTGTGCAGCCAAAATACAAAGGCAACAACATGCGGGCACACAGCTATAATTAATGCAAATTATTATTAATTTTCTATAAGTGCAAGTTGCCAGCCTGCTTACCTACTCTGGCGCACAGGCTGCATTGGCCATCTGTAAGGGAATTTTCATGGTCCAGTACCTTGATGGCCACATTGGCATGTGTTTCCGTATTAGCGAAGTCTGCGGCAGAGAAGACCAAAGCTTTTAATTCACATAGCTCGCCCTGCCGGCGAAGGTGCACGTAATCTATCAGCAAATCGTTGTTCTCCGAGGATCTATAAAAAAAAGAGTTTATTAGCATTAGCAATTCATATATATAAAGTTTTTAAGTGTGTGTGTGTGTGTGTGTGTTTAAAAAGGCGGCACTTACATTTTGTTGTCTGTGGCTGTTGCAAAAAAGTTGAACACCATTCCGCTGGTAATTGTGGGTAAGCTGTGTATGTCTGCTTTACGGAAGCCGGGTTCCAAGTCCATGGGCACAATGATTAAGCCACGCATTTGTATTAATTACATAAAGTTGCTTTTATAACAAAAAAATAACACAAACACGACGCTGAAATTGACCGACACAAACAACAGGCTGCTAAAATGAGTTGCTATAAATAGCCGAAACCAGGGCTGCTGCAAAAGCAGCGCTCGCTCACCACGTTCAGTGCTGCTCAACTGTTGTGTAACGCTGGAATCAGTTGCTATAAATAGCCGCAGCCGGGGCTGCAGTACATTACCAAAAGCAACACTCACTCACCGTGCTCAGCGCTGCTCAACTGTTGTGTAGCGCTACATTCGAATTGGTAAACGGCGCCAAAATGTAATATTATTTTATTTTGCAGATATACTTAAAGAAAATCGCATGGACAAGGTTCACACGAGACATGGGTGAGTGTTTTCTGTTAAATAAATACAATATATATTTTATTTAAATGCCTTATGCCTGCCTTTCAGCAATATTGAAACTCTGCCGCGCTTCATACGCAACCTACGCAATCTGCGCTGTTGCGATGGAGACGCCATATCGCTGGAGTGCCATGTGGAGGCAATGCCGGAGCCCTATATAATATGGGAGAAGGATGGCCACGTCTTGCCCAGCGACAGAGACTACATAATGTCATATGACGGCATGAAGGCCACATTGAGCATACCACGGGTCTATGCCGAGGACGAGGGCGAATATACGTGTGTGGCCAAGAATTCAGTGGGCCGCACCCTTTCGTCAGCCTGCATTATTGTGGATGTGCCTGAGGAGAAGGAGAACATGCTCAGCCGGCAATTGGCACGGCCAAGTGCTTTGCTATCGGCCCACTCCACGCCACGTTCCACACCGCGCTCGACGCCCAATCGTAGCTTTTCACCCATGAGACTTTCTTACCGCAACAGCAGCATTGATCTGCACATGGGCTCGGTGGAGCGCCGGCGCAGCGATGCACGTTGCATATCAGCGCCCAAATTCCTAGCCATTCCCTACAATCGTGTCGTGGAGGAGGGCGACAGCGTGCGCTTCCAATGCGCCATTGCTGGTCATCCCACGCCCTGGGCCACCTGGGACAAGGATGGCCTGATTGTCACGCCAACCACACGGATTGCTGTCAAGGAAGTCGATGATCTGCGCTTCATTGAGATCGATGAAGTTGGCTTTGACGATGCCGGCCTGTACCGCATCACGCTTGAGAATGACTTTGGGCGCATAGAAGCCACCGCTCGTCTGGACGTTATTAGCAGCTCACGCTACTCAAAGTCGCCCTCGACACGAAGCGTTCGTGCCTCCTCCTCGCGACGCAATGCCTATCTATATCGGCGCATCATGGGCCCATCCACAGGTACGCAAATGACATCAGCCGCAAGAGCAATTATTCAAGTTTTGTGTATACTCTAGCTATTGGCGGTCGCATGGCGCTAGCGAGTGGCTTTCGTGGCTCGTCCGTGCCCTCGGTGAGATTCTATCACAATAACGTTGAGCTGGAGCCCTCAGATCGGGTGCACATTGTGCTGCAGGAGGATGAGGCTATGCTATTTGTGGACAACGTTACATTAAACGATGAGGGCGTCTACACCTGCATAATAAGCGGCGATCATGATCCCCTAATTAGCTCCATCGATGTCAAATTCCATGGATCAAGTACTGAAATTCAACATCGCCCCGCTGCCATTGCTGAGCCGCTGTCGGAGCTTACCAAATCCGTTGAGGGCGAGGTGGTCGATCTCTGTTGTGCCATAGATAGCGCCGAACCGTACAGCTACGTGTGGTTGCGCAATGGCGAAATTCTGCCCGACAGCGAGGAGTTCAAGTGAGCATTCAGTGTACCCACACAACTGCTTTGTATACCTATTCACTTGCATGCTTGTCTTACAGCTACATCGATCACGGCAATGGCTGTCTCTGTCTGCGCATCAACGACGCCTTTGACATTGACTCCGGCATCTACAGCTGTCAGGTGTACACGTCTACGTCGGATGACAGCGACGGCGACTGCGAGTGCGACTGCAGCAGCAGCGGTGAGCTGTGCGTGCTGGAGCGGGATCTAACGCGGCACGACGAGAGCGTACAGCTGCTGAAGACACCGCTGCCGGTGGTGTGTGCGTCAGGAGCTGAAGCTCTCTTCTATGCGCGTGTTTACCCCTGCGAAGCGGATGCCGAATGGTATCTCAATGGAAAACTCATATCGGATGACTCACTTAACATGACGGTGCGTAAGACACACACACACAATATGAGCGTCTGACCCAAAACGTATAACCCAGAGTGAGATACACAGTTGGCACACACCGACTTCTGTATGCTTTTAATAATCAACTTAGCTCTTAAGGCCTTCACGCTTGTTGATATTTCACATATACCCCTTTGGGGTAAGGATCCTAATGAAGCAATTTGTGTGCGACCCAAATTGTTGGCATGATGTGTTGTCGCTTTACCTGGCTTCATTTGGCAGCTGGCTCTCCAGCAGACCAGCACTTGAGGCTGCCTTGCCGCTGGCCATTTCGTTCAGTCGGATGAAACCCACTGCGTACTACTCGTTCCCAGTCCAATAACAGCTTCAAGCAGGCCACCCGCCACAATTATTATCGGATATAGATTTTATCGATCGTAAGAAGAGGTCGTGAGTGGTCTACCTGCAAACTTGTATGACTGTAGCTTTAAAATTGTGACAAATATAGATGGTAGGCGTGGTCAACGAAATGAGAACAGCTTGGTGTTGATATCCGCACGACTATATACCCAAAGTGAGACGGCTATTGCAGTGAGCCAATATACCCTTTTCCCCTTTTTGAACGTGTATGAAAACAAAAGCGCTTCGTTTACACCTTGTCAACGGCGAGCGTTATGCGGTGAAAACAATAACAATAACAATAACAATACGCAAGCATTTATAGACACACACACACACAAACAAGTAAAGGTGCTCCAGGCGAGAGTGCCCGACTAGAAGATACTCCTGAATTTTGGCATTACAAACATGCTTCCTTCTCCGGCTGTGCTTCTTCTTCATTACCTTACACTATGTATTGGAAATTCAGTCTTAAGTAACTCCGTTGTTTATGGTCCGATCTATATGAAATTTTCAGGGCTTCAACATGGCACACAAAGATGTGCGTATACCAAAGTACAGGGATTAGGGTTTAAAGATATATATCTTATTCTGTGATAAATGGGGGGAGGTGCCCAAAAAGTTAAATATTCCATATAAGGTTTGGTGTAGCTCTTATAATCTTCGTATTATGCTTAAAAAACCAAGTCTAAAAATCGATATTGAAATGGGAGAAGATATCGTAAGCTGACAAACTCTTTCTGAGTATGATATATGAGAATATATTTTATTTATATTATATAGTCGAAGTTGCTGCCTTCTCTCTGCTACATATATTGGCGCACAGTCAATATAACCTGCTTACCAATTTTCTGAGGGTATAAAAAGATTAAAATGCCGCGGCATGCGCAACGCATGCAAACGATGTTAGTGACGCGTCGCCGTCGAATCCAATCGGATGCGATGCTCGATCGGAGAGCAAACAAGCAGCCAACCCAGCCCCAGTCCCAGTCCCAGGTCCCAGCCCAGACACTCGTTCAATGGCTTTCAAGCGGCGCACACAACCAGCAGATCGCCCATAGCAAAAACGATATAACAAATACGATATAGCAAATACGATATAACAAATACGATATAACAAATTGTTGTCAGACACGATGTCACAGGTAATGGCAACTGGCAATTATTGCTAACGATCCGCAATATCGATATCAAAGAACATACGTAGATAATGCACAACTATGTAAATATAACTTTTAAGCCCGGGACTGATAAGAGCGCGCGCGCGTAGCGTGAAAGTTACATTACGAGCGAAACTTAAAACTGAAACCGAAAACGTGCCCGATATCAAATACCGAGCGCGTTCGCATTGCTCGGATTTTTGTTGTTGTTAAATGTTCTCAATAATTAATTGGTGGGGTGTCGCGATATTCTCAGTTTGACACTGGCCGTTGGCGCCTCGCTTTGCGCTGCCTGAGCTCTCAATTGTTCAGATATAAGCATATATATATGTACCTATTTATATATATATATATAAATATTTGTGTTCATCGTATAGAAAATTTAACTAGGCGCATATTTCATTGGCTCGGCATTGTCATTGAGCCGCACTCAAGTATTTGCTCTTCCATGTGCCAGCTGTTTTCACACAAACACACATACGCACTCACACTCGCAAACTCCTCTCACACACACACCCACACTTGCGCTTGCAAACTCCTCACACACACATGCCCACACACGCATGCACTCGCAAACTCCTCACACACATACACACTTGCACTCGCAAGCTCCTCACACACACACACACACCCACATTTGCACGCGAAAATTCCTCACACACACACACACTTGCACACACAGCTGCTAAAACACTTTGTCTTCATTTACAGTTGGAGTCGTATCCGGAGAACGGCATTCGCTTGCTGCGCCTGCGAGACGTCCAGCTGGCCCAGAGCGGTGAGCTGCGTCTGCAAGTGAAGCATCCACAGGCGGAGCGACGCACGCCCGCCGCCCGCAGCTACACCAGCCTCCTAGTGCTGCCCACAGGCAGCAACAGCAGCAGCAACCAGAGCAAGGAGCACGACAACAACTATTCGCTGGCTGCCAGCAGCTGCATTTTGAAAGGCCCCGAAGATTGCACCGCACTCATTGGCGGCCATGTCCAGCTGAGCGTGCACTATGAGCCATTCCCCAACACCAAAGTCATCTGGTACAAGGCGGTATGTATCAGAAATCAAAGGGATCAGAGATATCTAAAGCTGGCTAAAGCTGGATACCCTAACAGACATAGAGCATAATTTGTCGAGACAACTTTAAGCAGAAGTAACGAATAGATTGAATACCCTAGACATGTAGCTTGGAAATGTTTTATATAGATATATATACCCGATAGATACTTCCTAAATGTGCCTATATATATATATAGTCCGATTTGATACAGTTATGTAGATAGGTTAGAGATCTTCTAAAACTAAAAAGTACTTTGAAGGTTGTTTCCTCTAGAGCTTAATGATATAGTTATATAATTTTGCACCCTTGAACCTTGTAAGTTCTAAAAACCAGACAGACGAACATGACTAAATCGCCCCGGCTATATATATAGACAGTTACGCTTTGCGTAACTTATTTCGTGACAGAATTAAAAATACCCTCTACACATAGGCTTGGCCTGTCTGCTTGCCTGATTGATCCCCATGTAATTAATTTTATTGATCTCTATGTAAATCGTTCCGGTTCTGAGCCAAATCGGGCATTTGCGCAAAGCTGTTGCGCAACGAGAGTTGACAAGCGACCTAATTAGGGCAAAAAAGCCGTCAACAGCTCGAAGATTAGCACAGTTGTTATGACCATGATCCCATATCATGCTTTTATCTAAATAAGCCCGCCCCACAGACAAACCCCAGATGCTCTCAATGCTGCGTATGGGCATGGTGCATGTCTCCAGTCTCTGGTCTAGTCGCGGATCTAGTTAGTTGGAGAGTCTGTGACTGTGTCACGATCAGTTTGCGGTATTGACGTAATTGTTGCAAACCGCAAAGACAATAACAACAAGGCGACGACGACGGCGTGCCCATCGAAGGTTGGCCGCAATACTAATACGCTTGTTGTACCCTTTGCCTTTACAGTGCCGTCCCATTGTTGAGGGCGCCAATGTGACAATTCGCAGCACGGCGCAGCAATCGACGCTTTATATAACGGACATCGCAGCTGATGACAGCGGCAAATATACGGCGGAAATAATGAACGAATATGGCGTGGAGGCAGCTGCCGCCTCGGTGGCCGTTGAGGGACCACCAGAGCCGCCCAGCGGACAGCCGAGTATCTCGCTCGGTCCGGATCGTGTGGCCATAGCCTGGTGTGGTCCGCCCTACGATGGCGGCTGCATGATAACGGGCTTTATGTAAGTGCGCAATTGTCATATCAATTAAATTGCATTAATTCATAATTTAATTGCAACTCACCGACAGCATCGAGATACAGAGCTGCAAGCCAACGGACTGTGATAGCGTTAAGGATAACGCTGACTGGCAGCAGCTGACCCGCGTGGTGGATACGCTGGCCTATACCGTCAAGGATCTGCTGCCACAGCTGCAGTACAGATTTCGTGTTCGCGCCGAAAACATACACGGACGCAGTGCACCCAGCCAGGTCAGCGAACTGGTGCAGTTGACACGCACAGCCACAACAGTGGATGCTGCTGCTGCTGCAGCAGCAGATGCAACAGCCAATTCCCTGAGCGCTGTGTCTGTGCAGTCTGGCGGGGATTTCAAGGCACGCTTCGAAATCATCGAGGAGCTGGGCAAGGGACGCTTTGGTGTGGTCTACAAGGTGCAGGAGCGCGCACAGCCCGAACAGCTGCTGGCCGCCAAGGTGATCAAATGCATCAAATCACGCGATCGCCAAAAAGTGCTCGAGGAGATATCCATAATGCGCTCACTGCAGCATCCCAAGCTGCTGCAGCTGGCCGCCTCCTTCGAGAGCGCACGCGAAATTGTCATGGTCATGGAATAGTGAGTACCGTCAACTGTGTCCATATACCCACAGATTCATTATGCTTCCATTATATAGTATTACGGGCGGCGAACTGTTCGAGCGCGTTGTCGCGGATGACTTTACGCTGACCGAGCTGGACTGCATTCTGTTTCTGCGGCAGGTGTGCGAGGGCGTTGCCTATATGCATAGCCAGAGCGTGGTGCATTTGGACCTGAAGCCGGAGAACATAATGTGCCACACGCGCACCAGTCATCAGATTAAGATCATAGACTTTGGCTTGGCCCAACGCCTGGACACCAAGGCGCCGGTGCGTGTGCTCTTCGGCACGCCCGAATTCATACCGCCGGAGATCATTAGCTACGAACCCATCGACTTTAAATCGGACATGTGGAGCGTCGGCGTCATTTGCTACGTACTGTAAGCGCACAACAAATGGATAGGTATTTGTTTGACTTTACTTAATCTGCAAATTCTTTTGTTATTGCAGTCTCTCGGGCCTGTCACCTTTTATGGGCGACACGGATGTGGAAACTTTTTCGAATATAACGCGTGCGGACTACGACTATGATGATGAGGCCTTTGATTGCGTGTACGTAGCTCCGATCAATCTTTGTGTTAAACCAATTCCCAACTCTTACTGCTTACAGCTCTCAAGAGGCCAAGGACTTTATCTCACAGCTGCTTGTCCATCGCAAGGAGTCGCGCCTGACTGCCCAGCAGTGCCTCGAGTCCAAGTGGCTGTGCCAGCGCCATGACGAGAATCTCAGCAATAACAAAATCTGCACGGACAAGCTCAAGAAGTTCATCATACGACGCAAGTGGCAGGTCAGTAAAAAGGATGCCGAAGTCACAGCTACCCTAACTAACTGCTGCTCCCACTTTTTTTTGCTTGTGTCTAACCAATGCTTCGCTTGCTCCTCGCTGCTTAGAAAACGGGCAATGCTATACGCGCCCTGGGTCGCATGGCTACGCTGTCAGCATCACGTCGCAATTCGGCCATTGCCATGGGCGCTTGCAATAGTCCGCGTCCCTCCATTTCTGGTCTGAGCATGCTGAGTGCCGCCCATGTGAGCAGCACGCAAATGGCGTCCCTGAACGAGGAGGAGGATGATTTTAGCGGCGAGATGCCGCACGTGGACAAGCGGAAGACGACGGGCGTATTGAGGCTGCGCGACAAGTCGCAGTGCAGCGAACGCAGTGATTCCGGCTATAGCGAGTGCTCCAATGGCAGCCTGGGCACACAGGAGACGCTGCTTCTCACGCTGGCCAAGAACAAGCTGGAGCAAATAGCCAAAGCAAGCCAGGCTAGCGAGGCCTCGGACAATGCAGCCACGTTTGCAAGCAGCGTGCCGGCTCTGGAGCTGCCTGCCAAGGGTGAACCCATAATGCTGTCCGACTTTACCAATACGATTAAGATGCGCAAGAAATCACTGGAGGATAGCTGCACGCGCGAGAAACCAAAGCCGCATGCCACCAAGCCGATTTGCGAGTCCAAGCTGAAGGTGTCCCAACTGAAGCACAGGTTCCAGCAATCAAATGCTGCCGCTGCCGCTGCTTCCGCTGCTGCTGCTTCCGCTGCTGCTGCTTCCGCTGCTGCTGCTTCCGCTGCTGCTGCTTCTGCACATAAAAAGCCTGCCCCAGAGCCCAATCAAATCGCCAAGGTCGCGAGCATGGGTCGCATCAGTAAACGTAATCAATTTGCTTAGCTTACAACGACTTGCATAATACCCTATATACTCACAATTCTCTCTCTCTCTCTGTCTTTTCTCTATTGGCACAGCCGCTGCAGGGCCAGCGAGCAGGTCAGCTGCCGGCAGCGCCACTAAAGCGAGACCAACACAAACCCAATCCATGCCCAGCTCACCGCTGCCCCAGCGCGCCGCAACGCCAACGCGGCTGAGCAGTCGCGTCCGCGAGACAGCGGAACGTCTTGCCCAACAGCACACGGTGGCCAGCGCACAGCGGCAGGCGCAGGTTAAGGGGAATGGAAACGGTCATGGACACGGACATGGACATGGACAGGGGCACGGGAACGGGCATGGAAACGGGCATGGGAACGGGCACGGGCACGAGTCACGTGCGCGCAGTCTCATCAATAGATTCAACGAAACGAAACATATCACGTCCTAGCTTTTATGTCGCTTAAAGCTGATTTACTTAATTCACTTTATTATTGCAAATATCATTAATTATTTTTTTTATTTTGTTTTGTGTTGTGTATGTAAAAAACAGACAAAAAAGAAAACAAACCCAAGGAAAATCTGTACGAAACACTCGAATATATATGTAACATACATATTTACATATATGTATAGGCATATACATATATACCATATATATGGCTGCGAATGCGAACTAATTGTAATCCAAATCCGAATCCAAAATGCACCCAACATTATAGGCACTGGCACTGGCACAGGCACATCGCACTGCACTTAGGCTAGACAAAGGCTAAATATTTAAATTATTGTATCGATTTATATACATAATATCTATTTACCATACTAATTAAAGTTAATATAACGAAGCCAACGCTGTCAAGCTATAGGCAAGAATCCATCAAGAAACCCCCGACTCATTATTTAAGCGATAAAAGTCCTTATACTCTGTTCGCAGAGAGCAAAAAGAGTATATTGGTTTGTGAGGACGAGTTGCGAGTTGCGTAAGAAGCAAACCCAAGTAGACTAGCTTATTCTTAGATTCACTTAATATTTTCCCTTGTGACAATGAAAGCGAGAAGCATCGAGAGAAGTGCAGCATTCCTTTTCCATAAATTAGACAAGTCTAAGCATTGCTTCTCACTTCGCTTCTCTGACAAAGCGATAATTAAGAGAGAAGCATGACAAGCTGTTGCTTGGAATCACTTGTCCTTGATTTTACTTGTCGCTACGCTTCTTGCTTCGACTCTCAACAGCATGTCTGGCATTTTAGATAATGTTAAGGAGTAAGGCTAAGTTTAAAGGGAGAAGCGAAGCGCACTTGGCTATGTTTCACGCTTTCATTGTCACTTCTCACTGGGCAAAATGAATCGTCACATTTTGGGAATGTTATCAAAACTTGGCAATTTTCACTGATGCCTCGGGCCGCAGCTGCCTTGGCCTCGTTTCCTACACTAAGTTTGCTTCCACTAGACTGCATCTGGGTGTTGCTGGCGCGGCTTAAGCCGCACCCAGAGGCCGCCCGAGGCGCGCAGAGTTATGCGAAATGTGGCCTCAAATGTGGTCTTGCCGGGCACAGGCATTAGCTGATAGCTGCGCAGCAGGCGGGACACAATTGTCTTGATCTCCAGTATGGCAAAGCGATTGCCGATGCAGTAGCGCGGCCCAGCGCTGAACGGTATGAAGGCATATGGATGCCGCTGCTCCACGTTGTCGGTGCTGAAGCGCTCCGGCTTGAACTTCTCCGGCTCGGGATAGATGTGCGCCAGCCGATGTGTGGCATACGGGCAGATGAAGATGTTGCTGCCCGCCGGCAATGTGTACGCGCCCAGACGCACCTCCTCGCCCAGCTTGCGGGCAATGAGCGGCACGCTCGGATACAGACGCAACGCCTCCTTGATGCACATCTCCAAGTAGCGCATCTCACGCAAATCGCTCATGGTGGGCGCACGATTGCTGTAGTCGAAGATGCGCTCCAGTTCCTCGTAGCACTGTTCCTGCGAGTCCGCGTTCTGGGCGAGCAGGAAAATGGTAAAGGCCACAGCGGCGCCGACAGAGTCCTGGCCGGCCAGCATAAAGGTGCACGCCTCGTTGACAATGTCCTCCTCACTGAAGTCCGGATTGCTCTCGGAGATTTCGATCATGTAGTCCAGCAGACACTTGCGCTCCACATTGTTGTTGGCCGCATCGGCCATAATCTCGCGACGGCGCTTGATCATCTGGCGCGTAAAATCATTCAGACGCTTCTTCTGATTCAGTTCATCGCTGGCCAGCGAGGTCAGCTGATAGATGGCGTCCAGCAGCAGCCAGGGCTGTGCGAATCGGGCGGGCATCATCAGTTTGCCCTTGCGAAACGGCGAATCCTCCATCAGGCCGAGGCCCTTCTTCTTGATGGGCACGCCCAGCACAGCCTCTGCAAGGTAAGATCGGATTAGGAATTGGACTGGACTAGGTCAAGGAAAGCTAAACGCACCATTTAGCACATCGATGACACAGTTATTGACATATTTGGCAATGTTGATCTCGATGTCTAGCGCCGAGGCGTCCAGATGCTCGTTTAAGGATTGCGATGCATCCACGAAGGTGTCTATGAATTTCTCCAACAGGCTCAGATGGAATGCCGGCTGTATTAGCTTGCGATGCGTGCTCCATTTGACCCCGCTGCTCGTGATCAGCCCGTTGCCCAGAAAGTTGTGCATGAGCCGATAGAAGAAGACCTTGTTCGTGTGCTTCTTGGAGGAGAGTATCACCTGTAGATCTTCCGGCTGCAGCACCACAAAGAACGGAAACAGCAGCACCCAAATCCGCACCAGCGAGCCATACAGATCAAAGGCCCGCGCAGCGCGATTTCGCATAACTGCAAAAGACGAGATACCGGGCGTATACGTAATTGAGATATACGATTCAAATTTAAGCACTCACGATCCTTCTCGTTGATCAGCAGACAGTTGCCCAGAAAGGGCAGCGATGGCGGTCCCGACAGACGCAGCGACAGCAGCACCGACTTCAGATACGAAAGCAGCTGTGTGTAGAAGGCATAGATACTCAACGAGAGCACCAACAGGGCCAAAGCGCTGCACAGCTCCGATTTGGTGGCACGTTCCAGCTATAAGTGGGCAGGGCCGGTGGGAGAGAGAGGGAAGAGAGAAGGTATTTGGTTAGTCAACAATTTGTTTGCACTTTGGGCAATTTAATCAAGTGCGTAAAATATATTTGCCCGAATCCCCCTTTGACAATTGGCCCTTGAACGCACTTCAGCTTAATAGCATTTAGATACATATCTCACAGATACATACTCACACACACACACACACACAATCTAATTAACTGGGAACGTCATTAGTGTGTGTTATGAGCCAGCTCGTGCCTCATGTCGTAAGTTTTTGTAAACACTCAGCCATCCACAGACGCCGAAATAATCGACGAAAGTGCCTGCCAAACGGTGTGAATTGCTTGGGACAACGTCGTATGCGCATTTAATACACACACACGCACACACATGCACACACACGCAAATTTCGCTTTCATATGCCCGCCTCACACGAGATTTCGGCAACAATTGACTGTGCAGCCACGCAAGGACGCCAGTTACAGATACAGATACACAGATACACAGATACACAGATACACAGTTACACAGATACATATACAGATACAGATACAGATACACAGATACAGAGATGCATAGATACACAGATGCAGATACAGATACAGATACAGATACAGATACAGATACACAGATACACAGATACACAGATACACAGATACACAGATACACAGATACACAGATACACAGATACACAGATACACAGATACAGAGATACAGAGATACAGAGATACAGAGATAAAGATACAGATACAGATACAGATACAGATACACAGATACACAGATACACAGATACACAGATACACAGATACACAGATACACAGATACACAGATACACAGATACACAGATACACAGATACACAGATACACAGATACACAGATACACAGATACACAGATACAGTTACGGATACAGAAACAGATACAGATACAGATACAGTTACAGAAACAGATACAGATACATTTGTATCTTTAGCTCTGCTCTTTCAGCAAGCTCAGGGCCAAGCTGGTTGACAAGAACCCGCAGCGCCCATTCATAAGCCGAAACAAAATATTTTGATTAATGATGATCGCCAAGCAGCTTCAGATCATGGGCGCACGTTTTGTTTTCGCCTTTTTCCCAGAGCGGGGCTTTGTTCAATTTGGGCTTTGGCCAAGTAAAAGCGTCAAGCAATTAAATACGAGCACTCGTATGTCAACTGTTTTGTGGTTTAAAAAAACAAAAACATAATAACCAAACCGAATTGCACACAATAACAGGAACTAAATGTAGTTTCGCTTCGACGTGAGAATGACTAATTATTTGTATAGACTATTCAAAATATTCATATATATCAATTTAACTGAATTCAAGAAGAGCGTATAAAAATAAAATATTTAAGTGAGGGAAGAAGTTAGAGAGTATGGAAGAGGAGAGCGAAAGAATGAGAATATAAAAGCGCGCAATCAATCAAGATCAGGAGCAAGTGAGAAAATAAGAGCGAGAATGCGTGTGAAAATCAATATATAATACCAATTACTAACTAACAATACACTAAACACAATCAAATTTGAAGGCAGCACATTTAATTCACGAGAATCGCATAGAAAGGCGATGAAAAGGGATATCACGTATGATAACAATTCCCATAACTTTTGAATATCATTGTCAAATCAAACAGCACTGAAAACATAAAAATCGGTGAGAATTGCTTGAATTCATGAGAATCGCATCTTCAAAAATCTAAAAAATCACTGTCAAAAAAGCACTACTGAAAAGATAATAAAATCGATGGGCATAACTTTCATTCATGAGAATCGCATAGAAAGGCGCTAGATGAAAGATTTTCAAAAAAAAACAAAACTTGGCGTCTATAAAGATTTGTTCGGATTCTCATAAATGTACCATAGACTAGGCAAGATTTTTTTTCAGGTTTTATTCATGAGAATGGCATAGAAAGGCAATACATGGCAAATTTCTAAATAAATTTCAAACAAAACTTGGCGTCTATCAAGATTTGTTCAAAGTTTCAAAAATGAACCATAGACTAGGCACGATTTTTTCGATCTGAACAAATACCTTATGTTAAGTTAAAAATAAAGAGCATTACATGCACATCCGCGCACGCACATGCACAAACACACACACGCACACCACAAGCACAAGATTCAGGGTCAATTGCGCATTGTGGTCGTAAAAATGTTGTATGAACATAATCTTGTATATGAATACATATATGCATTAAAAATTTGTAAATAAATAAAAATAAATAATTGTAAGTCGTGGTACAGGTGCAGCATGGCAAATTAGATGCGTATGATAGTCAAATGTGACTTTCCGAAAGCGAAAGTCGCCGTGCCACGCCCCAAATACTAACCGGGGGGGGGTGGGGTTACCTAAAAAGCCAACGTGTGTGTGTTTGTGTCTGTGCGCGTTCGGTTCAGTTTTATTTTCGATACATATCTTGCGAATGCATAATTACATTGTCATTGATTTCTATGGCCGGCTATTTCTGGTTTTTTTTCTCTCGATTCTGGAAACAGCTGATAACAAAAGATAACAAAACGAGCCTGGAAACAGGGCACAATTAGTTCTCTCTGCCTGGCCTGGATCTTGGCGAGCTGCTTACCAATTATCGTAACAATCTTAGATCCCCCTTTGAGAATATCCCTACCCGCATCCGCATCCGCATCCGCAACCGATCCCGAATGTGCGCGCGCTCCCGATCCGCCGCTCTGTAAGCTTAGACTTCGTAGCCTTCGGTCAATGCGTTCGCATTGCGATTGTGGAACAGGCTGCGCTCGCCGTCGCCCCACGGGAAGCGTTTGTTGCGACGACGCAGATGCTCGTACTTGACAAACGGCTGGCGCGGCTGCTCCCCGCCCTTGGAGCGATAGGCATTGATCATGCACAAGGCAATTGCCGGCGTGGCCACCAGGAATGTGACGCGCTTCCACAGCATCGAGCCGCTGGCCTTGCCGCCGATCAGGTTCAGATTGCGGCTGACCTGGCTGAAGCCAGGCCGTACATAGCGTTCCCAAAACTGCGACATTCTTCTCGATTGTTTAGAATTTATACAAAATTTTTTACTTCTCTTTCACAATATAAATATATATATATATACACATATATATTTGTTGCCCAGCTCCGAAATGTGTCTGCCAGGAAAATGTCTATGCTACACACAGGGCAGAAGGAAATTCATAAAACAACTCGATTGAATTTTGAATTTTTGCTCGACAAGGCAGGCGACTACAAAATAATGACCCGCCCACCCACCGAGCGTCAGGCAATTAGGAACTTTCAAGGGGAACACTAAACCTGGTCAAACAAGCTGGCCAGAGACGCCGCTGAAGCGCGGCTTCCGCTCTGCCGAACTATTTAACTATCTATCTATCGATCGATCGTAATCATGTATCATAAGCCCGGCGGATTCGTGGCTAACTGGCGTATTTGCACAAAACTTCACACCTGCCCACTAATAAATGTACATGATTATTTCTCACTAATTCTATAAATTATCATCATCAGCGTCTTTTGCAGCTCACACGCCCAAAAGCCCAGCCAAAAACCCAAAAAAAAAAAAAAACGGCACCCCCAACCGTACACAGTTTCTTTGGGCTTATAATAATAATGAGATATCTGTTAAGTCACTTTGATATCGCCTTCGAAGAGCGGAAATATCACACTCTCCGTATTTGAACTAACCAAAAGTAAATTTCAAGTTTTTGTGTCAACTGCATAAAGTCGCATTGCATAATTTTTAATGGAAGTCTTTTTTACTTGAGGTTTTCAAATTTTGTGGATTTTTTAATATATATATATATACAAATCGCACTTCTTTCAGATTCTATTTAACCTCACTTTCTCACTCTGTCTCTCTCTTTCACTTTGTAACCCTACCTAAAAACCTATTAAGCCTCATTCTCTCATTCACTCTGTCTCTCTCTCTCTTATAAAAACTGCACTCTATTATTTTATTTTTTAAATTAAATTTCTGTTTCCAAAATCTTTTACTATAATATCCATTTATAGACCTAAAAGGACTTGCATAGTTTTTTTTTTCTTATATCTTAAATCGTATTTCCTTTTATAGATTTGATTCAAATATTCAATTAATATTTAAATAATATTGTATATATTTCAATTATATTATTATTTTTTAATTCGATTATTTTATATTATTTTATATATATATATTACTCGCATTCACTAGCTCACTTCTCTTGTTTTATTTAAGATTCCTTTTCGATTTCTCACAAATATCTCCATTTGGATTATTCACTTTTACTCACCACTTTTTCCACAATCATTTTGCGGGTTTTAACTAAATTTCTGCTCTTTAAATTCTACGCTACGCACTCTCACCGATTTCTCACAGTATATAGATACATATATGTATATATTGAATATTTTTATAGAACTTTTCGCAACTGTCCTTAAAGTCCACAATGTCTTTTTTCTCTCTTTCGATTCACACACGCCGACAGTTGAGTTTCAAATGGTCGATTTCGGGCCGGGCAACGTCTATTTATAAGCAAAATGTCCGACGATAAAGAAAAAAATAAAACGAAAATCGCTTCAATGGGGCGTACGTGAGACGTTGCCTTCGGAGATGAAGAAAGAGCCAGTTCCAGCAGCTACTCAAGTCGGAATTATGGGAGACAACAAGCATATATACTATATATATATATAGATGTATATGAGAACTAAATGAAGTGCTAAGTAACTAGAACCAGGAGTAGACCTAAAGTGAAGTATTTTTGTATTTATGCGTTAAATGTACGATAATTGTAGGCCTGAAATTTAGGCATCTAATTTTGAATGATATTCGACTTGGCTCTTCAACTGGGCTTAAAACGTTGCTCTAGTTACTTGTTCTACTTTAAGGTAACCAGAACTAGGAGTAGACCTAAAGTGAAATATTATGTATATGTATATGTATATGTATATATATGTATATATATGTTCGATATATGTGGGCCTGTTTCTAGGCTCTCGACTTAGCTCTTCAACTGGGCTTAAAACGTTGCTCTAGTTACTTGTTCTACTTTAAGCATGCTACTATGTCCACCCAAATGAGTATTTATTTATTTATCGATTTATTTATTTAAAGTGCAATCCAGTGTCCACTTAAGACCCGAGCAATGCCCTATACCCCGTTCCCCCCGCCCGGCTGACCCACCGCAAACAACTAGTTAATTGCATAAATTTAATGAACATTGTTAATGCATAGAACTTAGTGAAAAATTGACGACTGCATAATGTCCATCAATATTCGGGAAGAAGCTAACAAATATTATCATCAACATTTCCGTGAAATTTCAATATGTTGACACAATAAAACGTGTTTATTTGAACATTTCAATTGGGCATTTATGAGCCGGGCATTGCCTACTTTTAGGCTGACAGCTGCACCCCCAATTTGTAGGATATTTTGCGGCGGATATAGATATAGTAATTTATTTCAAAATGAAAGTAAGAACAGATTGCTGACCCGTATTAATATTTATCTTAATATGACGAGTCGAAAAAAGGAAAAATCCTTTTACTATTTTTCGATTCGTTTTACAGGAACAATATGGTATATGTCGTGGTGTGCTGTTTTTACTATGAAACGAACGAAATGAAAGATACTTGATATATATATACTATTCTAGAAGCTACATGTCTAGTTTCGTGACTCTAGCTCATATTGTTTAACAAAATTGCTCAAAAAACAGGATTTTGATATCGATTTTTATCGATTACCTGGAAACGAGGCAAGTTATCGAATATCGGAAACAAACTCGATCTGCGCGGGGACTAGGAGGACCTACAGCTAAAATTTCAAGTCTCTAGCTCTTATAGGTTCCGAGATCCTTGCGTTCATACATACGGACAGACTGGCATACGGACAGACGGACAGACAGACAGACGGACATGGGTAGATCGACTCGGCTGTCGATGCTGATCAAGAATATATATACTTTATGGGGTCGGAGATGCTTCCTTCTGCCTGTTGCATACATTTGCACAAATACATAATACCCTTTTTACCCCTTTTCAATGGGTTCAGGGTATAAAAAAATCTTGTAAGGAAAACCCAGCACCAATGTACAAATACCTTTGGCCCCAAACATTGCAATTTCTCCATTTTTGTTAGATCACAGTTTTGACTATAGGTCAAATTTAGCCCGAATTTTACATATGAAAATATGTAGAAATTGCAGTATTTTCAGTACAACGGGCAATGGTATATAAAAATTGAAAAGTAAGTTTTTAAGCATATATCAACTATATATTGAACGTGCAACGGGCAAGGCCGGGGTATACCCGCTATTATCCTATATAGACATAGGTAAAAATTTCCATCCCCCATAAACTCGGTCAAAACTCAACTGATTTTCATAAGGTCTGGCTTTTAGATCATGGTTTGACCTCTAGATCTATTTGGCATTTAAATCTTGCAACTTTTTTTTTTGGTAAAAATTCATGTACCCTCAAATATGCTATATAGACATATTTCATATTTCTCCCCCCCATAACTGACTGACTGACCAATTGGTGATCAAAGCACAGCCCAAACCGTAAGAGCTATGAAGCTGAAATTTTCACTGTAGTTACCTTATGTGATAAAGGTGCACGTTAAGACGGGGTTTCGGAAAACTCCACCCGCAAGTGTGGAAAAAATGCGAAAAATGTTTTGTATGAAACTTTTTTGTTTATCATCCGATCGCCGATTTGTGGGGTGTTTCCCATGTCTCGAAAAATGCCTTCCTCCTTGCTGGAAGTGGGGTCAAGCATTTGGTGGTTGACATTTGTGTTTATTTCCACAGACCTATAAGAAAAATCATTTGATGTGTGTCTCACACTTTTCGTAGAATCCAGGCTTCCAAGTTTTATGTTTTCAAATATATGCATGCCTGTTTTTACATACATGTATGCATGTTTGTTTTGTATATATGCAAACGTGCATGCATGCAAACATGTATGAATACATGTCCGGATACCTACATACATGTATACATAAATGCATACATACAAACATACATACAAACATACATATGTACATACATACACATATATACATGCATGTATGTGCGTATGCTTTATTACGTATATAAATATACGCATGCATACATACATGTTTGAGTGCATGCTGCATTTATGTATATGCATGTTTGTATATATGCAAACATATGCATGCATGCATGCAAGCATGCAAGCATACATACATAAATACATACATACATACACACATACATACACACATACATACATACACACATACATACATACATACATACATACATACATACATACATACATACATACATACATACATACATACATACATACATACATACATACATACACACACATACATACATACATACATACATACATACATACATACATACATACATACATACATACATACATACATACATACATACATACATACATACACACATACATACATACATACATACATACATACATACATACATACATACACACATACATACATACATACATACATACATACATACATACATACATACATACATACATACATACATACATACATACATACATACATACATACATACATACATACATACATGCACTTACATACATGCACTTACATACATGCACTTACATATGTACACCTACATACATTTCTACTTACCCGCTCCACCTCCTCCTGCTCCACCGCCTCCAGTTGCTCCTCCACCGGCCGAATTTCAGCAGAGCCTACTTGAATATTTGAGAATCGAGGAGGAGAGCACTTCATAGAAGTTCGTTTTATTTAAATTTGCAGTACAGCGACAAATAAGCTTGGTCTGCGTTTGATATTAGAATACAAACATGCATGCATACATATATTTATAAATGCATACATACATGCATGTAGACACTAACACACACACGCCCACACACACATACATACATACACACAAATACATAATACTTATATGCCTTCGTAAAAATAATTGTATATATATATAAAAAGCCAAGATGTGAACCGAAACCTGGGCCCAAGGATGTTACCAACCAGCTTCGAACCAAATAGATTTGACTTGAACCAGAAATTGAACCAGCAACCGTTTTTTTTGTTCTTACAGATCTAATACTGAACACAGGAAGTTAAGAGGTTTATTCTTAAAGCTCACACCAAGTCTTCAAAAACGTATACGTTTTGATAGTACGCTCCCATAAAATAAAAACACAACAAATTAAACAATAATCTATTCTTATAACTGTATGTGCAACTTTAATGTTAAGTAATATACAAAAAACCCTGAATATTGCAATCTTAAGCCCTGCCACTACTTTGACAAAATATGGGGGAAAAAAAGGATATGAACTAGCGCAACCCATATATGGTTCCCATTCCGGCTCCATCTACGTTGTTCAATGCTTGACAGCCTCAATGCCGTGTCGCACCAGATCAATCAGTCCCAGTCTCATGGAGGCCCAATAGATAAAGCCACCTAGTATCAGCCCCTTGCTAATGCGATCCAACACATACATGCTGTAAGTATAATGAAAAAAGTATTACAAATCATATTCAATTGGTAGATCCTGTTGTCCACCTACAATCGCAGCTGTATGCGCGCCTTGGGCAAGGAGGTCAATGGCTCCTTCATAACATATTGACGTCCACCCAGAATGCTAATCTTCATGTATTCATAATCGTCCACATCGTTTGTATTGATCTTGAAGCTACGAAAAGGGCATTCAAAAGATTAAGTGAACATTGATTAACGATCAATAAGTATTTGGGGTATATTAATGAAATCTGTTATGCATGCTAATGAGATGAGTTTATATTTTAAATTCCCAATTCGAAACCTCTGGCAGATCCGTTTAGTATATTAAATACATATAGGTAGTATCAGCAGTTGGCGTACATTTTGCGATCTTCTTCAGATATTTCTTTATAGATTTGCTCGAAATGCGTTGACTTGAAGTCCCAGTTGCGTGTTGTGAAGAATTGTAGCACCTCCAGGCCCACCGATATCTTCGTTTGCACGCGAACCATGCTGAAAGCAAAGCAAATGCAGGCTTAATTAAAAACTTTATATTGTATACCAAATGTCAACTCACAAGCGACGCTGTCCAAAGATGGCCAAAAGGAAATCAATGATATAGGCGGGCAGCCACATAAACAGAATGGTACAGATGGTATGATAGAATTTGCTGGTTGTCATATTGCCATCCGGATACCAGAGGCCCACATCGAAAGGGTATTTCAGGCCCAGATCGCGGCCCACATCCATGATCCATTTCCAGCTGCGCTTCTTGGCATCATCAACTGTTAGATTATAGACGGGTATCTGCAGGGGTCTGTAAAAGTTGAAGTTTAGACTAAAGCTGGGAAGGATAATTCAAGGACTCACTTCTGCTTAAGCCGACTGTTGTGATACGGTAACAAAATCAGGCCATTGATAGCTATGTCCACTGGTATAACCTCTGACCTGAGCTCGCCATTGCAGATCATGGAACGGATGACGCCTTTGCCGGCGCCAATCAATACACCTGTCGGTCCATTCATATTGTCCACCCAACCAGGCAGCGGCTCCGCTGCAGCGGGCGTAACTGCACAGGCGGAATAAATATAATTCAAATGCCAATAAACAATTAAAATAATAATATAAATGATATCCAGGTATAAAGAGTAAACAACTTGTTGGAGATGAGTACAAAAACCTAAATGCATATATTTATTTGGAAAACCTTTAAACTAAATTGAACTACAACTAAATGCTATTGACTATATAAATTCCAGTGACCACAAAAGTTAAAGAATCCCGGAGATTCAAAACATTGCCAGCACGCCCGTCCATTTCAGCATATAATAGGCAAAGAAGCCAACTATGAGGGTCTTGCAAATGATGTCAACAACCCATTGACTGGAAAAGAGGAAGTTTACAATAAGACAGTTCTACCAAGAAAATTGCCAAAGCTTACATGCGCATGTGCAGCTGCGCCTTGGGTATATCCTCATCCTTTTCCTTGAGTATAAACTTACGTGCACCACGCGCACACACTATCAAATACTCCTCCTCAGTTTCCTTGACATTCATGTTCATATTGAAGCTGCCAGAAAGAAGAATCGGTTTAGTTGCATTCAGAATACCTCTTCTATATGTGGTTACTCACATGCTCTTGTCCTGCTCGCCTAGGTTATTCCAGAGGGAGGCGTAATTCTCAGATGTAAAGCTCCAAGCGTTCAGCGTAAAGAACTGTAGTACACCCAGACCAGTTGAGATCTTCTCCTGCACGCGCAGCATGCTGTTTATACGAAAGTAATTGGTAAGATTTACGTATATCAATTATTTCTCTATGTGTGTACATACAAACGCTTCTGTCCCAGAACAAGCATTAGAAAGTCCAATAGATACGCAGGTAGCCAGTGGAACATGGCCACATTGAATTTGTGATAGAGCTCATTGGTTGTGACACACGGTTCCGGATACCAGAGACCCGCATTGAACGGCACCTGCTTATTGATGCGCTTGCTCAACTCCACAACAGTGCCCATAGGCATCTTTCTGTGCTCGGCATTTGTAATATTGTAGACGGGCACTTCGGCGGGTCGCTTGGCTTGCTTGTTAAATTCGTACGGTATGACAATGAGACCATTGATTGCATAGTCAACGGGTATGACTTCAGCCTTGTTCTCCTGATTAACCAGCACCGAACGTATGACACCCTTACCACAGCCAATCATCAGGCCAGTGGGTCCATTCAGGTTGTCCACCCAGCCAGGCAGCGGCTCATAGGCAGCTGGCGATACTGTTTGGATACGGAAGAGTATTAGACTTTCGGAGTAAATGGTAGACTCTACATACCAAGTAGCCCAGGATGATTTGCTGACTGTTGTAGCTGGATGATAACCGAAAGCCAATTAAGTGTGCATGTGTGTGTGTGTGTTTTTATGTGTATGTGTGTGTGAGTAGGTGTGTGAGTAGTGAATTGCTGTGAATGTTGTGAGTGTCTTAAATGTATTCATTGTAATTAACGAATAGGTAAAACTTTGCGAGTTTCAACCCTAATTGAAATCCGGTTGAAACCTTGATTTTGATATTGTCTTGCTGTGTGTATTGTGTGTGTGTGTGTGTGTGTTTACTGTGAGTGCATTGTTTTTGGCTTCTGTCGTAGTCCTTTGAGCACTTGTGCAATAATACTCAACACTCGAACACGTACACATTTGAAGTTTTCGAACCGTTTTATTGCATTTCATCAAATCACTTTACTTAAAGCTAAAAAGCAAATATGCGAAAAAAACGTTTTGTACCCCATAGAAAAGCGAACCTAGGCAATATTGATAAAGTGCGCAAATGTTTTGGCTATATGCTCCCCACTTCTCTCCCACACTCTCTCCCTCTCTTGTTCTCGCTATCCCACTCTCGCTTCAAATGCCCACAAGGCGTGACACCAAGCCGAACATCCAGTAACCCAGGAAACCAACGATAATCGTCTTGCACGCACGATCCAACAGATACATCCTATAATATAGGTTTGGGGGTAAAGTGTTTGGTAAATAAATAAATGGAGAGAGGGTTATATTTTTTTTTTTTGGCATTACAGCATTAGCTGGCGACGCGCACGGGGCAGCGAATCGGGTGACTCCTTCATCAGATACTGACGACCGCCCTGCACGCAGGACTCAATGTACATGGGTATGGTCTCGACGGGATCCATGTCCATGTTAAAGCTGTTTAGTTGGTTACAGTCAGTCGAACTCTTAAATAAAAACGACGTGTCCTTACTTTTTCTTGTCCGCTTCGGTCAGCATACTCCAGAGCGAGGCGTAGGCATCCGACTTGAAGTACCAGGCGCGCATGGTGAAGAACTGCAGCACCTCCAAGCCGACAGAGATGCGATTCTGTACACGTATCATACTAAGCAGTTGTAAGGGTGCGGGGAATTGGGATTGAAGAAGGAACTGTAGGGCATTGCCCGAATCCGAATAGAGCAAAAAAAATCCAAAACTTACAAGCGCTTCTGGCCCAAAATGAAGAGCATAAAATCGATGACATAGGCGGGCAGCCAATGGAAGAGCAGCACATTGATATTGTGATGGAATCTATTGGTGGTTATGCAGCCATCCGGATACCAGAGACCCGCCTCCATTGGATACTGATAGCCAATTTTTTTGCTCAACTCAATTACCTCGCCCCATTGCATCTTGCGATGATCGGCGCACGTGATATTATAAACGGGCACATCCACCGGTCGCTGCTCCATTGCAAACTGATATGGTATGACGCAAAGGCCATTGATTGCATAATCCACCGGTATGGCCTCGGATTTGTGGCGAGTATCGATGAGCATAGATCTAATGACGCCCTTGCCAGCGCCCACCATCAGGCCAGTGGGTCCATTTAGATTATCCACCCAGCCGGGCACAGGCTCATAGGCCGACGGTGAAACTGCAGGAGAGTCGTTCAGTACACAGTTCCAGATTTCTCAAAGCAGTTCCACATCCCTAAGAGCAGCAGTAGCAGCAAGGGAAATAATGCGAAGCCGTAGGCGTGGGCATGGGCGTAGGTTTTTTGAGCGTGTGGGAGTTTCCGCTGGGCGAAAAGGCAGAGGATATTTGGCGATTGAGCTTTGCAACTCGTTTAATTGCAGGTGCTTAGCTTGGATCTAGCGGCAAGAGGCGGGGAGCTGTTGGTGGGGCGTGTCTATTGTTTAGCATTATTTATAAGCTGCAGTTTTAATTACAATGCCATCTTTAATTTCATGCTCATTGAACTTGTTGGTCAATGACGACGACAACGACAACGATTTCTTACAGTTTGTGTGCATGGGTATTATGTGTTTGGATTACAAGCAGTTTTGAAAGATGTAGACAGAGATCTCTGTGCAAGTATTTGGCTAAAGCGCTGACGTTTATGATTATTGCCATTTACCATTGTTTATTGTTGTTTTCCTGGGCGGGCTTGTACACATTGACAGCACATTAAAGATTTAAAAATAAAATGTTGTTGACATTACAACGGACACACATACCGTCTGGCAAGCCCTTTGACAGCTGATTACAGTTAATTTGTTGACTGATGACTATCGATTGATTATACATTGTATCGAAAACCTTGCCAGACTATTAAGCTGTCCGCTGAGCCAGCCTCCCATCTCGCGTGCGTGCTGCCAGTGTGTACAAAAACCCCCGTCTGTTGAGTACTTAACACATTTTCGCACACTCTTTTCAAGTGTTTTGTTGTTGTTGTTTTTTTCAGTGTTGTTGTCTTTGGTCTAATTCATGTGCTTAGCATTCGGTGTCAACAAAGCGCGCCAAGGAATTATGGCTCTGACATACAAACACAAAATATATACAAACGTGCCACGGATAAACAGCTTAAAGACGAACACAAGGTACGCTAGAGCATCCAAAACTATCAATTAGCAGTCGGCAAAAAAAAAGGCGCTTTTAACTTAACCAAAACTTGTGCCACACCCACAGCAAGTCGAAAAGTGTGGCTTTCAATTAGGCAACTTCACGCGACCAGTTGCCAATCCCCTTTTTAAAGGGCCGCGCTAAAACATTTGAACTTTGCGAACTTTATGCTGACAAAGTCATCAATTAATCAATATTTAAACAGTTAGATTGTCATTGAAAGCGGGTCGCGCTTTACTCAAATACACTGCGCAACACACATTTCGCACATTTTGTATGCCTACAAATTGGGGATTTGAGCTCAGACGATGCAAAACATTATATTATACTATTGAGACTCCTAATACTATGTTTTAAGTAATTTCTATCAACCCAGCTTACACAGGCCTACACAAAAAATGGGACATCTTTTAATCGTCATGTCTATATGTACACACTGAATTTCGCATTAAACTACAGACCTATGTATATCTTTTTTAAGAAAACCATATTAAAAAACTTACTTTGCTATAAAATATCTACAATTATATCTGATCTAAAGTAGCTTTTTTAAATGTTAAAATTATATAGAAATTAGCTGCCTTAACGAGGTGTTCCAGAGACTTTTTATGCCCATCGTTTGGGTCATTTGCAATTATATTGTCTAAAATACGAACGCTGTATAATATAATTACAGTTAATAGTCCGCAGAAATATATTTTTTAATTTTTTTTGAGTATTTTTCCCTAACTAACTGCCGTTAGGTAAATTCAGTGGGGTCAACAAAAAGGTCAATTATCTGAAGTTAACCGTTTGCTCAATTACAAACACACTTTTGCCGTTCCCATCTAATTGAAAAAATGCGCGTTGCAGCCGTAGGATCAGGTTTTTTAGCCCCGCTTGCATATGAAAAATCGCAACTTTAATTTCAATTGCCATTGCCCAGAGTCGTAAAGTCTGTAGAATGACTTAAGAGCTATGCCAGAGCGAGACCAGAAAACGGATTGCTGCAGCTGGTTGCAAGGAAAAGCTAAGACAAATTAATTGCATGGTTTTTCTTTGTGCCAAGCGAGTGCCACGACTTTTATAGCCGGCAGGGCGGGAAGCCAGCCAAAAAAAAAAAATATTAAAAAATATACGTAAAATATGATTAAACTTAAAGAGATGATTAAGGAAGCAAGCAACCAAGCTTAAGGCAACGGGCCTCACCAGCTGAAAGCCCCACAGTTATTAGGCACATACATATTTATATATATGGAGAGAGAATAGCTTAGACATGGAGATGGCTTACCGATACTGGGACGGGCTATGATGACCGGCATCGTTTCGTAATGGTCGCGGACCAGCAGCTCGGCGAGACGCTTCGAATAGGTATAGGTATTGGGGTGGGGCTTCAATAGATCGGGCGTAATGGCATCCAATGTTTTCACATCCATCCATTCGGCCAGACGCATCAGATCCTCGGGCTTGTGTGGGAACTCATAGACCTTTTCATACATGACCTCCTGATCGCAATTGCAAAATGCCGTCGACAGATGAACAAATGCCTCCAATTGTTTCATATCCTTGGCCACGTTCAGAGCACGCTTCGTGCCCAAAAGGTTCATGTCAATGGCGTCCCGCAGATTACCCTCCAGCTTCAGAGTGGCGGCCATGTGAAACACTATGTTCGTGTTCTCCACCACATGCTTCAAACTGTCGCCGCTCAAGCCCAGCACTGCAAACAGGAAGAGAGAGTAAGAGTTAGAGACACGCAACAGAATTGTTTTAAGTGGAAAAACTTACAATCGTAGGTCACATCGCCCTGGTAGATGGTCACCTTCTTCAGCATGTGTGGCCGTTCGTCTTTGATGCGTTGGAAAATGGGCAGCTTGAACATCTCGTCGAGACGCGCCTCGGGTGTCTTGCCGCGCTTGGGACGGCAAATGATGATCACCTCCTTGAGCGAGTGGCATGAATAGAGCAGCTTCTCCAGCAGCACTTTGCCCATGAAGCCGGATGCACCGGTTATGAACACGGTCTTGTCCTTATAATATTCCTGCACGGGCGATAGATCAGCCATCTTGGGTGCTGCAAAAGGCGGGAATGAAAATCGAAAGCATTAGCCGGGCACATTACATTAGCCCACATTCCGGGCAAGCAGCCAAGAAAAACGGCAACGGCAACCGCAAGTGTCGCAAGCATAAACTGGGCTAATTCTGAAAACGCTGGAAACGGGTTTCTTTCTAATGGATTGAATTTGTTGGACTTGGAGCGCGGCGTCGATTTCGCATTTCTTTGCATTTCAGTTGGCTGTCGATTACGCAATGCGGCCAAGAGGGGGGCCGAGTGTCTGGACGGCTCGCTGATTGGTTTAATAGTAATACAATGGTACCAACAATCTCCACAACAACAACAACAACCACATGGAGCAGCAGCAGCAGCAGTAACTCCGGCGACCATTTGGCAGAAGCCGTTGCAATACGAGCGCGCCAGGAGACCAGACCACCAGCTTGTCTAACGTGTCTGCTGTTTGTTTTTATGAAAAAATGTTGCAAGCTCCAACAACAACAACTCCGACGAAGCAGCAGCAGCACACGCAGCATGCAGCGTGCCACTTGCCATGCTTGCAACTTTTGATAGCCGTCTGCAATCGCCTGCACATTGCAAAATCAGAGATTGGCGCTGGCGCTGGCTTTTGGATATGAGTTTGGGTTTGGGTTTGGGTTTGCATTGCAGTCCACGTTACACTTGGCCAAATCTTGGGCACATTGTGGCATAGCCAAGCCAAAAATCGTGCCACTTTTATGTTAGTAAAAGTGCCTTGCTCTTTGGCCGCAGCCGCAGCGTGACATTTCTAAACGACCTCAATTTGAAAAGCTACCCCGTAAAACTAAAACCGACGGGGTATGATTAACTAGAACCTTGGACCGAACGCATAAACAACTACATTTTGCTTTAAGAGCTAATGTTAATGGAAAGTTTTAGAAATCAACATTATAGAAGCTCGAACTACAATAATTAATTTATGTTTATTTATTTTGCAAACGCAGTAGAGCTTGTAACGCGTCAATGTAATCAATTTTGCAGTGCACTAGCATGTTTTTAATATGAATTAATTAAATTTTTCGAACGGTGCTGCCAGATTTAAGAAAATGCACTTTGATTGACTGCGCTCTCACATTTGGCACACACTGTTATTTTGGAGAACGCGTTGCCAGATTGCTTTTAGAAAAGAGCTTAGTCTGCTGCACCCGCACATTAAATGCATACAGTCTTTTTATAGAGTGTGATCGTTTTCTCTCTTTCTCTCTCTCTTCTTTCTTTATCGACTGAAACGCGTGCAAATCGAAAGCCACACCAAATATGTGCATATACAGGGCATCTGCTGGTCGTGCTGCCCTCTTTTGGCTAAATCGCACATTTCATGCAACGCTGAACGAGTTTTTTGGCATCTCGGGTTTTGTCACCCGGCCTATTTACCATAAATGAGACACATATCTATATGTATACCTAGTAAGAAAATAAAGAAAAACAACTGTTTGCCCAGTTGAGCGTTTAAGGAAAGCCTGGCCCACAGTCTGAGAAAGCACACAGCATGACAAGGCAATACAACAAATTGTATTATATGTATATATAGTGTGTACCTTGAACTAGAAATCGTGCCAATACTCGTACTACAACTACTGTTGCCAGCTTGTAAACTTGACTAACTGCAACTGCAGTCTGTGGTGAAGTCTGTCAATGAATATGCACACTTCACGCCTGTCTCTTAATTTTTAGTTAACATTTGAGGCAATTGCCTCATTTCCATATTTATTGCCAATTAAAACGCTTCTGCTGAATACGTCACTTTGTCTATACAAAACACAAAACAACAACATTCAGCAATAAATAAGAAAAAACTCGCGTGCAACTTATGCAAGCCTAAAGACAGCTCCAATTCATTTGGGGCCAGCAACGAGACGGCATCAAATCTGCGAAGTCCATGCAAAGCGGAAAACACAAAAATCATAAGCATAACACACACACACACATGCACGCACACACACACGCACGCACGCACGCACACTCGTGCATGGAAAATGCCAAAGAAGTCGAGGCGAGGCTGAAATTGAAACCAAAAACTGAAACTGAACATTTTCAACTGTTGAGGGCAAACGTATGACTTAGGCAACGAACTTGCGCACTGTGGCATGCAATATAATATATTTAAGAGCTTCAAACTTGACAACCATAACATGCAACGTATATGTACATACATTATTAGCATCGTTTAGGCCATAATTTGCAAGAGCCAGTTTCTGGCGAGGTCTTCATAAAATCTATATTTCGCAATCGTTCCGTTTGAGCACAAAAAAACAAATTCAACTTGTTCTTGACACAAAATTCGAAAAGTTAAAAGATGACAATTCTATAGAAAAAAATTAAAAAGAAATTATAGTATATTTGGTACTTAAACTTAGTTTTGTGGCTTATTGTGATTTTAGATAAATATAAAAAAATATTGCAAAAAATATATATAAATTATAGTTTTCTAATATTTGATTTGTACTAAAAGTGAACAAATAAATATAATAAAAATAAAAAGTATAAAAAAATAAATAAATCAAAAATAAAATAAATATAATAAAAATCAAAAGTATAAATAAATATATAATATAATATAATATAATAATAAATATAAATCAAAAATAAAATAAATGTTGCAATAAAGATATGTTAGCTGATGCTGCCTGATTTAGTTGACATCTATTAATTTGTAGGGTATTTACAAATATTGTCAAATATTTGCAGGCAATCGTCTAGCTCAGTTGCCGTTTCTTCTAATCAAATATGCAGAGTCAAACATTTATGAGCTGTTGGCCAAATTCAAGTCCCTCACTTGGATGACACAGTTCAGCATGGTAACTATGGACAACAACTGGCTTTATTTAAAAATGACACGGCTTTAATAAGCCCGTGTGTGTGTGTGTGTGTGTGTTCGTGTTTTTGTTTTTAAACCGGTTTGATTAGTTACTTAAAATATTACTTAGGCATCTCAAATGCGAATACAAACAATCTGAGAAAAAGGCGTTGTTTACATTTTGCAATGATAATATGCTAGTTAATGTAACTGCGCCCAGAACAATGATCAATGTACGATTATTGTAGCAATTCGAATTTTCTAAGAATAGCAAGCGAAAGAAAAGCGAAAATAATACAAAGTGCAGTTCAAAACAAGTCAGAGGTTCTAGTCAGGAGTTCCCGATACCCTCGGATACCCTGAACCCTCTTCTTCCGACAAGCGATAGGTATAAAATGAAAAATAATTGATATATATATACTATTCTAGAAGCTACATGTCAAGTTTGTTGATTGTAGCTCAATTATTATTTGCCGAAATTGCTCAAATAACAGGATTTCGATATAGATTTATCGATTACTTGGAAACGGAGCAAGCTATCGACCATCGGAAACAAACTCGATCTGAGTGGGGACTAGGAGGACCTACAGCTAAAATCTTAGGTCTCTAGCTCTTATAGGTTCTGAGATCCTTGCGTTCATACATACGGACGGACAGACAGACGGACATGGCTAGATCGACTCCGCTATTAATGCTGATTATGGGGTCTTTATGGGGTCGGAGATGCTTCCTTCTGCCTGTTACATACATTTGCACAAATACATAATACCCTATTTTTAATAGGTTCAGGGTATATTTAGAAACGCTAAAAGTTCAAATGCGTTTGAACCTAATGGGCTGATCATCTGCCCCTCTGATAGGGTATACAAGTTATGGCAATATTTTGCCAAAAGTGTGTGAGATCGTTGGGAAAAAACAAAAAAAAAACAAACTCCATTTGCCATTAAGCCATGAAATCGAACGTAACTTTTAATTTAAAAGTCGCCAGTGCAGCCACTTAGCTGAAATCCCTTTAGGGGGTCTCCGCGATGGCAAATCATGTGCCATGAAGATAAAAAGAAAAGAAAATAAATTAATAAATAATAACCAATAGCCTCCAATATGTAAATGGGTTTGTAGCGATTGCCATTGACACACAAGCGAAAGAGAAACGAATATAATTAATTTGAGATACGCTCAAGTTGACCGAAATGGATCAAAACGAAAAAACTAAAAAAGGACGGCTAGCCGAAGATGAAATACCCTTGTAGACACAAGGATTACGGATTTGAAGTGAAGTGATTTGAAGTAATAAAAATGTATGCTATTTTTGATTCAATAGAATAAATATTTATATCTGGGAAAGCATAAAACTTTCCCCTTAGATAGTTAAGATAGTTTTTTCCTATTGTAGATCTATGATATACTACACTAATACCAAGAAGATTTTGTATGAAACATGGCAGAACCCTTAGATGCCAAGTTAAGTTAAGATATGTAAATCGAAAACATTTTGAACTGATCTTTCCTATTGCATCCAGAGATCTGATCCGGCCGGTTCCAATATACCATATAAATAAAAATTAGAATACCCACTTAAAGGTTAAAAAGACAAAACTAATAGTATTGAGAGAGATCGCACAGCAAATACCCTGTCATATCATAGAAATATATTCAAAAATTAATTGTTAATATATGTATAGATGTGGTATATATCATTATATAATTATCCAATAAATCGCTTACATGTTAATTGAGAATTTGCAAATTTGTACAATTAAATGTTAGCAACAAAAAAACACACTAAAGAATGTCAGAAATTTTTTCAAAATAATATATGTGTTTAGAAATCGATTGAACTTTTTTTCGAGTTTCTAAGCTTCTCATGACGGAAAGCAGAGATCAAAGACACCAAAAATTATAATAGAAAAACACAATTCACAGTTAATTGAGTCAAGGGAACTGCTTGGAACTTGTTGGAAATGTTTAAACGGTAGCATCAAACTAGATTGGACTTGACATGGCCCTGACATGGCCCGTGACCCAAAGCGAGGCAGCCCTTTGATGTGGCAAAGGTAAACGCTTAGCGCAATAATTAATAATGGACATCATTTCCAATTAAACGCTCCGCTGGCCAGCTAATAGCGACCAAAATGTTTCAAATTGTTTTAAGCATTTTTTTTTTTCATATTTTATTTTTAAGCTAATTACGCGCAAGACAATTAAGAAAAACAAACATAATATTTGGCTAAAGGTCGCAAGGCAATGGAGACGACTTTAAAGTGTTTTTTTTTTGCATATATTTATAAACAAATACAACAGCACAAGGTGTTAGGCATGGCCATTCTGGTTTTAATTACCTTTTGCAGTGCGTTTAATTAATGCGAATTGTTCCAAACAAAAAAACCAAACACGTTATATGCGCGCGCGTCGGTCAAATCAAATCAAATGCGATATTTGAGAAAAAAACACTATCAAAATTATGCCACGAGCACACGTAAATTGACGATCTGATAAAAAGCTGGCAGCTTGGAGCTCGGGGCAGCGTTGTGCGCTGTGCGGCGTTCAAGAGAAGACTGAGCCCCGTCTGGCCGGGCGCTTGTCAATATGAATGAAACGGGCTTTTTGGTTTTTTAGTGCGATCGAAACTGGAGTCTAGATATTTATTAACTGGTTGGGCATTATTCAGTCGGGATGTGGCAAGCTTTGTTTGGCGGCACCTGCAAGCCAGCCAGCTGCAGCAATAAATATGTAACCATAAGGCACTCGCTCATTTGCTTAGCAAATTCAGCGGAACTTTGACCAATTTGGCGGTTGCGTCCAAAAAAGGAAGTTTTAGCCATTTGTTGTTGTTGGTTTTGGCACCATTCAAATGGTTCACTCTGAGCTGCAAACATATTTTGCAAACATTTGTTTTTCAAGCGTTAGATAATGCATCTTCATGTCCAATACATCGTATATATTTATGTGCACGTATCAATTAATCATGGCATTTGTGGCGTTTGCTGAGCTAATTCATATTTTGCAAATCCAATACATTTGATTTGTTTTGCTGTTGCCTTTTGGTTGTTGCACAATAACAGCATTCGCGATTTTTTTTTTGTTGTTTTTCTTTTTATTTCAGTCTCGTTATGCAATTATGAATATCTCATGAATATTATAGAGTTTTGTTGCCAAACATTGCGAATTATGCCAGCAAAATCAATGAATACCAAAAATCCCCCACACAAGCTTAAATTATGCAAAAAAAAAATATGCAAATAACGTAAAAGTCGCAAAATTAACAAATGAAACTGTTTTAATTAAACCGCCAAGCGGCTAACTGTCGATAACCTTAGCGAATATTTAATTAGCCAGTGTTGCCACCTCATGCGTATTTGAGCAACTTTCAGGTTTGAACATTTTCCGTATCGATATGTCAATTTTATCTGAAATTATTATTTACCTTTAGAAATTATTGTTATTTTCCAAAAAAATAGCTTCATACCTTTAAATTAAATCATTTTCGCTTCTGTTTTCAGCCTAAAAATGCGCACATAGACGCCGTAACTTTGGACTATCGAAAATTATCGTTTCACTCAGCGTTTGCATACAAAGGCACGGCAATGCTGAACGCAATAAATTAATAAGCGGCAAATAGTTAGCATTAATAATATAGACAAGTTAATGCATTGTTTATATGAACCACAAGGAAAAAAAAAAACGTTGACCACGTGTGGCTCAATCATCGATAGGCGCTATCGATAGCGATTTATTTTTACATACCACCTCACGCGAGTGCGATTGGATTTCATTATAATTTGGAACAGGGAATTGCGAAAATTATTGCAAGCATGGCCGAATTAGACGATTTTTTTGCGAAAAAGGACAAGAAGAAGTCCAAGACCAAGACCAAATTTGTGACAGCCGATGAGCTAGTGAAGAACCTAGAGGAGTGCACGAAGCGTGAGGTGGCGGCCAATGCTGTCAAACCCAAAAAACCTGATGTCTCGACAGCATTGGCTGGCGGCGTGGCAGAAGGCGGCGAAAACGAGACCAACATCAAAGTGCCGGAGCCCGTGGTCGAGGTGAGAGTTAGCAGCCAGTTTTTCCAAGCGTATTTTCAACGTTTTCTTTGTTGGTTTTTTTTAGAAGGTCGCGGAGGAGGAGTGGAAAGAGTTCGAGCAGGAGCAGCGCAAGGATTACAGCGGCCTTAAAATTGGCCAGCTGACTATCACCGATAGGCAACACCAGCAGCAGCAGCAGCAGCATCAACAACAACAACAACATCTTCATCAGTCCGATGATGTTTACGACGAGGATGATGAGGACAGCGACGGCTATGCCAATGCGGACCCCAACAGCAAGCGGAGCGGTTATGGTCCATGGAAAAAGCTAATAGCTGCCGAGGATGTGACTCAAATACCGGTGCCGGTGGAGACGGACAATAAGTCATCGTCGAAAATGTATATTTCACCCGCGTTACGTGCTGGCGTGAGTATTATATCGTATTGCAATTCATTGACGCCCGTCTGATATTTATTATTGGACTTTGCGCCCAACGCCAATTCCATCCCTTTCATTTGTATTGAATTGCAGCAAGCCGGCAGCGGGATGGGCAGCGGCGGCGGTGGCATGCGTACGCGTCGCACGGCGCCAGATATCACCAATACTGAGTTCTTCCCAACGCTCAATGCAGCCCGACCGGAGGAACAGCGCAAAAAGAAAAACGAACCCGCCTTCGAAGAAGTCCGTCATGGTGGTCGCTATCAACGAGTGCAGGAGGCAGCCGCTGCGCCCGTTGCGGCCACCAATCGATTCCAGTCGCTCGACGATGAGGCCGACAGCTAGGCCACGCCCATTGTTGTTGCCGCCACCGATGCCGACGCCACAAACAAACAAAAGAAAAATTTACCGTATTCATCTTATGTGCTACACTATACAGTTGCCACACACACTGCAAGGCGCTTCAGGTCGCCAGCTAGAAGCGCGTGCGAGACCTGGATGCGAGATTCAGCTAAAACAATTTATAACGAGTTCTTTTCTCTGTATGCATATATACATAATAATTGTAAACATTTTTCTAGGCTTTTCGATTTTTACCCATACCCCCGGAAACAAATATTGTTCATTTCGTTTGCATTTTTGAATTATGGAATCAATGTAATAGAGAGAGTATGAATAATAGCCATGCGTTGAAATCCTTTCTAGTTAACTTTTGTATACTTTCTTTGTATAAGCCAATCCCGAGGTCTGCATTCTGTCAGCAACTCAGTTCAGCTCGTCCGTAAAGAGATCTTGTGCTGTGCTATCCGCGTAGCTGCAAAGATTTATGCAAAGTTCAATAGGACAAATCATCTTTGGCCGCTATTTGGGGATCTCGCACTGACTTCTCACTGTACGACTGCTGCGGCGTGTTGTGGTATGAGCTGAGCAACGGCTTCGACAGCATCGCATCCGGATAGTTCCGTATCAGATATAGCCAGCACTCCAGTTTCCTATTTTGAGCAAAGAGCCAACTATTATTTGCCCACAACTGCTGCGCCCCCTCGTCTACTCACTCATTCTGATCCGTTAAAATGGTTTGCAGCTCGCGATCATAGTAGCGGGGGTAATCCTCCAGCACGTCCAGATTTGAGAGCATTGTGCTATCCACTTCGTAGATCTCGCCCTGGACATTGTGGCCCACGCCCTTTTTGTCCAGCAAAAATGGAATGTTGTACCGTGTGCCGATCACCAGTGGAAACCTGATCACCGTTGTGCCCTTGGCCAGGAAGCGGGCGAGACCATTTGCTTTTGTCGTCAACCAATGATGGTTCGGCTCGCCGCTCTTCAATGTGCCATACACGAAAACCCTTTTGAGCGTTTGCGACATTTTTAGCATTTAACAATAGAAAATTGCACATAAGTTTGCCATTGAAATAGTTTTTTGGGTTCAATTCGGCTTATCAAATTGCCATTCGCTTGAAACGGCAACACAAAAGGCTAGATAAGCTCATCTGTTAAAATAACAGCGCTGCTCCACACGTAACAGCGCAGCTGCACACTTAAAAAACAAAAAACGATCTCACAAAAACAAAGAACATATGTATATAAATATTTATATAATTAAAGCAACACCTGTTGTCACTTGGCAAATATGAAAAGTTTACTTTACATGCGTTTATTTACGTTGTGAGTTACGTTCTATAAATAGTTTACTCGAATTTCTTTTATTTTCTCTCGAAACTTATAAAATTACAAACTACGTTCGCTATAAACTAGAATACGCATATAATATGTGTATATATCAGTTAATATTATGTACACCTGCGTCTAAATGCGTGTACATATAATTGGTTTTTAAGTCTGTATACGTTCTACAAATGCAACTACCGGTAGTTATATATATAGTAATAATTGGCCACGCCTTTTCGAACACAATTTAGTTTTGAGCTGTTTCATAGCTGAGATCATCCTGTGCCGGATGCTTGTGTGTGCGACGATGGCGCATTATATAGGGATGTGTGGAGCTATTCTCATAGCCGGACAAATATGGCAGCGACAGCAGCTTCTCCGGATATTTCTGCAGCAGATAGACCCAGCAGGGAACGGTGCTGCAAGCGTAAAATAGTTTAAAAATAACATCAAATACATAAATGACGTCATGCGACGGCGTTCGACTTACCCCTCGCCCACGCCAATGTTCATGTCCTGCATCTCGCGCGTGTAAATGTCCTGGCAATCCTCAAGATTGTCCAGCGAGTTGAGCATGCGATCATCCACCTGTTGCGTTGCGAATGTTATTTAACTGATTGTGTATACTATGTATTTATGTCTACATACCTCGTAGATCTCACCGGTTACATAATATCCAACGCCGGGCTTGTTGAGCAAGAACGGAATGTTGTACCGCGTGGCAATCACTAGCGGCAGCTTCTGTGTAGTTGTCGCACGGCACCAGAAATTGGCATAACCGTTGCCAGTATTGGCCAAGATCGAATTGCTCGGCTGTCCGTACTTTAAGGCGCCATAGACAAACAATTTGCTCAATGCCGATGAAGCTTTCTGTCAAAACAGATCAACAAATAAAGATAAATTCGTTTTTGCATTGAGCCAGTAGTAAAGTGCAAAAATCTATAATTAATACCTGAAGCTTATCAAAAAGTAAAAAGTTTGAAGAATTTTTCCATACACGCACACGGGCAGCCCCCACGCCGTGAAGGCGTTTGATAAGGTCTACGACGACGGCAATATCAGCACATCGACAATGTTATGGCTATTAGAGATGGGCGCGTGTCTCAATTAGAAGCGAATACAACACGACTCGAGTTTAAAAATATCATTACGTGCGAGAATTAACGATATTTCCAAGAATATGTGAAAATAATACGCTTTAAACGTTTATAATTAAAGTTACAAATAGAAAGCATGTCAAATAATAAAAAAATAAGTTAGCACTTTTATGTAAAATCCATTTACAAAAATTTTTAATTTATATTTACTTTTAAGCGAATGTCAAACACAGACGCTAATTACTTTTGTTTTTGCACCTGTTCTAATATTTTTTTTCAACACGCTTTCCAATTAGACTTCGTTTTTGTGTCGTGACACACGCCCATCCCTGACTGCCGACTACCCACCACACGCGCCGCCCGCGCGTATTGATGCTCATTCACCGTAAATTTATTTATAACTTTTTTTGTTGTTAAAACTAAATGAAAAGTGCTTATGTTTGTTGTTGGACAACGGTTAATGAATTAACCGGTTTACTGCATTTAGTCAGTTGCTTGGTTAATTGTTTTTGTTAACACATATACTAACACACACATCTTGTTTACGGTTCTTATTGTTCAAGTTTTTCGGCTGACGTGCGTGCCGTGCAAACTGCGCAGCAGCTACGCCTACTTCAAGTTTTAATACATATTCGATAAAAAAATATACATATATATGTTTGTATGAGTATAAACGTTTTGTTAATAATCACTTTAATCGCTCTAATCAATGAGACAAATAGAGATTGACACGCCACGGACGCTTAAACGAATCTGCCTCCAGTCTCAATGTCATTGTTATTAATTTGTTGCATTTTAATGGCAATTTTACTGCTTCTCTATTCTTACATAACATCAAGTACAGACATCAGCACGCCAACACACACACACACAGCCACACAGGGACAGAAGTTTCTAATCATTCAAAATATGATATTATAAATTTTCCCTCGCTTAACTTATAACAGAGTTGCCAACTTGTCAAAGGATAACAGGTAGCTTACATATATGTACATATACATATGCATATACACCATACACACACCCATGGTAATATGTTATGTGTATGCTGTTTCCATAAATTAACAAAAATTTTACATTATATGTGCATATGATTGTGTTTGGTATTTACCTTGATTTGACCCATTATTCCTTATAAATGCACTTGATTTACTTAAACTTGCAAATTACTTTAAAAATTCAGCAAGAGTTGCACAAACAACACGAGCGTAGAGAGAGTAGGAAACTGAACTGCACCAGCTGAAGGCTCAACTCCAACTGAATGCGGCCGACACTGCTGCGAGCGGCAGAGGCCCAACCATTGGAGAACGAAAGCTGCTGCCTCTGCCGCTGCCTCTGCTCTGCTGCTGTCGGTGACGTCTGCAGCGGCAGAACTGAGCAAGCCCCTGCCCCAACAAGAATAAATAAAAACACGCCACACGCGCTTGTCATTACTGCTGCCCCGCCGTCAACATGCTGATCGCTCTTTCTTTATCTAGCTAGCAAGACACATTATTAAAATTCGAATACCCTACGCTAAGTTAAGACACAAATTAGCGCACATTTATATACACGGTATTTATGTGTGTGTGTAAATATATGTACATATGTAAAACAAGAGCTTATCAAGCGTTTTTTCTTTTGAGTAAAAGGGGTGTTTTCGGCCGCCTTAAACTGGTTGCTTGGACAATGGCATGGCCATGGCGTGGGGGGGTTCGGTCTTATCCCTTTTAAAATTGAACGTCGTAAATTTTAAAGCGCCGCCACTGGACCGCACGTACGCACTTGGGTTTTGCAGAGCGACCGAGTTCTTTTAAAAGCAGCGCATTAAATGGCCAACTGATTAAAAAGCTAATTCAATTATTATTTTTGGCATCAAGCTTTAGCAACTGTAAACAAAATTTATAAACAATAACGAATTCGCCTTTAAATTTTTTATTACACAGCCGCCAAAACGGAAAAGCGTGCTTGCTCTCACTCTCTCTCTCTCTCTCTCGCTCTCACTCTCTGCCTGTTATTGCGCTGTACAATAAATGTGAGGCATTTGCGTTTTAACAGAGCTTTAACTGATATGCGCATAACACGAAAAAGAGATACTTTTCATTTTAGATATTGTGTAGATATTTTTGTAAAACTTAATAACTTTAACTTAATTAAAATTCGGACTAAGAAGGGCCTAAAACAGCCCTATTATAGTTGCTAAAATCTAGTTCAGTAATCCTTGGTGCATATCCCGTTGAAGGCGTAGTGATAATGTTTGTGCCGACACGCGCACATGTTGGGCGCATAGCAATAGGCTCTAGGACCGCAATCGCTGTAGGATGTTTGAGATTAGTAAATGTTAATTTTGTGGTGTGCTCCAACACTTACTGATCACAGGTTGGCATGCACTGGGCGCCATGAAGCAACGTACTGCGCATTTCGTAACCCTGCGCACAGATGCAGCGGCCATCGTACGAGCAGCGGCCATGAATGCAGCGCCTGCAGAAGGACATAGATAAAAGCTAGGGTATACTCATTACAATAACAAAAACTCACCCGCCACACAGATCCAGCAGACGGAGTGCGCGTCGACGACAGCGTCGCGCCACAGGATCGTAGTAATAGTGCTTGCTCTTGCGGCAAATGCACAGCTCGGGGCCGGCGCAATGGCCACCTGCCAGCTGGCAGCCGGGCAGGCACTCGGCGGCGCAAGCCAGACCATCCTTGAAGGCGCTCTGGTACTGGTCGGCACAGGGACATGGCCCATCCTCAAAGCAAACACCACGCTGGCAGACAATATTGCAGCGGCGCACACATTGGCGCGTATTCACAATCAGCATCTCGTACTCGGAGCAAATGGGCGGCGGTTCATTCAGCTCCCAGTAGCGGTACTCATGATAGTAGCCGTGGACAGGGATCAGCAGCAGTAGCAGTTGCAGAAGCAGCAGCGGTGACAGCATCTTTAACCGAATTGCAAATGATTGCGATTGCGATTGAGTGGAGCAGCCGGCTGGCCCAAGTATGCCTCCAAGTGAGAGTGAAAGTGTTTGCGATGTGTGTGCACAATTCATTTTGCCAGGTCACGATCGGCGCTACAATTGCCCTCAGTACACATGGCAGATGATGCAATGGGGCCGCCCAATGGAAATCACTTTGGGGGTGCTAACTGATAAGCCGGGGCAGACAGATCGCCGATTGCTCGAATTACAAAACCTCATTTGCATTCAAACAATACGAATAGACGCCGGATAGACAAACTATTACTCATCGCCGGCATAAGCATGGCTGTTTAGTGCTGGAGAAGTGGGAGAGGGGGAGCTGGGGTCAAACAGATCCAACTCCAACATGTGTGTGCATTCCAAGCACAAAGAGAGCACAGCTGCAGAGAGCCAGCATTTGTGAGAGAGTCAGAACGACAGAGGGAGCAGAGAATGCAGTCAGTCAAAAAAGTATGGGAATGCGCAGTTGGTTTTTGCAATTAAATAAAACTATTTAAATTAACAACAATGAACGCTCGCAGTGCGGTTCTTATTATGTAAGAATTTGAACTTTTAAACTTTTTTATATTTTTCAAGGAAAACAATTTTGTAATAGGACATGCAAATTGCAATTACTGCAAGCTTTAATTGCAAGGCGACTTCTTTTGGTGTTGAGAAAAATATTTATATTTCGGGACTTTAAGCATGATTTGATAAATATTTGAAGTATACATTACTTCTGTAAGAAAGCCGGTACCAATACATTTTTGTGCCACTGTATGCATTGGAGAACATTGTGCTGCGCGCTTGTCTGGAATGTCTGGATTTCTGCTGCTGTTGCGCCCCCACCCATCTTCCCTACCCCCCCTTGCGCAGACAGCGCACACATCTGGCCTGGGCATGCGCTTCGACAGACGTTTGGCTGCTTTCAATGCGCGCCATTCATTCAGTTTTTCCTCGGTCTCCGTTGAACGCGTGCATAACGCCTGCGCAAAAGGGAGTCGCCGCTAAAAAAAAATGTTGCAAAATTAAAAAGAGTACAAAGAAAAAAAAACGCCAACAGCTGCAGTTCAAGCTTCAATTACAACAACAACAACAACAACAACAACAACAACAACAACAAAAAGTTTTGACTATTTTCATACGTTCGCTTTTGGGCTTAAGTGCGTGTGTGTGAGTTAGTGTGTGAGTGAGTGTGTGGTGGGGTGAATGAATACCATAAAAGAGAGAACGGCAAGAAAGCATATAAAATAAACAATACCATTTCGGGCTGGTCAGCTGAAAGGAAGTCGCACTGTTGGCGGCGGGGGTGGGTGTTGGGGTTGGGTGTGTACGCACAGACAAATGCTCTATAGGCGCACACCCACAGAGACAATTATGTGTGCGGCCAGTGCGGACGCGTTCTGACAACGTTTTTCCCGAATACATTTTCCAAGCGCTGAAGAAGAAAACTTCTCATCAAATACGCATCATGTGCTACGTAATTATCACAAGTGTGAGTCTAGTCTGGTTTCTGTGCACCCTGGTCGCCGATATGCTGGTCGCTGTCGCTCTGGTCACGCCCAAATGGCTAATTGGACCTGGCCAGCTTGGCAATTGGAGCCAGGCCACGCCCATTGCTGCTGCTGGCCAGCGTTCCGCCTCTGTGGGCATCTATACGCGCTGCAAGCAAATGCACCAGCTGGGCTATCATTGTGGACGCTTCGACCTGGATGGCTTCAACACCGATGGCAGCGTCTATCCCTTGGAATGGAAGGCGGCCATGTTCTGTATGTCGCTGGGCCTGGTGCTGCTCTCGCTGACGGTGGCCGCCACGCTGCTCACCTGTTGCCGCCAGTCGGCCTTTGGCAAGAGCATACACAATATGACCGCCTGTGCACAGGTGCTGGCAGGTAAGTTGCCACCTGCTCCTAATCTCTAAATGAACCAGCTAAACCTTTGCTAATCCTAACCAGGCATTGCTGTTATGCTGGCCTTGTTTCTGCATCCGCTGGGTTGGCGTGCGCCGCGCGTTCAACGTCTGTGCGGCCCGGAGGCGGAACCCTTTTATCCAGCGGACTGCAGTATAGGTAAGACTTAAGCTCTGACCAATTTAGGCCTGGCTAATGCCACGCTCTTTTCGCAGGCATCTCGTTTTACTGCGGCCTGGTGGGCATACTCTTAACGTTCGCCGCCGCCGGCATCAGTCTCAAGGCAGAGTCCTCCAATATGCGTACACGTGTGCGCCGGCGCGTCGAATCTGGCAGCAAGCTCGTCTGCATTCCATAGGAATCTCTATAGATAACAAAATGGGCGTATTCAACTTAATTTAATTTCGAATTTAACTTGTTAACATTAGCATAAATAAACAACTAAAATTTCTACAAGCAGCTGCTAACTGCACTTGCAGCTGGAACAGCCAAGCCAAGCGCTCATTTTAAACAAGCCCTCACTTGCGCTTGCCCTTGCCTTTGCCCGGCGGTTTACCCTCCACTTCCGGCTTGGCCTTGGGTATGTACACGCCGTGATTGGTCTTCTTCAGATGCGCAAACAGTTTGTTCTTGGAGTCAAACACCAGTTTGCATGTGACGCACGTATGTTGCACGACGGCTGGCGGATCCTCCACGTCGCCTCTTGGCGGCGCTGACTTGGCCGCCGGCTTTGTTTCTGCTGGCGCTTCAGTTTTTTGCTTGCTGTTGCTTGTTGTCGACTTTTTGCTCTTGGTCTTTTTAGCTGACTTTTTGCTGCGGCTCCAATCGTCGTCGTCGTCGTCATCGCTGTTGCTCGGCGCTGCAGTGAAATCTGCAGGTGGCACAACCTCCTCCTCGTCGTCATTCCCGCTCGCTACGAACGCCTTGGTTGCGGCCTTTTTTGATTTCTTGTTTTTCTTGTTGCGTTTGCTGCTCGTTTGCAGCTCGGCAGCCGCATCGCTCGCCAGCTCCGCCGAGTCACTGTGGCTGCCATTGAGTTGTAAGTCGTTGACGCTTTCCTCTATCGCATTGGGCTCTTCGCTGAGATCGTTGAATTCATGCTCCTCAGCCTTCATTTGCTGACACAAACGTTCCACATTGTCGCGATGCTTTTTACTCTCCTCGTGATTGGCGCGCGCTTTGGCATTTTTAAAGGACTTGTTGCATGCCACACAATACAGATCGTCCACATACTCCACTTCCTCCTGCTCACTCAAATTGTTTTCACAGTCTACTGCTGCTTCAGCGTCTGTTACCTCATCCTCATCCTCATCCTCATCATCCTCGTCCTCTTCCTCATCCGTGTACTCATCCGATTCGCTGCCATATTGTTGTTCCAGCTGCCTGAGCTGCTCCTCGTACCCATCGTTGTCCACCTTGTTGGCACGCACTGCAGCCAGCTGTTCTTGTCGCTGGCGCAGCTGCTCCTTGCGCTTCTCCTCCTGCTTCAAGCGATTGGCCTCGGCACGCTCTTCCAGCACTCGTCTGTAGGCCTGCACGCGGCGATCTCGCTTGCGCACAAACGACACCAAGTTGCGCACCTGCAAAAAATGGGAATTAATTGGAACAGCTCTATTTGCTAGATGCACTTTCCGCTTACCTCTTCGTTGCGCTCTCTGCGCGCATTCTGCACAATCTTCTTCATTTCCTTATCCACCTTGCGCAGTATGAAACGCTCCTTAATCTCCCGGACATCGTACGGGCAGAGCCATTCGTATGTCTTTTTTGTACTATAAGACAGCCAGTATGCGTAGAAGGGACCCACCACTTCCTCGTAGCTGCTGTCCGCGTTGCCGAACTGTGGTGCACTCAGTTCGTCATCGCTGTCCATGAACTCCATGTCCTCGGCGGCAATTTTGTTGAAAACATTGCGGTATACGCTATAAAAGCCCTTCGCATCATTGCCATAGCCCTTGTAGCAAGAGCCGGTGAAGAACTGAAAGACATCCAGGCAATTCTCCGAGTATTCGGAGTTCTTGCCGCGAAGAATTTGCTCGCGGTGGTTATCATACCAGGCACGTTCTTGGCCATCGGATAGCACTTCGTAGGCCTGTTGGATTAGCTGAAAGCGTTCCTTCGCCTCCGCAAGGCTGTCTGGATTTTTGTCTGGATGCCAGCGCAATGCTAGTTTTCGATAGGCAGTCTTAATGTCAGCCTCATTGGAATCACGGGCCACGCCCAGCTCCTCGTAGTAGCAGCGCATGTTAAAAGTTTAGCAATAACAAACCAATCACATTGAATTGAGTTAACAAACGAAATTTGCGCAAAAAATTTGCTTATGTTTCACAATAATGCATGGCGCAGAGATGGAACTTTAGATTATCGATAACACACACTGACAGGTTGAACACTTGTGGCGGTGCATCGATAACTTTAACATTGCTTTAACATTAACACGTTAGCATTTTAAAATTATGTAGCACACTATTTTGGTTGCTTAATTTTATAAAATAATTGTTATAAATTTGGATATTATTGGTACATATATATATATATATATATATATATATATATATAAAATCAAATCAAATTCACGTATTCTTCATAAGCGCAATATGTAATTGGTAACATTAAGCACTGTTGCGATTTGGTAGCTGCGCATTCCGTTAGTTGCTTTTTTCACTTCGGCGGCGGCAGTCGTTTTCTCTCGCCGCGCAGCAAACGCCATTTTAGCCGCACACTTTATTGCTACCACCAAAAAATAAAATAAATCTTAGGCCGACACATGCACATACCAATACATCACTTATATAGACAGTGTAAAATGTGAAAAAAATTCTTTCATCACTTGCAGCCTAAAAGTGGGCAAACTTTTCCGCTTTTTAAATTATACGTTGCCGGGCATAATTCCAATTAATTTGCATCTAAAATAATAAAATAAAAACTACGACTTTCAACTAAAACTAAATACAATAAGCAACAATAAAATATATGTATACATACACACGCATTCAAACTCGTAAGAGCAAAGCTATAAAGAAATCAAATCAAATAAAACATTCACGCTGCAGTTTAACGAAACAACAGTTGAAAATAGCTTGACATAAAAATTTACAGTTACGTTTGGATTTACAACCCAACTACGTTCGTTTCCGCAAAAGCGGAGGCTGATAAAAACACAGACAATCCACACTAACGCACAAACACCTACACGCACACACACCCACGCACGAGGTTGAGTAACTTCAGCGCACAGCATGAGGCCGATGAGTCCTTGAAGCGGCATCTCAGCTTACAAACAACCCCCAAGCAAAAACACGCACACACACACACAAAGAGAAGTCGTCGACGCTGTTTGTGTGCGCCTAAAAAACGTCAACAAAAAATAAACAAACACACACACACACAGCTAGAGTTGCCAGACGTCGCGCTGTCTGCATAACGTAAGCACCCACACAAGCACACACACAAACACACACACACACATGCTTAAACAGATATGTATACGTTATGTATATGTAGCTGCCCTTTCATCTCGTGTGCCGCACAATAAAAACAGGCGTAAAGGATATTATGAGGCAACAGACATTTGCGAATAAGGTAATTTCGCATAAAATACCAGCACACACACACACACATATGCACAGTTACAGTTGCAAACTATAGAAAATATGGTAGCTCGTTGATGCTGCAGCGCACAGTGGTACGATTAGTGGAAAATTTCAAAAATAATTGTTGAAATTTCATATAAATTGCAAATTAAAAAAATTATATATGAATAGAGAGCATAAAACTTAGGATTCTACTCGGAATAAATGCAAAAAAGATTATATTATAATACAAATTTTTAGCAACAATAATAAATAGAATATGGCAACAAATTAGACGTTTGGAAATGTTTTAAAAAGCTTAAAATACTAGAAATATTCTTTTAAAAAAAGGTTATTAGGCAAATAAATAGATTTGGTCTCAAAATGTTGCTTGTGGGCAGAATTTTAGATAGTTTTACTTTCAAGCGCACTTTCCATACGTTCGTCCCACTGTGCGTCGGCGGCTTTTGTGCTGTCATAAATGGATTTTCTTATCAACGCAAAGTGGCCCCAGGAGTCAGTTTGGATGTCAGCCCACGAGCCCAATGCAAACTGCCATCCATTGTCCCAGATATTATGGGATTGCATTTTGGAGCTGAGCAAATACTTTAATGGCATCCCTTTTCGTATTCCCCAAACAGCAGCAACAACAATCCGTCCATTTAGACTACGTTTCACATTTCCTTTAAAAGAGAGAGTTAGAGTGAGAGAGAGAGACAATGTTCGGCTCCAAGCTGCGCTCCTGGATGGAAACGCACATCGTGCGTCCCCGCAAGAAGAACAATAAGAATAAGCAGGCGGAGGGCGGCGGCGTCGGCAGCAGCAGCCATGCCAAGAAGGCGGGCACTTTGCCAGCGAACAGCAACTTGAAGTCCACGACGAGTCCGGTGCTGACCAGCAGCGGCAGCCACAGCATCGCCAGTCCGGTGCGTCGCCGTGAGGTGTCGCCCATTCAATGTCATGTGAGTAGCAGACGGAATTCCCAAATCAGATCCATTCAATCCAACCCACTTCTTGTAGACGCCCAGTCGCTATGGCTGGCAATCGCCGGATCAGGACACGAACAACTCCATCACATCGCCAAAGTCGGACAATCTGTTGTACGCGCCGCATCGCTATCAATGCCACCAGACGCTGCCGCCGCTCCAGCAGCAGCAGCTGCAGCAACAGCTGAGCGTGCCCAGCAAGGACAGCTGCAGCTCCAGTGCGGACAAGTCGCCGATGCGCGTGAATTGCTCGTCCTCGTCCATTTCATCGCTGTCCTGGTCCACTGGCTCCAAGGAGCCCTCCATGCACTCCGGCCAGCCCAAGCAGGTCAGCTACAAGCTGGAGCACATTGAGATCAGCAGCGAGTATCAGCCGCCCGTCGAGGATGAGGTGGATTACGAGGAGGTGGGCGCATTGCTGCTGCGTCCACAGCCGCCGCTGCTGGATTATCAGCGTCCGCACTCCGAGAATCTGGTCAGCCTGCAGCTGGTCTACGACGAGGAGCAGCAGCAGCAGCCCAAACCGAATGCGAATCATGTGCACTATGGCCGTCTGCTGCCCTCCAAGCTGGCCGCCGTGCAGCTGGGCGACAGTCTGGTTGAGGCCTTGACCCCAGCTCCGCCGGCCGTGACCAATCAGCTGGGCTTGGCCAGCCGCATGCGTGCACCACGTGGTTTGCCGCGTGGCAATTTTATGCCTGGTCCCCGACCGCACAGCCTGTCCTCGCCGGAGAGCGCCTATTCCACGGGCTACTCCACCGATGGGAATTCGCCGTGCGCCGCCAGCAGCGCCAATCCGCCGGCGCCCGAGTACTACATCAATATGCGCAGCGGCACTCACTATTTTCCCAGTCGCTCCGTCAATTCGTTGGCCATTGAGGCGCAGCGCTACAAGTTTGGTCTGAACCGCATCGAGGAGATGTCCCCCATGGATCCGCTGCCCAAAAGCAGCTTTGGCAACACGTTGGACACGCCACAGCCCAGTCGCAATTGTCCGGGCACGAGCAAGCTCTTTGAATGTGAGTAGACCGTTAAGTGAGCAATTACATGCACTTAACCAACCCAACTCTCTTACCCACCAACCCACCTAACCCAACCTACGACAGCTCCTTCGCCAAGGCAGCGCTCGCGCATACGGACCAATCCCTGGTATAATACGGCGGAGCATATGCAGCTGATGTCGGGCAGTCGCCTGGATGCGGATGCCACCAGCACCACCTCCACCACATCCTCGGGCATTAAGTCAAGCAATGAGCTGGAAATGCGCGCAGTCAAAGGAACAACAACAACAACAACCGCAACAGCCACAGTAATTGCCAACCCCAAGCTGTCCGCTGTGGCAGGGGCAGGTGCGGGGGCAGGGTCAGGGACTGGGGCTGAGTCCTCAGAGGGCTCGTCGTCCTCGACTGAAGTGGAAAATCTGCATGCACCGCACACCATCAAGCGGCGCCACTTGGAACAGCAGCAGCTGGACTCCTTTCTGGTTAGCGACGACGAGGCCACACTCAACGAGATGATTGGCAAGTTTGACGAGAGCTATGTCTACGAGAAGGAGACCGACATACTCAGGTGAGTCCTACACGCAAGCTGAAAGTGAAGTGCTTCAAGGAGTTCTTGTTGCACTTGCAGCAGCGACTCGGATCCCACGGACTGCGCCTCGGAGCTGGATACGGGCCAGGATGCGGGCGATGAGTGCGACACGGATGAGCTGCTCGATATTGACTTCATAGACACATCCTCCATGCAGGAAGTCCAACTGGATATCCAACGGAATCTGGGCAGCTGCCATTACTATCCCAGCGCCATGCAGCCAAGTCCTTTGATCCTGCGGCGCGCCTCGACGCGCTCGCGTCGTCGCAGCGGCCAGGAGCCAGGCGAAGGCAGCCAGCAGCGTCGTCGCAAACGCTTCCTGAAGACGCGCAAGAAGAGCTGCGAGAATCGGGAGAAGGTCAACGATTCGCCGCTGCGCGAACCGCGCGGCTCTCGCAGCGTCGGCGGCACGCCCGTTTGCCTGCGCCGCCATCTATTGGGCCCCAAGGAGCGGTAAGCTATGGAATCCTAATGAAACTTGTCTGGGGTTTGCTTCTCGATTGGCACAAATCCCTTGTCCTTAGGTTGGGGTCACTAGAAAAGAAGCTGCAAGATGTAGGTATGTAGGTTCTCCTTTAGCATAGATCAGGAATATTTCACTTTTATATAATACAACCCACCCCCATTCCCCATAGAATTGATAAATCTAAAGAGGTATAGCTTCGCGGCTTGGCTTATCTAGACACATGGAAGACAAGCTCTTAAGGATCCTGCCCAAAAGTCAAAGCTAGAATATTCCAGAGACGGGAAGGTGGTTCGATTCAAGGCTCGGGCCGTAGTAAAAATAGAATTGGATATCCGTGCTGATAACCCTTCAATTTAGACCAAGTTTAAACTCTAATTGCACACTTCACCTCCGTCCACAATTGTTGATAAACCTTGCTTTCCCTTTGCCAGCATCTACAAGACGTCTCCGTTGTCGAATCGCTCGAATTCGCTGATCTTTGGCAGCGCCAATGAGCCGCACTTTATGACCATAGCGGAGAGCGAGAAGGCGCTGCTCAAGGCCGATCTAGAGGCGGACATGAAGTACAAGCAGCTGATCATGGAGGCTGAGTCGCTGCTGGAATCCATGAAGAACAGCTTGCAAAGGTGCGTACGTCCGGCCAACTCCAGCAGCATCTCGTTAAAACCCCTTTTCTGCCCACAGCATACCGCGTGACACGCCCGTCGCAAGTCCACGACGCGTCAATCCGCTGGCCAACAAACGCGTGGAAATGCTCAAGCACAGCGAGGTGGAGTCCAAGAAGCAGCCGACGCCGGAGCACGAGCTGGCGGCGGCCATCAACAAGCGTATCGAGCTGCTGAAATTCGAGACTTCGGCGGCAGCCTCGCCGCCAAACAGCCCCAAGCCGGGACGCTGCAGTCCCCGCAAGACGCATCTCACGAACTTCATGAATCAGAACGCACCGCCAGAGCTGCCGCCGCGCAAGCTGAACGCCCCGGCGCCGCCCTCACCGCAGCTGCAGCTGAACGGACGCCGACTGCAGGGCAGTCCAAGGAACAGCCGGCGCGCCCTGGCGCCGTACAGTTGCAATGGCAGCGACTCGGAGCAGGAGTGCATTGCCGTGGTGCGTCAGAGCAACGAGGATGTGACCAATCACAACTACTTGCCACAGCAGCAGCAGGCGTACAACAACCTGGACTATAATAATCGCAATGTGGCCGAGACTCACAGCCAGGATAACTTCTACTGTCCACACAGCGAGCCGCTAAAGCGTAAGGTCTACAAGGGCAGCAGCTCCTTTGAGCGCATTAAGAAAACATTCGACTTGGAGTTGGGTAAGTAACAACAAATAGCTATACCCTGTAGCCATTGAAAATGTGTGACAAACAAAGGCTATATTGGGGTTGCGTCGAAGTTGCTAACTGGCTGAAGAAGAAACCTCCGAGCCTTATGGAAGTCACATCAACCGTGGAGTCTTTCTAGCCTGGTCCGTAAGTCCGCCTGTAGAACAGCTGGGGATATTAAACTAAAAAGTAAAAATGCTCGTATACCATGCGCATTTTATATAGAATTATTTTTAGGTCAATATGTGACAAACAAAGGAAGTTTTCTTAAAGTTGGTAACTGGTAGAAGGAAAACCTCCGAGCCTCATGGAAGTATCATCAACCTTGGAGTCTTTCTAGCCTGGTCCGTGCGTCTGTCTGTACAACTGCTAGGGATATCAAATTAATAAGTACAAATGCTCGTATACCATTATTGATAAGTCAATATGTCGATAAATATCGATTTTCAGCTTCTGCAAATTAGAAGAGACAAGGGCTCCAAATTCGTAGAATAAACACACTAAGATCAAGAATGATTCGCTATTTGAATAACACTTAAATTTAGAAGGGAATTTTGGTATAGGCAGACATTTGAATACGACCTTTAAGCTCTCAAAAGTATACCTCCAATAATATATATATCTCCAATAATACCAATCGGACATTAAACACAGATCTAATATATATAAAATTCCATCGTGTGAGTCTAATTCTTCAATTATGTAATCAGGAACGAAGGCCAGCGCATCTCCTAGTCGGATAAACTCGACTAGAGCCCTGTTACTTGTTTTGATTGAATCAAACGTCACAGCTTATCGCACACCTGTCGCTTAATTAATTAACTTATCCGCACAGATATGAGCGAACGGCCCAAGTCGCACGTCAAGCGTCAGCAATCGAAGCTATCGGCTTCCGTTTCGGCGAAGAGCTCCATGCAGGACGTAACTGTGGAGGGGGCCAGCAAGCAGCAGCTCATCGTTAGCACCATCGCGGATCTGAAGCGCAGTCTGGAGCATCAGAGCTATGAGCTAAGTGGTCTAACTGAAGAATAGTTTATAGATTTACCAAAAGACCTAAACCTAACAGTTGAGTCCTTGAGCTTAAGGCTAACATAATCATATTGGAGCTGCAAAACTATCGTTATACTTATAGATTTGATAAATTGATATACCTATCAATAGTTGACTGTCTATTGATAGACAGTTTTGTAGCTCTAGTTCATATATTATCATCAACTAGCACTACGCATAACAAGTCCAACAATGAGAAATCCCCTTAGACTTAAACAGAAAATGAGTGCAATAAGTATCGAAAGAGGCGTAGATAAGCGTTAACCATAAGTTGTAAGCCCTGGAAATTATGGACTGGTATAGCAGGTTATACATAGACTTAATGGGTAAACATAATTAATCTCATCAGCTAGCCTATAGTGAGTAAATTGTTTTCTTAGCACTCATTTAAATGTAGTAGTTAATAATTTATGTTCTCATCAGCTGAAAGTTACTCTAGTTTTAAAACAATTTTCGTTTTGTTGCGATCATCTACAGTTTCTATTTAAATACCCCAAGCAAAAACATGTGTTGAAAACACAATTTGATTATCAGATAACTTTATACACTAGCCCAAATGTAGCTGATAATACGCCTTAGTTATATTATTCCTTCTCCTTATTTAAATGTGTGTGTGTGTGTGTATGTATTTATTATCCTCAAACCAAAGCATATCTAACACGAAATACACTTAAACTATACACATACTACGTTTATCAAATAGAAATGCCAGCGCAGCCAACTTAACAAGCTCATTAAATAATTTTGGCGTTGCCAGATGGCTTCAATTAAAATCACTTCGCATAAACGTAGTATTAAAAATATACTAAACTTCAGCTCATTACTAGACTTGGTAGAACTTCACATAAACTACGCATATTTAGACTTATCTACATCAATTATATAACAATTATAGATTGTAGCTCATTAAGTAAATTCAATTATTATATATCCATCCAAAAACTGATCGTTTAGCCAAATTGTTTGTAGAATATAAATTGTTTAACTGTTCTATTCAGTTCCCTTAGTTATGACAATTGAATATCGTTAAAAAAAAAAACCAAATGGAACATCATGAATTTCAATTTGATTGATGTAAATTTATTCTTATTTCCCAATTCGGGTCAAATCGGTTGTATTTGAACACTTAATTAATTGACTAATTATGTAATTGCGTTGTGTGCTCTTTTTTTTAATGCATATAGAAGCTATATAGAATCTATCGTATATAGCATACATAATGTAAGCGAATAATGTAACGTGATAATAAACTTAATGAAAACCAATTGACTTACGCAAAATCAAATCAAGCAGATGCATATGGAGTAAGTATACATTATCATAATTATATATATAGTTGAGTTGATTATATCGTTTGTAGTATTTGGCCGTTGTATGCATAGCACCTGATCCTAAGTTCACATATATAGTTGTATCCATTAAAATTACAATTAGTTGCGGCTTGCGTAGTCGGTTGTCTGGTTTCACTTCATTTACTTAATGAGTTTTAACCATGCGCGACTCTTGACTGCAAAACTGAAGAACCAAAGTGCAGTGTCAGTCCCCATTGAAACTTGGCAAATTAATGCGAATCCCACAAAATGCTTGAACTTTAGTTCAACGACTGATGCGCAATACCCATTTCTCGAGGCTCTTTAGCCGTCAACCCAATTAATTTATGCCCCGCACATAAAATTGCTTCAGATGCTTTTTTTTTTGTCTATTTCTTCTAAGCGACCTTAAGACAATCCAACGAGCTTTTTGATAAGACATTTACAGAAAAAGAAATATAATAACATAGTTGTATTTTAATAAATCATTTAATCGTATACTTAAGACAGGCGTTGATAATAAATAAAGGAATATATATCTTTTGAAACTATCTTTGTCGGAGCCGAGTCTTCCATAGAAGGCTCTTGTATAACATTTGCTAAAGATTCAACTAACATAATCATTTATTATATGTTAACTAGCATAACATAGAAAATATAACATATGTATGTTAATTAGTTTAACATAACACCATCTGGAAGATGTCTACATACTATATTCAAAAGTTCTGTGCACCTTCGGGAAGTTGTCTCAACTTTGGTATACATTTCTTCTATATACGTACATCAACTTCGCTATAAAGGACCAATTTTTGTTGAACATTATCTTTAAACTCTTCCTGCTTGCGGTTTGATTGACAGTCCCAGTCACTGTTGGATGCTGTTGTTTGCAAGTGGAAATTCCAGAGCTTAAAGGCGCCAGAGTTTCAGACCACGTTCATTATTATGCCGGACGTTGGTTTTGTCTTTCTGAAAATGTTCTAAAATCCCCGCCAGAAAAGCAGCGCAATGGAAAATAAGCAGACAGCTCGCCACAAGTTGATAATTATGCAAATGGACACAGAAGGGGCGGGGGAGGGCGAGACCTGACTGGACTGGAATATTAATTGTATTGGAGCACGCTTAAAACATAAAAACAGCAACATTTTTTAAATTGGAGTGGAGGCCCGACCTATGTATGGAGCTGCTGCTGGAGAATGGAGGATGCGAAACTGGTTCGATAATATGCACCGGACTGTAGGCAGCAATGTGGAGGGGGTTGCGTGTGATAAAAAAAAAAGCTTTGCAAGCAAATATCTCAAGCTTACACATTCCAAGCATAACCAACTTCAGCCGCAGTGTATATTGGTTTAAAGATGGGACATGTAACAGCGGGCAGCAGTGTGTAGGCTGTTATAATAACATTCATTCTGTTAATAAAATACTATAGCTAACAGCTTGAATATATGTTAACATGGAATTTTATCGACAGTCGATAACTGCCAAACAGTTACAGCGCAACTTGCAGTCGACTTAGCTCGCCAACTGCAGCTTTGCTACTCGTTTTTGCACATTGTCTGCACTGACCGAACGACAGACAGAGGCTGCTGCGCAGTCGCAGCTGCAGCTTTCGATTTCAAGCTTCACTACATAAAATGTGTGCGTGCGGCTTGAAAGCTTTCTGTCTGTTGACGACATGTTGTCTCTCTGTTGTGATTCTGTTGTTGTTGTTGTTGCTTTTTAACGTCTTTTTTCATTTATCGCCGCTGCTGCTGCTGTCGCTGCTGCTGCCGCTGCCGCTGCTGTTGTTGCTTTTTGGCCATAAACTGATACTTTAGCTGTCGCTGTCGCAGCCCGCGTCGCAGTCAGCTCTGCTGTTTTTTTTAGCTATGAAGGTCATATACCCAACGCTTGGCATTCAGATTCGAACCGTGCGGCTGCGGCGGCCGCTGCTGCGCTTGCGTCGTGCGCTCAGCAGGTGCGGCGAGCAGAGGCATGTACAGCGGGAAAGTGGTCAGTGGGGGGAGGAGGAAGGGGGTAGAAGCGTTGTTGTTTTGGCAGTTATGAAACTAGTCCAATGACTCGCAGTGCTGTTGTTGTTGTTGTTGTTGTTGAGCCGTGTGTTGTGAGCTTTGACGCCTCTTCTTGTAAGCATGTAAATGTATGCATATGCACCTACACGATTTACATATGTACACTCACACACACACACATATACGCTTGTCTTCATTTTGTAGACCACAGCAATAAGTACAACAACAACAAAAACTTGTTGTTTAATAAACAAAACTTTTCGTTGTCCAATGCAATGCGAAGCGTTGGAGCGACCCCCAAGCGACCAAATTTATGTGTGTGTGTGTGAGTGTGTGTGTTCGTGTCTGTGTGTGTGTCTGACAGCCGCCCAACGGGCCGACCAGTTCTCAAAAATTTCGTCAGCCACTTCTGTGGTGGTAAAAACCAAATGTACGCATTAGAAATATCTAATTAATTTTAGCGTTACGCACAGCTCCAAAAGTTGAGGGATTTTTTTATATTTTTTTGCAACATTAAATGGGGTTAAGTTTAAAAACTGTCTAGAAGAGAAATATGCATACAAGAAACGGCCAAGTCATGCGGCAATTTGCAAAAATCTTGAGGCTGCGGCGTAGCTGGCATTCCGGTTCTGATTCGCAAAAGATAATGTTCCATATTGAGAAACTAGCTTGGGACGCAGCAGCATAAGCAGATCTTAACTGATGCTATACAGCGCGTCGCCCGGCTCAAAGTTCAGTGTAAACAGACGGCAGCCCAGGCCACAGCTACGATTAACAACGTTTTTATACCCTGTTCACAGTGGGAACGCGAGTATATTGGATGCGTGCAATAGAGACTGGAAAATTGAGATTTTCAGGTCCGATAAAGTGCCCACAGTTTTCCATAGAATCACCTCTAACGATCCAGCCAAGAGTATGCAAATTTATAACCCCCAATTGATATTCCCATTTTCATAAAAAATACCCATCCAATTAGCAAGCAGACTCTTGCGACAGATTTTGCTTGAGCTCAGAGCATTTAGTAGTCGGTTAGAGCTGATCGCAATGTTTTTACTTGTTTTTTTTTTTCGGTAGGGGTTTTCTGACAGTTCATGCTGAGTTGTGCGTCTAGAACCGGCCTGCCCTACAGAACTTTAGACCCAGGGGGCGGGTCAATCGATATACTGTGTCCAGTCGATTGTGTCTGCTGAATCAGTAGCCAGTGCTGGGAAACCTACCGATGCCGAACTGACGTCACAATTGTGTTTTTTGTTTTTTTTTCTCTCTTCTTCTTTTTGTTTTTTGTTATTAGCCAATTAAATTCGAGTGTTCAATTAGCGTTTATTTCACATTGGCTTGAAGGAGCGAACTTCAGAAATGCGTTCGATATGCCGGATTCAAGCACTTGCGACGTTTATATATGTATATATATATTCGTACATATATGGGAAATACGAGCTGCTCATAAATAAGGAAATCTGTAGATGTTGTTATTATTTTTGCTATGGTGTTTGGGTACTGTCGCAGAATGTTCGTGAATGAATATCGGCATCTGCGTCGCCGTCATGATTTAGCGATTTGTAAAAGCGTAAGAGTGTGCAGGTGTGTAAGTGTCCGTGTGTGTGTGTGTGTGTAGGTTGGTTTATGTGTGGAATTTCGAGTTTTCGGACTTTGTACTACTCGCTAGCCATGAACCAACGATTGGCCGCCAACCCATCTGAGACAGAGCCAGAGTCGCAGCCAGAGACGTTGCCCGAGACGTTGCCGCAGTCCAAGTTCGCATTGTTAACATTGTTTAGGTGATAAATGCGATGCCTGTATAAG